ATCTAATAAGTAATAGTAATTTACCTTAGAAACATTATGGTTATTTGCGTCTTACAGTTATTTACATAATAGTAATCAAATTGAAACCAGTTATCTATAAAAGCTCTACTTTCATTTCACTATTCTAGTTGATAACCTCGGTTCGTGTCTTTGCTAAATAAGAAAAAAAATTTAATGCATTTAAAATTTAACAAAAAATTTATGAAAATTATTTTTTATTTGGTAGATCTTTCAGCAGGTATAATTCAAGTTATTATGATCGTTAAAAAGTGTAAAAGATTAATTCCTATGCGATACGAAGGAGACAGATCTGCATGCAAATTTTAGCACTTCCAAAGTTGTTAGCATTTCCACCACAGCTGAAAAAAAATCAAACATTAATGTTGCGCTAAAATTCAATTTTGGATAGTAAAGTGATGAAAATTTATTTTAATCGAGCAAAATAACTTACCCAGAATAAATAAATGGAATGCACTTTCTTGCTTGAGGATTAAAGAAATAACGAATGTTCCTTTGAACAAGAGGACATGTCAGTAATCCTCCATTCGGTTTCAAACTACAATAAGTTGGTGGGATTTGACTTTCAACCAATGCAGCATAAAGAACTATTAAAAGTACGAAAACTATGTGTGATGTACTGAGAAAAACGACTAACGACTTTTGATATTTTGATTTGGTTTTCGTTCGGTTTTTGAAAAAGGTTCGTTAACTTTTAAAACGTGTGTGTGAAGGATCGAAGACAAAAAATTGAATAATAAATACTATAAAATAATAACTTAAATTAAGTAGTTTGATTTAGGCGAAACATTACATTGGCGACGAGCATTGTCCGAATTCATAAACGGAGATAAGGTAAGGAATTTGAAATTAAAAAGTGTAGAAATTTATGTGTAAATATATATATATATATAAAAAAAAAAAAAAAAAAAAAAAAAAAAAAAAAAAAAATAAAGGAAATGAAGGACAATCGTACACTAATCATGGTGTTAAGTTTCAAAAATCCAATTATAAAGCAACAAACAAGTGGAAACCAACAGTGATTCATAATGTTGCTCATGAAGATTCGATTGAACCACAAGTTCGTGTGAATGACAAATCTGGAGAAATAATTTATAATTTACATGGAGGACATGAAATTGAATGCTTGGTGGGTGGTGTTAAGATGAATTTACTTTTGGATACAGGCGCAAGTGCAAATGTCATTGCTGAAAAAGATTGGAAGTGCTTTAAAAGTAAGTTTAAGATTCTGAAGGAAGTTATAGGTTCAGATCGAATGTTTCGCGCATATGGAAGCAAAGAGAACTTGGTAGTCAATGGACGAGTACAGTTGGTAATTGAAGCGAATGGAAAACAGGAAGTTGGCTGGTTTTATATTATTAAAGATGGACAAAGATCCTTGTTGTCAGGAAAAACAGCTGAAATGTTGAAAATAATATCGATAAAAAAGGATGTAGTTTTTCCAAAGCTCCGTGGTACATATAGTGAATAAATTTATGATGTTGATAAAGTTAATTAAATAATGGTTATTTTTATTATTTGATGTAGATGTGATTGCTGTAATTCATATTGATAGTTCAGTTCCACCTGTTTCACAGCCTTATCGTCGTATTCCTGTTGCGATGGAAAGTAAGGTAATTCGGAAATTGAAGCAATTATTAACTGATGATATTGTCGAGTACGTCAACGAGCCTTCTTTATGGGTATCACCAATGGTAATCATACCTAAACAAGATGATATTCGAATATGCATTGATATGAGACAAGCTAATAAAGCTATTCTCAGAGAAAAGTTTCCGTTACCCACATTTGAAGAACTATCGCAAAAGTTGCTACATTGTAAATATTTTTCTAAATTGGACATTAAGCAAGCGTACCATCAATTAGAAATTCATGAATCGTGTCGATATATAACAACATTTATTACACCATTAGGCCTCATGCGTTATAAAAGGCTATTGTTTGGATTAAATTCAGCTCCAGAGACATTTCAAAAGACCATGGAATTTATTATTAGAAGTTTAAAGGGAGTATTAGTATACATTGATGACATTTTAATTTATGGTCAAACAAAAGAGGAACATGACAAATGTCTTCAAGCATTATTGGATCGATTGAAGTATTACAATGTTAAACTCAATGCAGATAAATGTCAATTCAATATTTTAGATTTAGATTTCTTAGGATTCCATATAACACCTGAAGGAATAAAAATTAGTGACAATAAAGTGCAAGCCATTCAGAACTTTAAAAATCCAGCGAGCATTGAAGAAGTTCACAGTTTTTTGGGACTCATTTCGTATGTTAGTAAATACGTACCACATTTGGCAACTATAGCGGCCCCATTAAATACACTAATAAAGAAGCATGCAGTTTTTGAATGGAAAAATCAGCATCAGGGAGCATTTGATAAAATTAAATCGATTATATGTCAGCGAGAATGTTTAGCCATCTTTGATCCAAAATGTAGGACAATTTTATTTGCTGATGCTAGTCCAATAGGCTTAGGAGCTGTATTAGTTCAACAACAAGAGGATAATTACAAAATTTGTGCATATGCGTCTAAGACTTTATCGGATACTGAAAAACGATATGGACAAATAGAGAAGGAAGCACTAGGAATAGTTTGGGGAGTTGAACGGTTTCATTACTTTTTATTTGGAATCGAATTTGAAATATGGACGGATCATAAACCGTTAACGTACATATTTACAGCTAATTCTAGACCATGTTTGAGAATTGAACGATGGGTTCTTCGGTTGCAAGGCTATTGTTATAAAATTATCTATGTAAAAGGCAAGAACAATATAGCAGACCCGTTATCAAGACTTTATATTCAAGACAAAAAAGAGAGCAATTTTGATGAATGTGAAGTTATTATTCAAGCAGTGTTTGATGAGAAGAAATCAATTTCAATTAAGGAAATTGAACAGGCTATGCAGGAAGATGCTGAATTGACAGAGGTGGCAAAATGTATTAGTTCAGGAGTTTGGCCGAAACATTTGTTTAGATACAAATTAATAGCGTCAGAACTATGTGAGCATGACAAAGTGATTTTAAGAGGCAAAAGAATTGTTTTGCCAAAAAGATTACGGCATCGAGCTGTTGAGTTAGCACACGAAGGTCACAATGGAATTGTAAAGCTAAAAAGAAATTTGCGAGAATCATTTTGGTGGCCGCTTATGGACAAGATGGTAGAGGAAGTTATTCAAGATTGTATAGGATGTACATTAGTATCAAATGCGGATAATTATGAAAAAATTACGACGACTGGATTGCCATCAAGACCTTGGAAATATTTAGCTATAGATTTTTTCGGTCCATTACCAACTAGAGAATATTTACTGGTGGTAGTCGATTACTATTCGAGATTTATTGAGGTTGAAATCATGATGTCAATCACAGCATTAAATACATTTAAAAAACTGCAAGTTTTGTTTTCACGTTTTGGATATCCAGAAGTTATTAAGGCAGATTACGGTCCACAATTTCGAGAAGAATTTAAGAAGTTGTGTGATCAATATGATATCCAATTAGTTCATTCATTACCGTACAGTCCTCATCAAAATGGAGAAGTCGAAAGACAGAATCAAGGAATACTGAAAGCAATACAAATCAGTCAGGCGTTAGGTCGTGATTGGAAGCTAGATTTGCAAGACTATTTATTGATGTATAGAAGCACGCCGCAAATGACAACTGGAAAATCACCAGCTGAACTTTTATTTGGAAGAAGAATTAAAAACAGATTTCCATTAATCATTGAAAAGGAATCAAATGATCAAACACTAAGAGAAACAGATGAGAATAATAAAAGAAAGGGAAAGGAATATGCCGACAAGAAAGCAAAAACATTGAACATTAATGTTGGTGACAATGTGGTAGTAAAGAATTTCGTCAAGAAAAATAAAATTGATACAAATTTTAGTCCGGAGTTGCATAAAGTAATAGAACGAAATGGAACTAGAGTTAAAGTTTTAAACATTAAGTCAGGAGTCTCAAATGAACGATATGTGGGACACGTAAAAAAGATTTCTTCAGCAAATCCATTCTTAACTAAAATTTCAGGTCAACATAATTTAATATCGCAAAATATTGATGAGGACGACTATCGTGATAACAACAAACATTTGGAACAGGATTCATTAATATCAACGCGTGAAGACGAAAGCGACAGTAAACTCGGAAGAACAAGACGCATGCCACAGCGATTCAATGAGTACGAAATGTACCTTCTTCAAAATTTTCAAAAGGAGGGAGAAATGTGATGTACTGAGAAAAACGACTAACGACTTTTGATATTTTGATTTGGTTTTCGTTCGGTTTTTGAAAAAGGTTCGTTAACTTTTAAAACGTGTGTGTGAAGGATCGAAGACAAAAAATTGAATAATAAATACTATAAAATAATAACTTAAATTAAGTAGTTTGATTTAGGCGAAACATTACACTATGAAACATTTCATTTTTTAACTTTTCTTTCTAAACTTTATGTCTTTAAAATAAGGTTTTTAAAATACTGATTGCCAAAAAAAAAAATTATCAGTTTCTTTTTATACAATTGAACACAACAGGCAAAAGGTAATATAACAGCTATTGAACATTAAAATTTGATGACTGTCCTGAAAATGACTTTATAACTTAATAATTATTAACTTTTATTTCATGAATTTCATCACGAACAATGAGCATTAAAATGTCAACTATTTATGATGAACCCGGACTCATTGAACTTATTTTCAATACTCTTCCAAGCCCAGAACTCGAAATAGTCAGATGCACAAGAAGCATTAATTCAAAGCAGAATCTAACTTACGTTCACTAGAATTCACTAGAAGTAATTCTTTATGTGTTAAATTTTTTGTTTAAGAAAGTCGATAGACTATTCAATCAATTGTTGTGTAAGTAAGTCATTACTTATGTAGTTGTATGAACTTATTGTAAACTCGCGATTTAATTGATTTGCAACCTGGAAATCAAGTCACAAATAAATTTCAAAAATTCTGGAAAAATTCAATGATTCAAAAATATTTTTTATTTCATTGACTTTTCACAAACTATTGATAAGATGTACACAGGTCTTCATGCAAGTCTTCGGATTGCTAAAATTGTTAGCATTTCCACCGCAGCTGGAAAAAAAATACAAACAATATTTTTATAAATAATGAAGATTCCCAAAAAACTTACCCAGTATAAATAAATGGCCTGCATTTTGCTATCAAAGGATTGAAGAAGAAACGAATGAGCTTTTGATTACATGTTACTAATCCTCCATCTTGTTTCAAATTGCAAAAATCAGGAGCGGTTTGACTTTCTACAAATGCAGTACCGAAAATGACCAAAAGTGCGAAAATAATTGTAAACTTCATGTTTAAAGGTTGAAACTTTACTTGATGTCTTTTTAACAAGGTTTATTGGATAACTGGATATTGAAAGAATCAACAAATGCTTTTATATAAATTTGAATGCAACAGGAAGTAAGACATAAAACTGCTTATGCATATTTTAAAATTTGATAATTTGAATAAAAAAGGCTTTTTAGGGTTTTTTTTTGTAGGTATTTAATTGCTTTACTTTCTTGAATTCGCAATAAATTTGACATTTATTTAAAGAATTTTTCATTGATAAATTTTACTTTGCACCAAGAATAAATAAAACATTGATTTTGTGTTTTTCAGCAAAACATTGACAACATCAAAATTGACGCTTCATTGAAAATAAAAAGAATTTTTCAATTTTTACAAAGAGTTTCACAAATCCTTTTAGATATGAAATTATTTCGATTGCCTCTACATCTGAAATGATATTTTGGAAAGGGATTATTATTATTCAAATAGGTATAAAGAGGCGAGATGGTCATGCAAACTTGTATAAGAAAAGCTATGAAGAACTAAATGGATAGTAAAGTAAATTGAAACTTTATAGCTCTTTAAAGAATCTCAAGATATATTCCAACATCATCTGACTACTTACCCTCCATAAAAGAATATATCACATGTTTTAGTTGAAGGATTGTAGTAGTACCGCTTTAAATGTCCTTCGCATGGACCTACTTCTGGATTAAACATACAATAACTTGCACGAGAGAACTCTTCTGATGATGATGATGATGATGACGATGATGACGATGATGATGATAATAATTTCCTTAAAAATATTTATAAAATAAATACAAACCAAAACCTACATTATATCACGTTCAAGGCTCCCGCAGATTATAATCTTTCTTCTTTAAATGACAATTATAATCTCTGTATGAAGATTAAAATCTTTAAAAACCAAAATATTATAATTCTCAGGATAATTCTTAATAAAAATGGCATTATTTAAAGGTTATAATCTGCAGAAGCCTTGATAACGTTAGACGATAACAAACAACTTTCATTTCATTACAAAAAAATCAAAGGAGTTCAAATCTCTTTGACTTTCATTAACTGCCTTCTCCTTGATAATACTTACCAACGTCCATCATCTCTGACTTTGTTTGATCTACAATCAACGAGAGTTCCCAATACAAGGATTGCAATAAATATGAAAAACGTTTCAATCTTCATTTTTAATAATGCTCACTGATTGACTTATTTTAATTGACTGAAGCTGACAGTTCTACTTACTTTCTTAAATATGATTATGCATTTTCAAAATTGCATATTTTTCATATTAATAGTTTTGCTGACTTTGTTTAATATTGTCTAAGCATCCGTTATTATTTCTGAACATAGAACAAAGCTTTTTGCTTACCTGTTAAATTTTAGTTATAATGACAGGATGAACTATTGATATTAAATCTTTAATAGAAGAAAATGTTGGAGTTTAAACCAGTTTAGACCAATAATTAGCAACAAACAGAGCTAGAAGCTAGAAACTTTATCTTGAAAGCATCTTGTTGAATTCTTGTGAAACTTGTGAATCATTCTGCGTGAGAACATAAAAATAGTAAATTCCTGAAAATCAGACATTATCCAAAAAATATAAAACAACAAAATTTTGACAATCAAAAAAATGTTTTTTTTTTTTATTTTTAACATTCACGAAAAATTAGATAAATTAACAGCTGTCATTAGTTTCTGCAAACATTCAAACATTGTATCTCGTTTTTGAAGTTGTTTTTGTTTCCTTCACACCTGCAAAAATTATTAAGTAGAATGAATTTTATTTTGTTAAGAATTAAGAAATAAGCAGTTAAGTGCCTTGCTGGTCGAATAGGTAAGGCGCTTGGCTCAAATTTGGTATGGTAACTCGAAGGTCGTCGGTTCGAATCCAGCCATTTCCAAAATTGTTCTTTTTCAGAAGTTTAGATGCTTCGACTGCTTAATGTACGAGATCAAGCCATAATTAAGCATTTTGGGCAACGTTGGATTAAGGAACGGATCAGGAACTTGAAGTTTAGCGGGAGAAAAAGGAACGAGGGCTACAAGATTACCTTATAATGGAATATTGTCAGAACGGACCTGAAATGCATCACGTCACGCCCACAGAAGATTGAAACGAGAGCCTGAATTTAATCCAAACCTAGATTTGAAGATTAGAAGCTTGATTCTACGTCACCCATAGTGATATGAAATGTATCACTAATCAATATAAAAAGTAATACATGTATAAATACTAATTCTTCCGGACGGTAACGTCGACAAATAAATAATAATAAAAATTGTGGAAGCAATTAAGTCTTTTTGATTAGGAACAAAAAGAAGTGGAGAGTAGAACTTCAGGAATTGGGAATGAGATATGTGGGATTTAGATATCCCATTAATGTTCAATATAAATTTATATTTTAAGGTCAAAACTGTAGATCTCCCTATAACTGCCATATGTGTATACTAATGTAAAACAACCCACGTGTCGAACCCACGACCTCAAAAGAGGCTATTTCTGACCACTCGATCAGGGATTCTTATCCATCGTCCACCGAGGTACTTATCTCACTTTGGCTATCCGTCATACACATATATCCAGTTTAAACGCGAGCCACATGTTCAGACCTATCTCTCCGAGCGATATATACAAAAACTATATGGTTCATAATTATGAACATTCTAGAAGCATATCCCAGAATGCACATGGCATCACGCTAGCATGGTGCCTGTTTTTTCGGACTTGTTGATGGCATGTGCTTTCCGGGTATGTATATGATAGAAAACAGTTAAAATATCGTGACTTACCCTCCGTATACGAAAAGTTTACATCTATGTACTAAAGCGTCGTAGTAATATCGATTAAAGTTCCCATCACATGAGCCAGGGTCAGTACCAAGCGTGCAAAATTCTGGACGAGTCCTGTATTTTGATTAAAATATAAACTAAAATTGTAGCAAAGTTTTTCTTTTAACCAATTCGAAGCACTCATCAAATGGAATTTAGCACAATAAATTTCTTGAAAACTCTTGATCGATGCATAACTTGTTATCGGTGCATAACGAAGTTAACTGAATATTCCAATGAAATACCAGTTGTAGGTTAAAAATGGATTTAACATCAAATTTGATGTTACATAATTGATGACTCAAACTTTAATTTAATTATACTTTTTACCATTGTTCATCATCTCTGACGATGTTGGTTCTACAATCAACAAAAGTTGACAGTAATAGAACTGATAAAAAAGTGAAAATGATCGCTGAACTCATTTCTTGAATTATTTTTTTAATTTAATGATGTTCACTGTTCAAAAGAATTGTATTGACTGAAGAAGCAGCCAATCGTGTTCACTTCGTAAAATCGTTTTGCAGTTTTGGAAAAAAATAGAAGAAAAAAAAAGAAAGTGATAAGTAGAGTGACCATCTGCGTAGTATTTCAAGCGTCTTTCCGTTGTTTTTATAGCTGTCCTGTATTTAATTAATAATATGGTTCCTTTCCATTTCTCAATGACTTCATAGTTCCTCTAAGTTCAGAGTCGAGTTGAGGAACCAATTGGTTTATTTAACTCAGTTAACTTATCGACAGAAACACATATATAAAGTCATGTTAAGGCGCAATATTGATAACTGGTTTTAAGAAATCATGCAACTTTATTCAATTCATTTTATACATTAGCAAAATCACAGCATCAAAGTTATTCAAAAGTATTAAAACAAACCATTGCACTTAGTTTTGGCATGTTTTAAGACAGGCACGCTTGGTAAGGAAATTGTTTTTGTTGCCCTTGCATCTAGAAAATACATCAAGACAATTTTGAAATCCAACACAACACTTGACTTATATCTGAAGACTTACCCTCCATATGCAAACCTTTCGCATGCTTGTCTTGCAGGATTGTAATAATATCGATAAAGAAGCAATTTACATGGACCTGCAACTGGATTAAGTGTGCAGTAATCTGGACGAGTCAGTTCTTCTGATGATGAGATCCTGTATTTAAGTTAAAAGTCACAATTAATATGTAAGATTAGATTCAATTCTACTTACGATTGCCAATCATCTCTGATTTTGTTGGATCTACAATCAACAAGGATTGGAAGTAACAGAACTGAGATTAAAGTTAAAATGATCGCTAATTTCATTTTGAGAACGTATTTTGATGCTCACTATTTGAAAGAATTAAACTAAATAAGCTTTAATAAGAATCAAGCTCTTTTAATGTATATTCACAAATCGATCTGGAATATGGAGGGATTAAAATAAGGTTTAAAGTGCATTAGGAGGGATGATTCTGATGATTTTAGCAAATTGTTTTATGTCATCGACAGTAGCCTTATCACGAAGGTTGAGTAAATAAATTTGAAATATCAGCACTTCGAAGATCAATATTTGTACTTATTATTGATTATCAATTAAAGTTCCTTAAACATAAAAATGTTTTATTAAAAGTTTGTAATAATTAAAAATAATGATCAAGTCTGAAAAATACAAAAGTAATCTACAAAAATCCTTATAAACTTATAAAAATCAAAACCCAAAAGTCTCAACCATTGGACATCATATTAACTGCGAAGAATATTTCTAATGACACATGAAGCAATTTTTTACACAACATGTGACGTCCAATTACGAAATTCTGCTTATCATTCGAAATAACTTCCAACAGATTAAGCATAAACATTGAGTCTTGTGATTAAATAATCGTGACTTTATTGTTTTTACTATAATCCTTCGTATAAAATCTGGAATCATTAATTCAAACATTTACGATTCATTCAACTTTGTGAATTGAGTCATCAGAAAGTGTTTAATTGTTTTTTAAAACAAGTTTATTTAACGGATTTTTCACATTTCAAAATTAACGTTGTTTTAGAATTTAAATTTTTGAACCTCAAAGGAAAATCACTACGTCGAAATTCAAATTTTAACGTGTTTTTCAAAGTTCAAAATAAAGTTTCAAATCCGAAAAATCCGTTTAAAAAAAATTTTTATAAGGTTGATAGACCAATAATGATATGCTGCATCTCGCGACAAATATTTACATATCATTGTATATATAACGATGATTCAATAATCATTCGAGTTTCATAAGCAACACAAAAAAAAATATGATAATGAAGGCAAGCTTTTAAAACTACCTGACGATTGGCATGCGAGCATTTTTTTGGGATGTATAAAAAACAGACCCCATATGTTTTGTGTTTGCAGACTTTAATACTAACAAAGAAAATAAGCTCATTGAAAAGTATCGATAATCGATTGACCTATTTCCAAATACCCCAAAAAATAATCTTCAAAGAATCAGAACCTGTTCATCAGCAGAATCATCAATATTAATTAAAATCAGCAAAATATTTTAGTGAAGAGCCATTAGCAAAAAACCGCAAAAATATTGAGGTAGAGCATGGATAATAGGCAATAAAAAATATATACAAACTGCAAGAATGTTTAGGTAAAAAGGAAGTATAAAGGCACACTTTTATTATCAAAAATACAAAAAGAGATTAAGATTCTTAAAATCTAAGATTATTAACCAGAGGTAAAGACTTTAATCAGATAGTTTGTGACGTCACTCAAATGGACTTTTTCTGACAATGTTGTGTTTCGGTTCCTGAGTTGAAGGAATCCATCATCGAGGGAATTATCATCTAATACAAGATTATAAGGAATGCCAATTGTGTCGTAGGAATTAAAAAGTTTATCCAGCATACTGTCTTCATCATATGACTTGTGCTTTAATTCGTTTAGTACCTGAATTCTTGGTTCTGTTTCCATAATTAGCAGTTGTACATATCGTGCCAAATCCGTCAGTTCCTCAGAGTATTCTTTACTTCCATTACAGACAATTGACAATTGATATGGAGCGATTCTCCTGTGAAAGGCAGTATAATAATCTGTGAGATTAACAGCATCAAATAGAAGTGCCATTGTGGCAGCATTTAGATCCACGACAGTCTTAATCACATCCGGTAAAACTTCCTTCTTATGATTTGGAATTTTCGATAAGAAATTGCTGAGCAATTCCTTGTCTTTTATACAATCCTTGAGTGAGAACAATTTGAAACTTTCTACATTTAACAAATGATCGGTAACTGTTGACTGTATGTTTACAAATTTAAATTTTGGATCGCTCTTCTGGTCTGAAATTCTATATTTGCCTGGATATGATCCATACTTCATCCACCAGATTTTATGTTGTCTCTGCATATGATAGAATGATTCATTACTGAAACTATTGCTGACAAAGTATGATGTTCTCAGCAAGTAACGCTTTGGAAATATTACACGCAATGTACCGTCGTCAATGCACTCAATGAGATTATTCTTCTCCTTAATTTCCTCGGATATACAAAATGGAAGTTCCTGACTCTCTTTCAGCTCTACAAATGCATCAATAAATTTCGAATTATGTAAATATGCAGCATAATCATTCGCATCTTTTTCACCCGTTGAATCTATGAAAGTACTACGAATTTTAGGTTCACGCGATGTATGAAACTTTAAATATTCATTTTTCACGTTGTTGAGCACGTTATTGAATAACGGCGTCACATTTCTGACTGTTATTACATTATTCTTCTGTTCTAAATCCGCAAACTGCTTAATTCTTGATAATTTCTCGACTATTTTCATTATTAACACGCAATTTTTGACAATTTTATTTTTATTATTGTTAAAAATTAAATTTGAATAATAAGAAGCTTAAGGCTCGTTCGCTTATTACGAAACGCTTTTTTTGGGACATTTAATGACAGTTAAAACAAAAGATATGTTTTACATAGAAAATTTGTGACAAATGAAAGAAGGGGGGGGGGGGGGGTATAAAAAGCCAATTTTAACGTTACTTAATAAATAAACAGCCCCAATAAGAAGCTCAAAAGTTTACATCTTCCATAGAAAAACTACCAAATGTATTTATCTCTATTGTTATTGCGCATTTAAATCTTATTAAGCTGTTAGTTTCCGTCTTATCAGTTTGGGTGTTTATTTGTTTAAAATTAGAATCATCGTATGATGTATTTTCAGCTAGTAAACAAATATTTCAACAACAGCAATTTTAAATTATCTGAACTTTCCAGTCTATTGTTTCTACTTTCCACTCAATTTGTCTTATTTTGATGAGTTTATAGCGAATTAGGATGTTTTGTTAGCTGTTGCTTCTTCCTTCTGATAGATTTATTGTAATTAATGGGTTTTAGATACTTTATATGCTGAAATTAAGCATTTTAATGGTCTAAAATTGAAAATTTCCATTAAAATATTTCAAATACTGGAAAACTTGACCAAATTTAAAATTTGAACAAACGTTGAATTTTGTTTACAATTTACAAAGCATTGAATAAAGCATAAAATCAACAATCATTCAGAAGAACAGCTGCAAATAATGCGTTTAAGCCACAAGAGCTTCACAAAAACTTCCTTACTAGTTTTTATTTTGATTTTTCTTATTTATTTTCGTCGTTTTAAATTTCCTCAAAATTTATTAAGTTACAGATGAATGCAAGAACTAGATATATTTTAAAATGGTGTAGTTTATTAAGTGGATCAACATTTATCTCATGGACCGTCTACGAAACAACTGAAGCCTACAAATTCTTAAGAAAACCATTAGACACAAATTGTTTATTTAGCAATCGAAGTGAATGGATTTATATAAAGCATAATTATCTACGTGACCCAGTAAGAGACCTCCTGAATGAGTTCTTTGAAGAGGAGACAAAAATCTATAGTTTTTTATACAATTTAAGGAAGCGAATGACATTTACTAAAGTAAGTCTAAAATGGCAATAATTGAAAGTGACCTTGAAGTAAATTCTTTCCTGACCTATTTCTTCTTACCTTACTACTCATTTGCTAATCATTTTAGATTGAATATGCGCTTAAAACTCTTCGCGTCGCAAAAAACACTGATGATCCATTTATAAGACGAAAAGCAGTAAACAATCTTGCTAATCAAAAGCTACTTGACTTGGACGAATGGGAATTTCACTTTTTATCACAATATGTAAATGCTTCAACAGCTATTTGCTTAGCGAGACATAACTGTAACTCCAATTTAATACGAAAACCGAGAGAGTTTGGGAATGTGAAATCGAATATTGACATTATAAGCGACATAAAGGCACTTTTTGACTCAATGAAAGACAATAAATGTATTAAATTCATTTTAGACACGACAAATGCTTTTGAGAGCCTTAAAGATCCAGATCATGAGACAAGCTTACATGAATTACATCCTGAAACTGACCATATCATTCAATCACTTGATCACTTCTTGCACTTGACAAAGCAGGCTGATACATGCTTAGAAATAGCCAAAAATGATGGACTTGAGATTCTACTTGATATTTATAAGAACTTTAAGGATAATATTGACATTAAAATGATTTTATCGAAGATTGTAACGAATATGTCAACAGGAAGTGAAGGGATACTTGACTATTTTTTCAAGAGCGGTTGGATATATATGCTATCAAATTGGAAGCATGATGAAGATTTACGCGTTCAAGTATTTGCGTCCACATCATTAAACAATCTAGATAAATTTGATCCAATTAAGTTTAAGTATAGACCAAAGCTTTATCCACTGTATCCTCGAGAAAAAATGTTTAAGAAACCGGATCTCGATTTAGTTTTTGTGCATGGTTTACTCGGTGGAATTTGGATTACATGGCGTGTACAAAAAGATGCTGACATGATGAAAATCGGCAATGGAACTGACAAGGATCAACAGAATTTGTATGATGTCCGAAATTCAATTTTTCAAGAGGAGGCAATCTTTAGAAACGAAAAGATTGTTCAAATGGAACCGAGCACTACCAGTAAATTATTGACAATCACTGAGCAGACAACCAAAAATGTTCTATTTGCTCTTAATGATATGGCAGAAGAGAAGCTTTCACTCGAAGATGTAAGTTTGAAAAAGTTTGATGTTAAACGGTTTAAAAGAATTTTAAAATGTTTTAAAGCCATACAAATGTTTTTATGAGATCACAACATTTGTACAGTTTTGAAACATAATTTGTATGGTTTTAGAATCAGAATTTTAAAGATTTGAAAATTTCCGTTAAAAATGCAAAATCAAATTAATTAGTGTATGATGCATTGTTGTCGTAAAAATATTTGTCTGCTCCTCATAATTGATTTCACAATTCAGTTCCTATTACCGATAAATCAATTTCCTAATTTTAGTTAAACTTTACCAAGAAAATTCTGAAGCACGTTGTAAAGAAAATCAACGAACAGAAATACAGCTATTGTTGGCCGATTGACTGGCTTCCACAACAATTTCCCAACATTAGAATATTAGGTCTGCAGTTTGAGTCATCTTTGAGTTACTGGACATCGAAAGTATGTTCATGTGAAAAAAATAAACGAAGATTGCGAAATATATCAATGGACTACCTTGAAAGGCTCAAGGATGCAGGAATCGGACAACGAGAAATTGTTTGGGTGTGTCATTCAATGGGAGGGCTTATAGTCAAATATATAATTAATTTAGCTTTATCAAGTGACGATCCAGAAATTAGAAAAATTGGTGAAAATTCTCGTGGGATCTTCTTCCTAGGTTGCCCACATCGAGGATCAAAAATATCAAAATTGAGTAATCAAACTTCTGCAATTTTATGGCCAACTGTTGAGGTTCAGGATCTTGAAGAGAACTCAAAGGAACTGCTGAAACTCAACGAACAATTCTTGGATAATGTTATGAAAATGAAAAATCCAACGGAAATTGTTTCAATCGCCGAAGGCACAACGACAAAAATATTCCAGAATATTAAGCTACACGTAGTTCCAATATCAAGTGCATATCTAGGATATGGAGACTTCTACATTTCACATGAAAATCACCTCAACCTGTCGAAACCTATTTCACAAAATTCTTTCATTTACACTGCTCTTGTGAGCATGCTTGAGAAAATCCTCAAACAAACCAAAGAAATATGACGAGACAATGTGATAATTGATTTTAATTTTTAAAAAAGTTGTTTAGTTTATCACCTATTTTGCTGTTGCTTTAAGTAAAATAATAAAGAGAGACATATATTTATTTAATTGATAAGTTATATCAAGGACTTGCGGGAATTTTGTTCTTAATTTTTTGTTTATAAAAAAGTGGTGTTCAGTTGTAAAATCTAGTCACAAATCAGTAGAAAGTCATCAACACAATGATTGTAAAACAGTAGCAACATCAAGGAAACTTAAATTGCTGCAAAAATTGCACACAATTTACGAAATTCAGAAACTTTTCTAAACATAACCTCAAGACAACTGTGAAAATTGATTTAGAAGACTTTTTGATGGATTAAAGGAAGAAAACGAAGTATAGATAGATTTTTTTTTAATGAATACAAAGCTAGGGGCTGTTCACTTATTACGTTCGCATTTTAGGGGGGAGGGGGGGTTTGAAAAATTGTACCAAAATGTAACAAGAGGGGGAGTGGGGGGGGGGGGGGGGGTGTCAAGAAGTATGAAAAGTTCTAACTGTCGTCTGACTTTAAAAAAAAAATCACGAAAAAAATTTCACACCAAAAAGATTTTTTAAATTTTCCACCTTTTTAATGAATTATGAAAAATTATCAAAATAAAATAAATTATGAACGTTCAGTGGGGGGTGTAAGTTGTAACATATTGTAACAAGGGGGGGAGGGAAAAAGTCGTTTTTTTGCGTAACGTAACAAGTGAACGGCCCCCTAGGAAATCTATCAAATTATTCCATGTTCCCTTGAAAGATAATCATTTTCAAAATACTGAGATAACAAGTTGTACAACGAACTTGGGGGTTCTTATCAATTTAAGTCGTAATAAAAAATAACTTTCTTCAAATCTGAAGCAAATTGGTTGTCAGTATAAAAGGGGATTTCGGTTTGGGGAATAACTTAATTGACATTTAAAACACTTCAACATAAAGAAATCGGGTTTCTAAGAATTTATGTAGTTAAGTACAAAACAATTGGGGTGATTAAGATTTTGTTTATACGTTTGGTGATTCCTGTGTGTTGTTGATTGTACTACAAATTTATTATCTATCTTTTACAATTTGTGTTAAAACTAGTGTATCGGGTAGAAATCCAATGCGGATATATTCACACCGTACCATCAAAAGTCTTATGGATAGACCAAGATTTGCTTAGCATAAGTTTGAAGGTATAAAGCTTAACGAACATTCTTTGTTTTTTTTTTTTTCATCCAAATCAGTGTTGCATTCTGGCTATTTGTCTGGATCTGATAAATTCTGAGACAGACATCTCTTCATAAAGATCGATTCTATATGAAGATAGAAAATCTAATCTACACAAAGATTATTTCTACATAAAGATTCTGTCTACATAAAGATTCGATGTAGATGTCTATAATTCTACATTCTTCTCTGATGTAGACCTGGAAAAAATGTAGACTTGTAGACATCTACATCGAATCTTTATGTAGACAGAATCTTTATGTACAAATAATCTTTGTGTAGATTAGATTTTCTATCTTCATGTAGAATTGATCTTTATGAAGAAAGTTTCTTAGCTAAACAAAAACTATTGAAGAATCTACATTCTTCATCTAGTGTAGACATCTACATTTGCAACACTGATCCAAAGTTTAATTTTATAAAAATCACAGTGAACTTTTGTTCTGAAAAATTCGTAAGAAAGGAAAGTTTTTTGCTTTTTCTGAAGCAACGGCTGTTCCTACCTTGCCCAAAAATAATACAGCTCTTCTATAGAGCAGCAAGGATCAAATGTAAAAAACTAGAAGTCTCTACGATGTCTCGTAATTGAGATTTCTTGCTGATTAACTTGCTTGCTTACAGAAAGCGTATTTTGCGATTTTCTCAGCAATGCCTCAACCAATTTGAAATCTGTTTTTTGCAAAAGATGTGAAATTTAAGGCACAAACTTTTCATCTGTGAACATTTTAAGCTATCTTGCTCCTTATCCTCACAAAATACGAAAAACTTATTTTTCAATCTGAACAAAACCAATAGATTCACACGTGAAAACGGTGTGAATATGAAAGTAATTTAAGGTATTACAAACTTTATAAAATGCCTGAAATAATTAGAATAGTTTAAAATTTTCCTTTTATGACGTAAAAGGGGGCTGAGCAGTGAGATTAAAATTACAGTAAATCATGTAAGAACAGACCGAAGCACGTGGGCGCAGTAATGTAAATAGATTTCACCATAAAGTTTACTAAATGATTCAGATTTTTTTATTACTTTAAATCAGTTGGTCTTTTTGCTAATTTTTTTTTTTTGACCGCATCTCAATAGTTCAAACTTAACTCATGTCATATCAATAATCACATTTCATTTTTACATTTGATTTAAAACCGACGAGGTTAACATCAAGATAAATTCAGTTTGTTCCGACGTATATCATTAATTAAATAAAGGATTATTATTATTATTATTACTTTAAATCAGAGCTCGAAGTCGATAGGGTTTGAGTCGACTTCGAGCTCTGCTTTAAATCATCAATCCTTGAAAATAAGGGATAGCAGAATTTCTCCACACTACAAGTGTAAGCAAACAGCTTATCATCATTATTGAAGTGGTGACTTTAATACTTTTGCAGATTAAAATTATTTATAAGTTTCTTTCCCTTGATTTGCAATTGTTTAAATTTTTAAAAAGTTTAAATTTCGATTTGCACAAATATATTCATTAAAAGTACTGACTTTGAATTTAAGTTTAAGAAGATTCATAAAGAAACTCTTCCTCCTCGTAGTTTCATCTCTAGATTACAGTTTCTGTCAATTTAATGTATTAGACTATTTTTAAACTTCCGAGAAAACATTAAAATTCCACATTAAAACGCCATTAATGATCTAGTCCCCAATTTATTTTTGTGAAAAACAATAACAGGAATTTTCTGGAATATCTCGAATGTGTATTAAGATTTTGCGGCCTGTTTCACTAAAATGGATTATCCTCGATTTCGGATTACCCACTTCAGTTTTTTGGAAATATCTCCAGACGCTTAAGGTTATTAAGAGATCTAATGTGTGATCTAGTAAGAGAACTTTGCTACTTAAATTAACATATTCTTAGAATTTTTATATCTTCATTAGTTTGAGAATTATAGCAAAAATCGGAGTTAATCTACTAGATTTGGCTATAAAATTGAATAATTAATACTTCTTAACGAAAAGCAAAAGTTTAAAGTGTACAGAAATTTCAGGTATAGTTCACTCTATTATAATCCAAAATTAGAAACACCACACCTCCCATAAAGTTTAAGATATTTCCAAAAACTGAAGTGGATAATCCGAAATCGAGAATAATCCACTTGAGTGAAACAGGCCGTTGGTTAATATCAACAATGTTTTTTTACGTCTTAATTTTAAGCTTATTTGTTCAACGTTTATAAAAACCAGAAAATAACATTTGTTATTGATTAAATTTTGTAAATACTTGATGCTTTCCTATACATTTTATCATTGTGTTTTTGTTGCGAAATTTCAATTTTTAAAAAAATTTCAGAAGTTAATCAAATTTCGGGTAAAGTTTTGAAATTGAATTTTTAACAAAATGTTTTTATTGGCTTAACCGTTAAGGACTCATTTTTGTTTAAAAATATAATCCATGAATAGTTTGAAATACCGAACGAAAGACTTAAACAGCATATACACACAGTTGCACCTAAGAAAACATTTAAAACATCCAATAAAAGTCAATGCAATTTTTATTCAAAATGTCAATGAATTTATAATGTCCTTGAAAATCATAAAAAATAATATTATAATGTATTAGAGTTAATTTAACATGTTATAGAATAACTCAGAACTTCTTATCGGTCCGCTCTCTCCGAATCAAATGAAAATATAAAGCGAAACGAACATAAACATCAGTTTCATGATATGGTGAAATTCTCATGTTACTTATAGTTATTGGAGGTCTACATATTCTCTCATTCTATAAGCACCCACGAAGCTGAAGTGATATTATTGACCTAAGACAATAATTTATTGAAAATTTTCATCAAGCAACTCCAAAAAAATTCGTCATCAAGTTTTCTAAGCAATCAGTTTCGTCATCAATCGCCAGTCACAGATTATTATTACGTATACATGCACACGGAAAAAAAATAACGACAATAAATTCAAATATTCCCGCGTGTATAAATTTTCGTTCAGTCTACATTGGTTTTTTGAAGAGAAAAGTTCACTTCGCAAAAGTTTTTTTTCATTTTCATATCTTTAAAAAATTAATTAATTACACTGTTTCTGTGGCATTTCTGTGCAAATTTACATATTAATAATTAAAATAACGAGCTAGAGCATCAATTAGTTGTATTATAAACAGTCAAAACGGATTCTAGATAGAAATATCATAACTTTAAAATTAAATATGGTGAGTAAAAATTTCATTATATTGCGTTGTTTTTGTAGAGGAAATAAACACACGATGAAAAGAGATGTGTAGAGTACTGTTTGTACTGTGTAGATAGGTATAGAAATTGCCAGTACAAAATTCTGGAAAAGTGACATAAGTGCTTTATTTTAATTATAGTGCAAATGGAACCCAACGTATATTTTGAATTTAAATTTCTAATATTGGATTCAGTGTCAATGATGAAGAACTTTTCCATGAAAATATAATTAAACTAATTCAGTGAAAAACGATAATTAAAGAAATCATTTAGCATGTAATTGCAAATTATGGACTGTAAAAATGCATGCTTTATTGCATTTTTGTGAAATAAAAATTTAACGGTTTTGTGAAATTGAAATCTGTGACTAATTCATTGTCAGCTGTTGACGAAATCATTTTTACCTGGAATATGAAATTCAAATTTAAGATTATAAAAAATTAGGGTAAATACTTTTGAAATTTGTACAACTTTGTTCATGAAAATTTCATTTGCCTGAAACTTTTTAACCGATCTTTGTTAAGCTACGATGCTTATCAGCAGTGATATTCGCATTTTATTTTCAACTTTTGAAATTTGCACAAAAAACTTTGAAATTTGCGCACTTTTTTTGATAGCAATCCATGACATTTTTGAATTTATAAAATTTCATTTTTTTAAAATGGTCAGAAATTGTGTAATTACTGGTTGTAAAGGAAAGAAAACCAATAAAATACCTTTGTTTGAACTTCCAAAAGCTCTGTGCATAAAGATAAGTGGATTGAATTTCTTAAATTGCATAATATTGAATATTGCTGTGAAAAAAAATATTTCTTGTGTATTCTTTAATTTATTTATAGACAGCTTAATTGTTTTACCTTATGTTCTGATCCTTTCTTTAACCAGAAATTCATCAATACAGTAATTGCACAAATTGAAGTCGATTTTGAACATTGTCAAGATAAAATTGATAAATTATTAAAAGTTTTTGTTGAATATAGAGTAAAATTACAATTTCAAAATCGATTGGTACATAAAAGTTCGAAATTTTTCGAAATTCAGTTTGAATTTTTCGAATCTAACTGAAGTTTTCTTTGTTTGTAGTCGTTGACAAACAATATGTTTACAATTTTAAGGGTGATGAAATATTATGTTTCGTCAGAAAGTTCCAAAGAAATCCAATAAATTTATTGTTATTGTGTTTTTATAACATCGTCAGAGGCATCGTCGTTGAATATCAACAAAAAAAAATTGAACAAAAATCAAGCAAGGATACTCAAAAGCAGCATCCATTTTATGGATTATCTACAAAATTAAGTTGTTCGAGTAAATCTCAAGTATAAGCTGTTTGTTATATCATTTAAATTCATCTATAAAATAAAGACCATTTTTAAATTTTCCAAATTGCTTTGTAAGAATTAAAACTTGCTGTATCGAAAGTTTAGATGCATAGCACATTTCTTGATTTTCTGGAAATTCTTCATAACCGACATGTCCAAAATATATCCTCTAATTTTTTAAATCACCATTCGCTATTATCTTTATTTTAGGCATAAAACATTAATGTTTTGAATCAGAAAAATTAATGTTTACATCAGAAGAATTAATGTTTATATCAAATTTCGCAATGTCTCCTAATCTTAAAGGTGTGCAAATTTTAAAAGTTTCGATACATTTTTGTGCAAATTTTAAAAGTGATTTTTTGGGCAGTTCCGCTTATTCTTTCACAAAAGAAATACTTCCAAAATTTTAAACAACTTAAGAACTACATTTTTGGATATTAAAATATTTGAAAAAGCCACTGATTGTATCCCAAAACTTTATATTTTGCAAAGTTTCGTTTTGTATGAAAAATTGATTGCTGAAGGAATTCATCTTCCTGATGCCTTTATACAACTCAAAGTGGTACAACAGCATTTGTACAATAATTATACAAAGATTTTGTGAACAAAGTATTATCAGAAGTGGATATTCTGAGAGAAATTTGTATTTTTTATTTTCATATGAGTGTGCAATTTTCAAAAGTATTTACCCTAGTTGTAAAAAGTTGTGAATTCTAGAAGTTTTAATGAATTTATTCAAATGTCAGACAAAGTGAACATATAGTGTGCCGAAAAATGCTGAATAAAGAGAAAAAGAAAAATAAGAAGAAGAATGAAAAAAATACGTATATATGAACGGTGTAGACGTGATTTTCTGCAGTCAGTTCTCATTATTCTGTCCGATATGTATGACGCAAGAATTACTAGTGTTTACAACTATGTTTACATCCTAGTATAGGAAAAAAAATAAGTGCTACATTTTTAAGGATTTACATAAAAAAATAATAAAACAGACAATGATGAAATTCGAGCATTAAATTGCGCTCGAATCCAACAAAAAATAAAAAAACTACACGTCGCAAAAAGTGTTCATTAAGTTATCAACTTTCTGGAAAGTCTAGTACAATTGAGCTTATCTTTCTTGTTTATACCAATGAAAAGAGTTGTGAATCAACATTAGTCATAAGTCAGTTCCTCGGGAATTACCTCAAATTCTAAGAATTTAGTGATTTAATAAAGTACAAAAAAAAAACACAAAAGACTTGAAAAAGACTCTTAGAAATAAATAGCAAGTGCTAGAAACAAAAGGAATTTAGTCAATATGGTAATGAACGACAATATTTATACTTTAAGTTTCTGCATTATCTCTTACGTCTGTGTGTGGTGTGATCAGAAAACAAAAACAAACATTACTCAAGTCGCACAAAGTTGATGAAATTTTATTAATTCTTACTTTATCTTCAAATAGGGCGGTTCAAAAATGTTACAATTAGATACAGTGATCTCCAATATGATAAAGACATCAAGCAATCATGAACAGCGAGTGAGACGGTTTATGACAACTCGAGAAGAAGCAGTTAATCGATGCCTAAATTCTTTAATTCATACTTTAAGCTGCCGGGACGGTGACTCGTGCAAAGCTCATGGATGCATGAAAATGAAGCGGGTTGTCGAGCATACAAAGACATGCCCAAGGAAGAATAACAACTTTCGTGGATGTTCAATTTGTACACAATTGATGAATTTGTGCTTCTATCATTCGAAAATATGTCGTGCACACGTCTGTCATGTACCATTCTGTCGTATCATGAAGAAAAAATTGCAAGCTTTGAATGAACTCTATGCTCAGAAGCAAAGTATTCAATCGTAAGTATCTATTGCACCATTATATTTGCTAATTGACTGGATTATTAATAAATGTATTATATTGTTCAGCATGAAGCCTGTTTATCAATTTCCAATACCTCCAATTCACCCGCCTGTTTTAAAACAATCATCATCATCGTCCTTGTCATCAATTAATGATGGACCTGATATGATTGAACCGCAACCAAAGAGAATGAGATTGGATGACAGTGAAAGCTCATCATCATCATTCAGCGATCATAGTAATATTGAAGCTCAAAACTCTAATTTTAATTTTAATAATGTATGTAATTTGTTACAAGAGCCACAGGCAGCCGTTTAAGCAAAGCATTTTCTGAAAATGATAAAGAAAAAAAAAATCTTCCAAGAAAAACTTTTTCCATTACACACTTTTCTTTTTCAAATCCAAGTCAACAAAAATCTATAACTATAACTATAAAAAAAATGGAAATACAGAAAAAAAATTGTAAAACTCTCCTCAGTAACTGTTTAGTGTTTAAAAACAAGGAAGAACATCTAGAACTTACTATAATTTTTAAATGGCATCAAATTGTGAGTGAATATCACTCTAAATTTTGTTGAGATTTAATGATTCAGAATCACTGTGATGTCATTTAAGGTTTAAATACTTTAAAAACTTTATTTACTATAATTTAGAATAATTAAATTAAATTCCATTCATCAAAAGATTTTGAAGCAATCCACACGAAGAAATTTAAAATTTTTCGAGTTTTTTTATGAAATTTTAATCATTTCCACATCTGGTTTTTGTTAAAAGCACGAACCAATAACTTTATAAAATACAGAAAACTCGCTTATTGTGGATTTTCCTTTCTAAATGCCATCAGAACTTTGTAATAGGATTAAAATAAAAAGATATGAAATTTTGGATAAATGTAATTAACTTTTTAACTTTTAAGAAATTTTGTAGACCATTTCGTTGTTGCCTAGATTCTAGTTATTCTTAATTTAAATCAGTTTTTAATATTAATTTATTTTTAACATAATCGTAATAAGTGTAAAATTAAGTGATAAAATTTAAGCAGTGATCGCAGGATAAGTTTAGTGATTAAGAACAAAGCATTTTTGCAATGTCATAACGTATTTCCAAAAAAAAAAATTATCGGTTTTAACAATGTCCTAAAGTGAACTGTGATAAACAAATACTCAAAGTGTTTATGATAATTACATTTTCAAGGTAAGACTGAATGACTTTTAATTATTAAATAGTGATAAGGTTATTTTAGATAGACTTTTTATGGCTTTTCCCTTTTTTTTTATCTTAATCAATAATCACATACAAAAAAGTTCACATCATATGGTGAAATATAGTCTAGGAGCTAAGTCTGTGTTTTTATTGTATGAAGTTACGTGCAATTTTGCGTTAAACTTATATAATTTCCTTGACTTTCTGTTTGCATTTCGACGAACATTGATGATCTATTGACTGTAGAAGATGAGATTCATTGTTACTAAGAATCCATTTTAATATTAATATTATGTCAATTTAATTTTTTGACCCTTAATGCCTGAAATTCAGAATGATTGATGATTTCCAAATCATTTCCAATTCCTCTGAACTATTTTGATGTAAAGTAGTTGATATATAGGAATAATTTTATTTATTGTTCTTGACTTGTCCTTCCTTTTACTGATCTCTAAAATTAAAAGTATAGGAAACTTTACTTTAATTTGATAGATCAAGAACTGCTTTAAATTTAAGTTAAGATTAATTAAAGTTAAAAGATTTAAATAAACTGCTTAATACATTCAATATTAGGTAGAATTACATCAGTTAAAACGTTCTATCCTTGATACTTACTTCCTTTTTCTAATACAATTCAATAAAAATCGTTTAAAAAAATAGAAAATTTCAAAATATTTTTTCATTCAAAATTCAATTTCTTAAAATTCGTTCAAAATTATCTGCAAAATAATACAACTTAATAAAAATAATTTCACCACGTCATTAAAAACCCTTATCAGCCATTGCCGATTGGTTGTATGCAAACACGTACTCCTCCTTATTTCACCATCGATATTCCAAATACTATTATGTATTACATCTAGTCTTCCGCAAGCCATTAAGTCTTAGCTCAGCCCTTTACACTAAATTAATGTTAATGATGTTTTTTTTTACTAATATTGTATGCTAAAATGTGATACTTAAGTACAACCTGCATTTAAAAAACTAAGACTGAATAAAAATTGTTGAATTCTATTTTTAAAAAATATAATTTGTGGCTTTTTACTCTGATAAAGAACGTTTTTATGGATTTGAGGTTAATTCCATCTCAAATCTAATCTTAACTTTCAGAGGAGCTGATAAGTGCAACCAGGGGTGAATCTAGAAACTTTCTGGTCCCATCACTTTCTTGTACACACCTATTTTAACATTTAAGACGAGCCTATAAGGTGAGTGAAATGTATTAAGTTGCAATTGAGAGTTTAAAAAGAGAACGGATGTTGCTCTCAATATTCGTTAAATTCAATGAAGGCGAATGTCATAATGTGGCATCTATTTTTAGATATTTAAGTTGACACAAATGTAAATTTTCTTTTCGCTTATTCAATCAACTGAAAAATTGCTCATTCAACTTAAATCCTTGCGATTTGTATAAAAATTTTCAAATGATTTTGAGCCTTTTTATGGAAATTTTTTATTAATATGAATGCGGCAACATTCAGATATTGTTGAGTCATACTTTTTTAAAACTTGAGACGAATTGAGTTAAAAATTCTGAACAAGTTTATATTGCGACTTAATTTTTTGATATGTTGAATTCTGAGTAGAACCGGTGATTGGCTGTTATACAATTATCGTACATTAATGACGTCTTCTATTCAAAGAAAGGGTAGAAGGCCTTAGATTTAATTAAAGAAAAATCAAATTTTTGAAGATTTGCTGACAGAAATAAATTAATTTGTAAAGACGTCATTTTTTGAGCGACCCCACAAGAGAATTTTAATGTAGTGATCAAACTTGATCTGAAGAAAAAGATTAAAAAACCCTGAAAAATCCAAAAATTTACAAACTATTAAGAAATGTCTTTAAAAGTGCGAAATGAACAAACTTACCTCCTAGACATGATGTCTACTTTCTACAGTGAATAATAAAATTTGATAAACAAAATGAATCACAACACAACAATTGTTGGTTTTATGTTATTCCCCGAAACTGCTGCTCTTGATCACGTACTATACAATCATGTGGATTTAAGTTGAATTTCTTTCTTTCCATTCGCTTTATCATGTTGATTGCTTATTATTTTTCGAGTTTCGATATCAATGTTATGTGATTTTAATGCTTCTTTGATCAATGTCAATATTATGAAATACTTCCAAGGGCAGTTCCACCATAACTGTTTGAAAATTTAACATACTTTAACAGCACAAAGTATGTAACAAGACTTTAAATCCTTTTCTAATGTTCTTTGAAAAGGATTTTAATTTTTCATGAATTGCTGATTCTTATGATCATCAATATAATGCATTAAGATAAATAATTTATGTACTTATGTGATTCTATATTTTATCATTTTACAAAATCTATAGGTCATTAATGTAATTAACTCTTTAGTAAAGCAACAACTTAATTAAACTGAGAGAATTCGTAAATAAAGTTTATTAAAATCAAACCTTTGGAATTCATTCAATTTCCGAATCAAAACCTTCAAATGATTAAATTATTGTTATTGCTTTATTCATTCTAATTAAGTTAAATATGAAGCTATTTATGAAAAGTATTATGATATGCACGTTGATTAAGTATAATATTAAATTTACATGACTGTTATCTAGATAGATTCACACTTAATTTCCTAATGACACTATGTGATCAACACGTTTTCATATCTATAGATAAAACTCATTCTTACAACTAAATACTCATTTATTCATATATATATATATTTAGAAATTGGTTATTTATTACGTCAAAATATCAATTTTGCAGATTCTTTTAGTTTAAAAATCTTAAAAAAAAATATAACTTTAGTTTGAAATCTCTCACAACTTTAAATTCCTTCCTCTTACAATAAATGAACAATATTGCATCATCTTATTAATTACATGTAAATGGAAATTGTCTTTCATGAAAATTACAGCGTCGAGTCGAAAAGTAAGTGAGAATGAGAATTATTTATGTTAAATGTCATCACTTAGTGCACTAGATTGAAATTTCAACATGTGATACAATTGAAAAGCACCTGAACTAATAAATTAAGCACAATAATTCAAATAAGAATGGAATTTTTTCATCTTTTATTGGAAATAAAAGGAGCAAGACAAATTGAAACATTTATTTCTATTATTGCGTAAGCCTTAAAAGTGATCGAATATTGCGCAGTTCCTGATTACAATTCAACTTTCGGTTTTTGATAATTTCATGAAATAGTTATTTTGTGACGTTGTAGGTGTTGATCAAGTTTCTATCACATGATAAGTTTTTCATAAAATTAAAGTCAGAAGATCAATTTCATTATATTTGGAAAATAACAAGTGTTTTAAAATCATTTCCGGTGAATTGGATGAATTGCATTTTTCACAATAAGTTTTGTCATTGAGATTTTAATTAAAACAATTCCTAGAAACTGAATTTTAAAGATATTCTGTGGAAAATTGTCAGATTTGTATTTTCAAATGGATGCTCATTGTTAAGTTTAAAAAAAATTGTAAGTTTTGTTGAAATTACTTCATTTGCTAACTTACAATATTACCTAAACGGAACTCTTCAAAGTATTAAATTTGAAATTTTCTTTATTTTTAATTTCAAAAAATATTTCAGTTTTTTAACACAAAAATTATATTGCTACCACAGCAGTGCTCGACAAACTGAAGACTGAAAATATATAGATTAAAAAAAAAATGAGCAGATGACTGCAGATGAATAATATGAAAATTTCATCAATTCATTGAAATATGTAATGAAATTATTTATTTATATTAATAAGACACATTTTGTAATTCATGATCGAAAAATTTTCCAAGATTTATTGATGATGTGCTTCGTCATTAATTGAGCAAAAGAAAAAAATAAATATCCTTAAAAACACGAATCATCAATTCATGTTTCAACAGAAATTTTCAAGAATATTCAATTTCACAAATTAGTCCAATAGTGCAATAGTATGAAATCATAAACATGCTTAGTCACGTACCATGTATGACTTTAAGAATCATTTGATATCTCCATTTTTGTTTAATAATACTAAGTCAAGAGAATCAACTTTATCAATGTTAAGTTAATTTAATGAATCTTAGAAAAAATGGGTTAAAAAATGTTAAATCGTTTGCAATATGTTGTGCTTAATTTTAAACAAGACACAAAATTTTTTTAAAAATAATTTGATAAAACAATTAAAATTCTAATAAGATTCTTATAGATTACAAAATATAATGCAAGTATCAAAAGAAATCAAAACCTTGCAATTATAATAGCTGATTGGTTAACTGTAGTCAGCCAACGTTGAATCTTAATGATGTCAACTAAGAGAAGTTATCGATTCAAACCAGTGAATTATGTAAATCACAATTAAGATATCTTAAAGGCTGTGTAAATTCATTTTTATCAATTTATGAGCAATAAGTTTTGAGAAACTTAATTTTTAAATGTTGGACTATTTCATAGGCTAGCAGTTGACTAGGGAATTGTCTGACTCATCGTTTAAGATCAGAATCCTTTAAAATTTTGAAGTTATAGTATGAAAAAGTATTATGCTTTTTTGGGATTAATTCAAGGTGTTAAACTTTATTGATGAACAGTTGACATTAATCAAAAATGGTTTTTTTTAATGTGTTTGTCGTCACAAACAGTCAGCTCGTTAAAAAATCCCACAAAATTCTCCAAAAATAATAATCTTCTGATTTTTTTTTAATCTGAAAGTGATGAAAATAAACCCTAGATTATAGCGAATTTTTAATTTTCGGAAATAAATCAAGCATGGAAGTTTTTCATTGTTAGAAATTGTTTTATATTTTTTTTTTCTCATTATTATGAACATTTCACAAAAATACTTTATCTTTAATCTGTTTTTTTTGTGAAATTAATAGGAAAAATCTTGATGTGCCTTTCCTTGAACTGAATTATTATTGTACTAAAATTACAACATTTCTAGGAACTAAGATTATTAAGAAAATTATCTATTTGTCATGACACAATCTTGTATTAACATTGCTCAATAAAAAAGGCACGTCAATCCTTTTGTAATATACAAAAGCTGTAAATCAATGAAGTTGCTGGATATTGTAATCTAAATATTGATAAGAGTCGCGAAATTCTTTTGTTTTTTTTTTATTATCAGTGAAATATGTAATTAGCTATTGATTCCTAAGAGGTCACATTGCATATCAATTTTGGTGCATGAGCTTCCTTAAAGATACATAAAGCTTGCCTCTACTACTGGTTAACAGCTGCCGTTTCTGAATACTGAGTGATCTCAATCACTCGTCTTTTTCTGCTCTATGCCTCCTACTATTCAAATCGTACACTTTAGCACCTCATGTCTGATACTTTTGATTCTTAACACAAATCTCACAAAGATGTTTCAAGCTTTTTAAAATTAACCTATAACTGGCAGCAATAAAGTTTTGATAACGAAAGAATGATATAGAACAAGTTATATACCCAAAGTAGAAAGATATGACATCCGCTCTTTTACTTAAATCAACAGTTCTGATATTAAAACTTATTTCGTTTCATATTTACAAGTTAAACAACTTGATAAAACATCACAAATTATTTAAAAATACAAATTTATTCCTGCGGATGAATTTTACACCATATAAATTTAGATTGATCAGACCGGATCGGGGTAATCCCGATTAAGTTTTAAGAATTTATGTAGATCAAAGTATGTATAATATTCATTCATTATAATATAAATCTAGATTCTAGGAAAATATGGACAGTTTTAAAATTATTAACACCACAAATCGTCATAAATTTATAATAGAATCGTTTAAAGATTGATTCACACAAATTTTCAGATATTGAAGCAAAAACCCCAAAGCTTCCTGAAGTTTCCATATTTTTTTAAGGTTAGAACTGATTTTCAATCGTTTAATGAACGCTGAATACTTTATCTGAATTAGAACTGATTTTTTTTGTTCAATGAACGCTGAATACTTGATCTAGATTAGAACTAATTTCCTTTGTTCAATGAACGCTGAATACTTAATCTAGATGAGAACTGATTTCCTTTGTTCAATCAACGCTGAATACTTATTGTAGATTAGAACTAATTTCCTTTGTTCAATGAACGCTGAATACTTAATCTAGATGAGAACTGATTTCCTTTGTTCAATCAACGCTGAATACTTATTGTAGATTAGAACTGATTTCCTTTGTTCAATCAACGCTGAATACTTAATCTAGATTAGAACTGATTTCCTTTGTTCAATCAACGCTGAATACTTAATCTAGATTAGAACTGATTTCCTTTGTTCAATCAACGCTGAATACTTAATCTAGATTAGAACTGATTTCCTTTGTTCAATCAACGCTGAATACTTATTGTAGATTAGAACTGATTTCCTTTGTTCAATCAACGCTGAATACTTAATCTAGATTAGAACTGATTTCCTTTGTTCAATGAACGCTGAATACTTAATCTAGATTAGAACTGATTTCCTTTGTTCAATCAACGCTGAATACTTAATCTAGATTAGAACTAATTTTCCCTATTTTCTATTCAAATTTTACACTATTTTAAACTGCTTTAACCAATTTTCTTCCAAGAAATTATGTACCCAAAAGCTCAGCCATAGCTTCAAATCATGAACTTGTTGTTCCAAGAAGCTATTAAACTAAAGCAAAATAAAAATCATAATGAGCAGCTATTTACAATACATAAAATGATAAGGACTTATAAAAATTCGGAGAAAATAAAGAATTTAAGCAAATTTTGGTTGATGACAGTTTAAATATCTTATCAGCTGTGCCTATTTGAATTGTCTTTGATATAAAAGTTGATAAAACTTGTGCAAATTATTCAAGTGCTTATAAGATTTCCAAAGAGTTAAGTCTACGTTCTGGAAGAAAAATTATAATGAAATTTACTTTAATTTGCTGCTTGCTTTTGCAGGCAGCTGTTGTTATATCAGCTCAAAGTAAGAAGCATGCTCATTTAAATATCAAAAGTCGTACAACAATTCATTTGTTTCACAGAAAAAGTCGTCTGTTTCTGGGGCACATGGGCAGCTTATCGTGCTGGAAATGGAAAGTTTGAAGTATCTAACATTGATCCAACAATCTGTACACACATCATCTACTCATTCATGGGTGCTCAAGAGGATGGAAGTGTAACTTATCTAGACTCATACTTAGACTTGTCAGAAAATTGGGGAAAGGGCTATATCGACAAGTTCATAGCATTAAAAACACAAAGTTCAAGCGTCAAATTAATGATGTCAATTGGAGGATGGAATGCTGAATCGGCTGTATACTCAAAAATTGCTGCTACTGCGACTGGTCGTGAAACGTTTGCACAAAATGTTTTGAATATGATCAACAAACATGGATTCGATGGATTTGATTTTGATTGGGAGGTAAGCAAGGATGTGATGCAATTGAAGCTTCTTGTTAATGACTTCTTTTAAGAATAACATTCTAAAGTATTTAATAATTAATTTAGTATCCAGCACAACGTAATTCAGTCTATGGATCAGCTGACAAAGCGAATTTCGTCGCTCTTCTCCAAACTTTGAAAAGTAAATTAGCTGCAAATGGCAAACTTCTTACAATTGCTGTAGCAGTAGTCGAAGCATCAGCATCACTATCTTATGATATTCCAAATGTGGCTAAAAATGTTGATTTTATCAATCTCATGAGTTATGATCTTCATGGATCTTGGGAAGGAGTTACAGGAATAAATGCTCCTTTATATGCAGGCTCAGCTGATATTTCATCATATCAAAAGCAGTTGAATATTGATGCTATTGTAAATTATTGGGTAGCACAGGGTGCGCCAAGAGATAAATTAATTCTTGGAATTCCACTTTATGGAAGATCATTTACGCTTTCTAATTCAAATAACTATGGAGTTGGTGCTGCTACAAGTGGAGCTGGAAATGCTGGAAGTTTTGTACCAGAATCTGGATTTTTAGCGTACGGTGAAATATGTTTAAACATTAAGAACGGCGTTTTTTCAAGATACTGGGAAAATACACAAAAAGTTCCATATGCTGTAGGAGGAAATCAGTGGGTCGGATATGATGACTCTGAGTCTATAGCTTACAAAATAAACTACATCAAAGATAACAGTTTGGGCGGTGCCATGTTCTGGAGTATTGAAACTGAGGATTTTAATAATCTTTGTGGAAATGGCAAGTTCCCATTAGTCAGAATGACTTATCAAGCTTTAGTTGGAAATGTGAGTAGATATACATAATTTAATTTATCTTTTTTATGCTGAATTTTTTAATTTTTAAGGAACCAATCACGATTCCACCGACCAGTGCACCTACTCAAAGTCCATCGACTATTCCAACTAATGCACCAACACAGGCTCCAACTCAATCACCTTCAACTAGTGCACCATCTGGTCCATTTATTTGCCCTGGAAATGGATTATTCACAAATCCTGCTGACTGTGGATCATATTACAATTGCTGGGCTGGAACTGCATATCTCCAACTTTGTCCATCTGAATTAGTCTTTAATCCAAATGGATACTGTGACTGGAAATATAATTACAAATGTGTGTAAATTAATCAATGGAATATGATTTTTTTGATTAAATTCAATATCTTTTAACAATCGGCTAATAAATCAGAATGTCGAGCAATCAATTTGTGTGTTTAATATGAACTTCAATCATTGACATATGTATTATAAATGTACTATGACTATGAGACATGTCGCCTTTTTAAAATATTAAATTACAGATTATAAAAGAATAATACATTAATAGCAGAATTGAGTAAGATTAGTAAGTTTTCAATTAGATTGAATAAATAGTGAAGCAAATGCAAATATTTTGATTCTTCATTTATTTATTGTAAGTGTCCTTTTTCAACTTCATTGTGCATCTTGGGATTTTTTCCGCACTTAAAAAACTAGTTGTAATGTCGTGAGCATTCGCGAATCCTTGTCATATTGTCGACAACTCTGTACATAATAATTGAGAGATCGTTCTCTGGTGAGAATCGAACGCACGTCTTCACAAAAGAAAGTTATTGAAATCCGTTGGTTGTCCAACCACAAAAGTCTAATTTAAACACTGGCAGATTCGCCTTTACATGGATCTGTACTCCAGATTCAAATTTGCGCAAAGATGACATTATTAATACAAACCAATACCCAAAAAACTTTCACACTTCACGTTTCAATATTGAAAGTCAGAGATCACGCTCGAATAGCACAAATCGGTTGATCAAATAGAAATCCTGCACCAAGCTGGTGTAGCTCTGGTATGGTTTCTGTTCCATTAACCGGCTTGTGCTATTCGAGACAAGGCCCCGCAGATTATAATTTTTAAATAATTTCATACAAAGATTTTATTTTTCGTTTTAAAAGATTTTAATCTACGGGAGCCTAGATTAGATAGTAAGATCTGCGTTCGAACCATTCACACCGCAATGCTTTTCATATACTGAATGCTTTTATATAACTTTCACAACAAAGGCGAATTCACAAGCTTTTCTTATCAATGCAATTATATCTTATCATTTATGAAGGCCCGATTGATAACACGAAATCGATGATAAATGAATCATTGTAAAAGCAGGTACTTTAGTCAACGCACACGCCAAATTACAACAGTATTATTCAACGTATTAGTGGATAAGGGTATCAACAAGATAGTTTATCAGTTTTGCTGTCAATAGAAATACAATTACTGACAATAACAGCTTTAAGTTAAAATTCAGAGTAAGCCTCAATTACATCTAACATTTAAAAGCATACGAGACTAAATTTTTCGGAAGGAAATTCCAAAATGAGTGATGACGATAATTGTTGTGAAGTGTGCGTTAATGAGACTTGTTCATGCTGCTGTACTGGGTAGTAAAATTTAAAGTTTGTGCTTAAAATGTAAAACATTTCAAAAAATATTCCCATAAAATCAGAATCTGTGCTGCATGTGCTTGTGGATTTCAACTCTTATGCTGTCTAATTGTTGGACCTTTAATAGCAATTGGAGTAATATTTCTGATTGTTTGGTTTGTTTGGTTGAGAGATCAAGTTTAAAAGTCAGCAATAAATTAAGGCAAACAGATAAAAAATATTTTTTGGTATGGTGAAATTATTTTTGTAGCTGCCTTTTATTAATTTTTTGAGTCAAATAAATTTATAGTGCAATAAAATTTTTACTCAAATTGATTTTTATCAATTTTTTATTAAGAGGCTCTAAATTATTACTTGAAAATTAAAACTCAAGCTATTCAATAAGAAGGATAGGTTGTACATTTATATTAATCTGAATCTTAATACATAGTACATTACATGCAATTTGTCATCTATTTCTTGCACCATTTTTATAAATTACATGCTCGGAAACTAGACGTTTCTAGGGATAAATCGATTGCCATAAAAAGGAATTTACTTAAACAATCTTGTCTCTAATGCCACTCCAATGTTTTTGAAACATTCGCACAGCAACAATAAAACAAAATTGCATTGAAAAAATCCCCTTCAGATAGCAGTAAAACGAGCCTTCTTCGGAACTATAAAAGTTTTTAATCAACACACTTCAAGCTCATGTGCCGATAACAATTTATAAATAATCAAAAAAGTTAAGATGCTTCCTATTTATGGTTAGAAATGACTAATGTATAGAACGATTAATCGTCACAGGAGATTGATTAACTTCGTTACTCATCAACACTGAAGTCACAAAGATGATAAGAAAATAAAATAATCAAAAATTTCTTCGCGCTTTCTGCCGTTGATAAACAAATCAGTCATAAATACAAGTTCAAACCGTTTTGAATGGGTCAATGATGATTCGCAGATTTATTTCAATTTTTTTTTTGCATTTAAAAACGATTAAAAGCTATGTATTTAATAAAGTTGAGTTTCAAGTCAGTCCATAAACGATATGATAAATGCATATCATCTGAAATCCTAAGCCTAAGCTGTAAATGGAAAGTTTTCGGCAAGCTTAAGAATCTGATCAATTTTTGAACACTCTTAGTTGTTACCCACAACTCTCCTGCCTCTTTTACTTCGTTTCTTTAGCTTTTCAGGTTATGTAATGAATTTTAAAAATTAGGAATAATAATCTTTAGGTATTTTAGCATCCCATAGCGAATAAAATTCTCTCAGAACGCTTCTTATCAGTTTAAATTAAATTTTCTCAAGATCTTCAGTCTCATTTTGCAGTCTTCGTGATGAAGTTCATTATTTTCATATTTGTACTTTTGAATTTTGCATGCATTGATGGATTTCTGTCATATCCATTTTTTGCAAAAAATTTACTAGGCACATTCTTAACATCAATTAAATATGATGAAAATAAAGACATGAAAGAGAATCTGATGAAATACGCAGTTCATGGTGATACGTGCTATCGCGATTGTCAGAAAAATGACACACGAGTTTGCTATTTTAAATTTCAAATTAAATATTATCAAGTTCTGAGCGGGTAAGATCAATGGTTTTATTGTTGGCTATAAATTCTGTAAATATTATTGCAAAACTTAAGGGCGTGCGATGAATGTCTGAATGGAAATCTTACAATGTGCATTATCAAGAAGTGTGTCACGGCTGATGGTTTCCAACGAGGATTTTTAAGCATTAATTTTCAACTTCCAAGTCCATCTATTCATGTCTGCAAACACGATATCATTATTGTCGATGTTTTTAATGAAGCTGAAGGAATTGCAACAAGTATCCATTGGCATGGAATGAAACAAATGGGTACACAATTTAGTGATGGAGTTCCGTATTTAACACAATGTCCAATTCCGTACTTTTCAAACTACCGGTATATATTTTACGCGGATGACGTCGGTACTCACTTCTATCATTCTCATTCAGGCAATCAAAAAGCAGATGGTCTCTCTGGCGCTCTCATTGTGAGAGAAGCCGAAGCTGATAACCCGAATAGTAAATATTATGACTATGACTTACCGCAACATGTGCTCTTTGCGTCCGATTGGATGCATGATTTTTCCGACAATTATTTGCCAGGCATGGCTAAACGATCGGCATTGACTGAATCATTGTTGATAAATGGACGAGGACGATTTTTAAATCCAACTGGAAACTATACAGACTCACCATTATCAATTTTCTACGTCCAAAAGGGTAAAAAGTATCGATTTAGATTAATAAATAGCGCAACAAATGTATGTCCTTATCAGTTCCAAATTGAGAAGCATAATTTTACAATTATTGCAACAGAATTGAGCTATATTAAGCCATTTGTGGCTGATACTCTTCATTATCTGTCAGGCGAAAGATATGACATTGTAGTTGACGCAAATCAGTCAGCTGGAGATTATTGGATTAGAATTAGAGAATTGGAACCATGTTGGAAGAATACTGAAGTCTTTGCCATCCTTAGGTATCAAGATAAGGAAGTACGTTCATCACAGTCGAAAATTCAGTTTGCTCCAAAGGAACCACCGACATGGAATGAAACATATCCAAAAATTACAGTAAGAACTAATATGTTTGTTGCTGAATTGATAAGATGATGATTAACTGCCTTTCTAGCTTTTCAATTCCCTCAAGCCAAAAGTCGAGGACGTTCCACTGATTGAATTGCAATCATATGAAACTGACAGGCTGCTGCTTGAATCAAAACCTGATTATTCTTATCATTTATTTGTGGATTCTCCAGCATTTTTGAACTCTATAATGTTTAGAAGGAATAATCTTAAAGACTTTACTTGTAGGTTCCAAATTCATGATTTTGTAATTAATTTAATTTCTTTTCTATTCTTCATCTTAGTCCTGACATCAGATTCATCATCAAATTCAAGTTTTGTCGCAACAATCAACAACATAACTCTGTCATATCCACCATTCCCACTTCTGCTAGAACAGGGTCGTCTTACTGATTCAATGTTTTGCAATGGACATACTCTGCAAGATATGAATTGTTTAAATGGTGATAATGCAACTGTCTGTAAATGTATTCACAGATTAAAAGTAGATCTCGGTTCCAAAGTTGAATTTATAATCTATAATATTAAGGATAAAATAGCACATCCAATGCATCTTCATGGACATAAATTTCAAGTTGTCGATCAAGGATTGTTTGAGGATATTTACAAGCGATCAGAAATTGATCATGATTTGGATATGAGGGGTAAAAATCCCCCATTTAAAGACACTACTGTTCTACCGTTCCCAGGATATACAAGACTAAGATTTCATGCTAATAATCCTGGATTCTGGCTGTTTCATTGTCACTTTGACTGGCATATATCCATTGGTACGTAGACTGGTTAATCAAAAGCTGTTTGTTCCTCTTAGCTCTAATTTTTATTATACATTCCAATTAGGTATGGCCTTAGTCGTGCAAGTTGGTGATATCGATCAAATGCCAAAACCATCATCAAGCTTACCAAGGTGTCATCCATACTCACCAGTATCCATGAAGTAAATTATTAAGAGAGGTCATCAATGGTATTCAAAATTTACATAAAATCCCCGTTTTCAAAATTATATTTTAGATAATTGCTAGTCATTACTGGAAATTCAAAATGCTTAAAATTCATGAATTTAAAATCATTCATCGTTCTGGTTTTATCGAAATAAGTTGTAATAATGAGGACCATATTTCAATGGATATTATTTTCACTGTCAGTGGTGTCTATAAATTCAATAAATGTCGAAGAAAAAAAATCAAATTTAATTAAAGACCTTAAAAATGACAAGACTGAACTCTTCAGTGGATCAAATGAGCGACGGAATCCAGGCAGATATGGTAACAATGGCTATGGATATAATAATAACGGTTTTAGACAGAATCCAAATGCACCATATGGATATTATGGAAACAATGGAGGATATGGTAACAATGGAGGTTATGGAAACAATGGAAGATATGGAAATAATGGAGGATATGGTGGTTATGGAAGAAATCCATATAATCAATATAATCCGTACTACACAACAGTAGGATTTCCATTCAATTTATTTACAACAGCACCACCAGTGCCTTTTCCATTTTATTATTTTACAACTCCACCGCCGTTTCCTTTAAATTTATTTGGAAAGAAGAAGAAGTAATACTTATGGACAGACAAATATTTTTAAAAGTGATCAATAAAAATTAAATTTCTTGAAAAATTGAATGATTTTGTATTTACCATTTTAGTTCTTGAAAATTTGTTTGTACATAGATTAGAATCAATTGGCATGGAATGTAAACAGTGGCTTGTAGACCGCTGTCGGTATTATTCTTTTCTAAAATTGTATCTATTGTTGTAGCAGTCATGTTCCAAAACTTATAGCTACTAGTAGATCTGCATCTTATAAAAGGTTAATATGGGAACTCCTTGCAAAATACAATGCGGTTAAGGATCTCATTTGGGTTCTATCATAAAAAAAAGACAAAGTTATTGCCGTGCTATCTAAGGGGCTGTTCACTCATTACGTAACGCGAAAAAATGACTTTTTAGACCCCCCCCCTCGTAACAAAATTTGTATGAAAAAAAAATTTCCTTGTTTGAACTGTAACAAAATCTTAGACCCCCCTCCCCCCTAAAAGCGTTACGTAATAAGTGAATGGCCCCTAAGATCTATTCTAATCTTAGACAGACTTTGGGAGACATAATATGTATACTTTGAATCAATTTCTTAGTGCCACTTCAATCTACTCAAAAGAAACAGTAAAATGGACAAGAGGTTTAATCGGAAATTCTCACCCGAATCGATAAAATTTGTTCATCGACAAATCTCCTTTATAACCAAATCATCTTTATTATGTTTAATGTTTAATAATAACTTAATTTATTAAAATTCCAACCTTGAAAAAACATTCTTTTGACAGAAAAAAGGACTTCAAGGTTTAAAAACAGACATAAATTTACGGAACTTCCATGATAATTACTTGAAAAAGTAAACAACAAGACCTTCAATCATTTACAATTATTTTAATTGCTCATTCACAAATAATTTTTCACCTTACGTATATAAAATGTAGCAATGAACTCGAATATTTCAACATTTTTAATTTACCTTCCAAAGACCAAACTTCAATTTCCAAATAGAAATGAAAATAGTTTTATTATTTCTGATCATTTCTTTAATTTGCGTCCATGCCTTGTCGCTGAATGGAAAAAGTTTTGAAGAGAGAAAAGCGAGACTTGTTCAAATTTTAAGTCGTGATGCCGCTCGCCATAGTCACAGCAGTTCTCATCATCATCGACGGCATCACAGTCATAGCCATTCGCATAGTCATTCAAGAGAATCTAGAGAAAGGAAAAGATATCGAGGAAGATATCCTTATACCATATCAAGATTCCCGTATGGAAATAATTACAACGGAGGAAGATTTCCATATTAAATTTTTATTTTTATGAATATCATTACTAAATTGTTTGTAAATTATAGAAAAAAAATATAGAATTTTAAAAGCATTTAAAATATATTTAGAATCAACTAAGAAGTTTGAGTATCGTTTTACAGCGTCTTTTGAATATTTCTTGTATTTTGGTTTTCTAATAAAAATTCATTTTGATCATTTCATCAGTACCACACCCTTGGATTCCTTTCTTTTTACAGGTAAAAATATCTACGTTAATATAACAAAATTATAACCTCAAAACGTGTGTCATGTAAGATTGGATATTATGCAATACACAGGCTCGTAGCCAAAGGGATTTGTGAGATTTGAGTACCTTAGCCATGTTCGAATCTTCAAAATCTTTTTTATCTTTGCAACTGATCGAGCATGAACGACCTCTAGAAATTAATAAATAATTATTAAAATTTGTTGAATTTTAAAACATTAAACAAAAATTGATATCCTGATGCACATTGCCATAAAAGTTAATAACTTAATCGCTACAATTTTCAATATTTATTACCTCTGTCATGTGAGATGATTAAAGCTACAAAAATAATAATTATTCTGGATGTATAAATGACACAGTGTCATATTGAAAAATCCCCATTTCAATTATTACTTTTTGAGGGTCAAGTTCACTGTGGATATAAAATTGTAAAAAACAATGAAAATTCTTTTGCTGAAAATCTTTTTGAAATTGTTGGTGGTTCAAAATGTAGTTGCGTCATCAGGAAGATTTGACGATAGTCAAACTGAAATGCTTCCACGTAAAGATAAGTATCGTGGTGGGAATGGTGGAAATGGAAATGGAAATTGTTGTTGCTGCTGTCAAACTCCAAACTTTTACCCTCGATTTTATCCTAGATTCTATCCAGGGGGTTTTCAACCAAACAATCCTAATAACCCAAATAACCCTCAAAACCCAAACTATCCGATGAACCCAAATAATCCTCCGAACTATCCAGTCAATCCTAATATTCCAATGAATCCTCCTAACAATGGTCAACCTCCCTTTAATCCTCCAGCAAATGGAAATCCAAATGTCCCTCCGATGAATCCCAATAATGGACAACCTCCAATGAATCCAAATAATGGACCCATGCCAGTGAATCCAGTAAATCCAGGAAATCTTCCACCTCCTCCAAATAATAATCCACAACCAAATCCACAACCAAATGATCAAGATCAAAATAATCAGCCTGAAGGATCAAACAAGGACCGTTCAGTTGAATCGAGAGAACAGATGAGGAAAAATAGCCGAAAGAGTTCCAGAAGGCATTCATATGTCTCATAAATCAAGAAGTTTGTTGCTTAAGGGAACATTAGGATGTTTTGTAAAGAACGTGGAAGCATTCTTCAGTTAAAAAATTCCATGCTGATAAGCATAATTATTATGTTTTTATTTCTATCTTGTGTTAATGTTTTTGTTGCTCTTATTATCGAAAATAAAATCTTAATTGTGTGTTTAAATATCTACAAATTTTAATATTTGACAATTTTGGAAAATTGATATAATTTAAAAATTGACTAATTATAAATTCATTGTCAAGGGGATTTCCCTGAGTTTAATCATCTTTTTTATCAATGTTTTAAAACTTTTAAGTATAACTTAATAGTTTGTAGCTCGTGAACTTTTCAAAACACAACAATAATTATTTTATGATACAACTACAAATGCTAGTGGATAAAAAATACACAAATAATACAAATTTTCCTCATTCTTGATTTGAAAGTTGAATTAAACAGAAGACCAGACATCCGACAAAAGTCAAAATGGTCATTAGAATTTTTCTCATCTTGTTCTTTATCTGCGCAATCTCAGTCTATGGATTATCAGATAAGAACATAAATCAAAGGAAAGCAAAATTGATTGAAATCTTTAACCAAGATGCAGCTCATCACAGCCACAGCAGTTCCTGGGAATCTCGAGAACGAAAAAGAATTCAACGAATGGGATATTATGACTACTGTGCAGCATATCCATATAGAGATGTTTGCAGATATCCTAGTCGTTACGCCAACAGATATAATTCTTATAGATATCCAGCAAATAGATATCCAGCAAATAGATATCCAGCAAATAGATATCCGTATCGTTATTATACAACTCCAATGCCATTTCCTTTTAATCTTTTTGGTAAAAAGTAAATTTGATTATAGACTAATTAAGATCTGTTGATGGATTTTAAAAAATTTAAGAAAATAAAAATATATTCTGAATTAAATCTTTATTTTTTGGTGAATTTTCCTTTAGAAAAGGATGAGGAAGAAAGTTAAGAGCGAGAGGGGTTAAAGAAAGAGTTTCGTTTTGTATACTCATGAACTTTGTTGCTGATTTAGTTTCTAGTTTGGTTTTATTTTGATATTAGCATTTTGTTCGTAAAGTTTTGCAAAGTTAAGTTGCAATCGTTGAATTGTAACAATAAATTCAAGAGTTCGAATCCTAAAATTAAATCAAGAAGTCAAATTTGCGAATTCAATTTGATGAGTTCCTATATTCATTTTTTTTTGTTTTACAAAAAAACTAATTCTTAAAAACTAAGTTTTGAAAGATTAAAATTATATTATTATACAGTTACGAGGTTTCAATAAGCAAAACATGCATAATCATTTTTTTGACTGTAAATTTCAGAGAAGACTCAATCAAACAATAGCGAGTGAAATCGATGAACTAAGACAGGAGCTTAAAACTTACCTCCTTCTGAATAATCTTAAGGTCACAGCAATTACAATATCATTTATAATTTCAATTATCTTTCAGTTCTAGTGAATCCCAGTTGAGGGTGTGTTGCATAGGCTGGACTGAACTGTTCTGTTAAATTTAACAGAACTATTCTGATAAATTTTTTGGATTTGTTCTGTTAATTTAACAGAATTTTTCAGAACTATTCCGATAAGTTCAGTTAAATTAACAGAATATTTTACAGAAATCTTCAGTTATTTTATTTTTGCGATTCTTATTTAAAAAAAAATATTCCAGAACTGTTCAGATAAAATCATCAGAATATTCAGCATCGTAATATCAGAACAATTCTGATAATATCGGAATTCTACTGTTAATTATCTAAACTTCTATTTTAATTTTATCAAAGCTCATAAAACCAGTGTTGATAATAAGGTGCATTCTAGCATAGTCTTGCCCTTGACCAAGGCGATGTCATGCAATTTCAACTTGCCTATACTAGGTTTCACTTTTTTCCAAGACAGGTGCTGATCATCACCACTAATTGAATTAATAATTACATCATGAACATCATTCTTAAGCGCTAATCTTCAGCACTTTGTTAAAGACATTCTGAGGCGTAGTCAACACGAGTTTTTTGGGTCAAAATCCTTTTTTTTGGAGAAATTTCTGGCTAAACTCCAATCCACTTATTACGTTTTAGCTTTTAAAGGAAGTCTAGGATTCTCTAGTTTCTTTGTTCAAACAACTGATTTTCATTCTTTAGAATTTTTACTATTTGGGTCAAGATTTGGGTATTTGGTTATTCGGGTCATAAAATTGTAAAAATTTTTCATGTAGTATCCTCTATAGGAAAGTTAACCATTCATTTGAAGCGTCTGGGCCTATACAATATTTCTGCATCATTGGTTTATTTCTGAATTGATTAGCTCAGAAATTTTTCAATCATTTGGGGTACGTTTTAAGATTTGGGTGTGACACCCATAGAAATGAGATTACTCATAATTACACTGTGAGTTTATTTATAAATATTTATAGATTTCCGGAATTATGATCTGCATGTGAAGATTTTAAGTCCAACTACAGTTTGTGTCAGGACTTACAAACCTCGATTGTCTTTATTTTTTTTTTTTTGAGTTATACAGGGAGTTGAATGAAAATGACGTTTGAGCATAATTTGAATTACCTATGCATCGAATCATATGACGTGGGTTTTGTTCCTGATTGGTATCTGTTATTTAGGGCTTGAAGCTTTATTTACCCCCCTCTGTTACAAAATTTGTATGAAAAAAAGGTATTATGTGAACAGTCAGCCCCAAATCAAAATTTCGTTAATCTGCTGAGTTTAAATTTTGACCACTGAATTTTTGTAACATAGTGTCAAAATAGTTCCGATTATTTTACTTTTGAAATTTTATTTTTTTTTATTATTTACAATAACTTATTTAATATAAAAAAAATTAACAGAATTCTGATAAATAACAGAATGAAATAAGAGAAGAGATTTCTAAAATAATTGCGAATCGTAATTTTATTAACAGAACTTTTTCCATATTTATCGGAATTCTGATAATATTAACAGAACAATTCCCTTAAAATAATAGAATTCTCATAAAATTATCAGAACAGTTCAGTCCAGTCTATGCAACAGAAGCCCCAGTGATTCATAATTAATTTTCAGAAAACACCAGAAAGCATTTAAAATTTTACGTATCATTACTTTTTACTATCATTTGATACTAATAAACTTTAATTGACACATCAAGTCATTTTCACCTTTATATTTGTTTGGTTTCACAATGTCAATGTTTTAGTTTCATAAAAAATTTCGTTCATTATTGATGTTCAGTCACAAAATGAAATTTTTGAATATTCTGATTTCCTTGTCATTTTTATTGGGATTCACAAATAGCTTAAGTTTCAGTGAAAAGAAAAGTCATTTGATAAAAGTTTTGCAAACGGATGTTGGACATAGAAGTAGCTATTCATATCATAGACATCATCATCACCATCATCATCATAGTGAAAGTGCATCAGTTGAGGATAAGGAAGTCACGAAACGATTGATGTTAGCAGCTCTTTATGCAAGGTCTAATAAGCGATATTACAATGAATATCCAGGTATTGAATTATTTAAATAATTATGGACATTTTTAAGCTTACAAAAATTTATGCTTTTCAGGTGCTTATCAACCTTACAATCAACTTCCATATGGATATTCGTATTATACAACTAGAAACCCAATTTTTGGATACTAAGATCATATAAGGCAGTACTTAATATTTTGAACACAACATTAGATCATAAATTTTAAGGTCTACCAGAGAAACCAAGCTGTGCATTTGATGTTACACGTTAGCATGTTATTGTTAAAACTTTTAATTCAAACTTTTAATAAAAATAAAAAATATAAAACTTTAAAAAATTTGTCTTGAACTTTATTTAAATTTAATTAAATTTTCAACATTGCTGCTTGATCTTGGCATTGATTTGGAATTTCACTTTAAATACAATTTTACCAATTTAGAGACATGTCATTTTTCATAACAGGAAAAGAAACCTCGATCAATGACAATGATAATTAGTTTCATGACCTTTAATATCAATGAATGTTAAATTTAAAAACTACTTTCCTTTCCATTTCAATAATTCCACTAACCATTGGGATTTTTCTTTATCTGAATAATTAGATGCAATGACTGTTTGGAAAATTTGTTTGTCAAAAAGGTTTAAAAAGCTGTAAATAAATATTTAGGGGTCATAGTACGTTAGTGTGGCAACGATGAAACTTCTTTTGATTCTGCTATTCACAATAGTGTTGGTTAGCTGTAAAACTATCAAGAGCAGCAGTGAAAATGTTGGCAATTTAGTGAACAATGACGAGACACAAAGGAATCAATATCCTTACAATCCAAATCGATATCCACCAAATCGTTATCCACCAAATTATCCACCTCAAAACTATCCATACGGTGGACAGTATCCTTATCGTCCTAATAGACCTTATGGTCAAAATTATTACGCTCCTGGTCCATATGCACAATATCCGTACTACTACAACTCATCCTCCATAATTAGGATATCATGGATAAAATTAATTCCAGCAATTATTTTAATTTTGAAAAAATTTACTGTCCAAATTTGAAGGTTAACATTTAATTACTGTCATTATTGAGTACTTTATAATAATTGCTTAATTTTTTCAATGTCAATTAACAAAGTTTTTCCGAAAAAAGTTGAAATAAATTCTGATGTTTATGAAGCATTTAAATTAGTCTTAACTGCAACATTACCAAGATAACAATAGAATCAATTTAAGATTAAAACTGTGTATCAAAAGTTCAACATGAGGATACTTCATTACTTCTTATTCATGGCAGTCGCTGTTATATCAACAAACTGCATTAAATCACCATCATTTGAGTTGAAGAAAGCAATGATCATAAAAGCTTTACAAAATAATGCTGAACACCATAGTCATAGCCATTCAAGAGAAAGAGGTAGAAGAAATCCTTATAGGAATAATCAAAATTACAACAATCCTTACCGTAATCCTTATTCTAATCCCTATAATACCCAAAATTATAACAATGGATATAACTATCCAAACGCTTATAACAACTATGGATCACCTTATGGGTATGGTTATGGATATGGGAAGAAATGAAAATATTTGAGATGGATGAAGTGCAAGAGATGGATGTTTTTAAAGTTGTGAAAGATACAGAAGAAAGCTCTAAGCAAACTAGTGATTCTTAATGAAATATCAAAAATCGATAAGTTTTCACATTATTAATAACTTTTGTATGAATAAAAGTCTAATAAAAATTTGAAATTTTGAAAAGTAAAGACATTTACGTGTTTCATTGAAATTCCATAGAATTTGTGTTTATTAAGACTCCTTAAAGACTAAAATCCAGAATTGAACGACTTTAAACATTCAAAATAGCTTAAAAATAATTTTGAAAATATCAATTTATGCATAAAGAATTTTAAAAATGGGATTCGAACTTCTTATTTGAACATTTGCGAGCATCCTTGTTGAATGCTGTTGCATAAATTAAATTATGTGATGTTTATTATAAATGTATATTAATCTCATTAATCTACAGAGTGCAGGAATGTTGACATCTATATAGGCAACAATTCGAATTGAGTATCTTAAAAGGAAGTAATTTCCCAAATAAAATTAACGCCAATGACCATCCACAACTAAAGAATATGCATTGGTTTAGTTTACTTTCTAAATTTCATTAATATCAATTAACATGCATCAGAAAATATCCAAATATCACTCAAATTATTATCAATCAGCACCTCATAATTAAATTCGACCTTGCAAAACTCATCAAAAATTGACAATTTTTGAGACTTTTCTCTCGCAATTTACGATCCGAATCGAAAATGGAACAAAATACAGGTGCATGAACTTATAACAAAACAAGTTTGATAAAAAAAATGAGCAAATCTTTTGAATAAACAATCAGTATCATCTTTTCATTCGAATTGATCAGACTTACCTCATCTGGATTTTAGAGACATATAAATTAAGCAATAGACAAAAATTAAACTGAAAAATGTTAAGGGTATTAAAATTTATACACATCAATCCGTTTTATTTGCTGATACTATTTGGATATGGATTGACTAGGTAAGTGCTAATTTGGTTAGCAAAGCGTTTCGGCTAGTTCTTTTAAACTCTTATTAATTCGAGCAAAGGGGTTGTTAAGAACATTTGAAATTTAAAATCTCGAAATCCTCATTTTCGCTATTTGAATAGGTTTCTGCTCCAATTCCATTCTTAAAAATTACGACTAGCAATAAGTTATCTCTGAAACTTTATTACTTTACACTAGCTTCTATTTCTTGGAAAATGTTTATTAGATTGGTTCCCGAGCGGCACAAAGGCTCCATTTGCCTTCCATATGGAAGCTATACGGAGCCTCCATGTTCCACCCTCCATTTCAAAATCATCCGAAAACCTTACTATCTTGGAACCTTGACGGAGCCAAAGCTCCGAAAATCTTCCGTGGGACGTGCATTTATTAACACCAAATGGAAGTCATACGGAGGTTTTGATGGAGGATGGAGGATCCATTTGTGGTAGTCAAACGGAGGTTTAATGGAAGTTTTTTTCAAAGGATTTTTGGTACGATTTTCCACGTGTTTTCTATGTTTCGCAATTTTTATATCAAGATTTGTAGCTGTATTAGTGGACTTAATTAAAGTACACTAACACCATTGAAAAATTTACAACTTAATTTAATTAAGTCGCAACCACAGAAATTTCTAAGTCTCGATCACACGCGTGAGAAACATAAGAAATTATTAAAAATTTTCATACAAATTAAACGACCCCATATAATAGTGATTTCTGCATGCGCTTGTGAAGTATGTAATTTCATACAAAATCACAAAAAATTATCCTTTTTTGCTTTTTAAAGCTTGAAATGAAGCAATATGATTCAGTAAAGCTTTTCGACAATATTTCAATCCATTACAGTAAGATCTGACCTCTGTCTTTTAAAAATTCAAAAGCACGAGTTTTTCGGTATTTGATTTAAGAAAAAGCGGAGTTCATATGGAATCCAAATGGAATCAATATGAAGGATGAAAAAATAAGCCTCCATTTACTTTCCACATAGTGGAGGTGGCTTTCATATGGATTCCATATGGAGACCACCCTCCACCTTGTGCCGCTCGGGGTTTCATGTACAGATTCACAGAAATGTTTATAAAAGAATCATTAATTACAAAATATCATCATAGCTATTTTCAACATTTAAAAAACAATTCCAAAAATTTACAAATGATTCATCAACAACTCAAAAAAATCACCAAAAGACCTTCAAAATTAATTTTTCATTAATTTAAATGATCTGTTGACATAAAATATTTTTAAAGCGCCAAAAATCAATTTTTGTTTTTTCTCTGAAGTGCGTAATATTTACATTTCTGAAGATTCGTGAATTTGTAAATTTAGAATCTTTTGAGATTTGATAAGATGCTGTTGATTTAGAATTGTCAATTCGATGACTTGTTCATAATTTAAACACCTGTCTGAAAATAGATTTATTTTTATTTTAGAATTTCAGAGTGGATAGCAAACAAATCAGGTTCGTGGTCTTCAGTATGGCACGTAACTTCACAATGTTTAGGTAAAAGCACATGGCAAATATTTAAATTAACTTAAATAACTAGTTCAGTCACATTATAGATCGGCACAAACCGATTTCGTATATTTTTGGACTACCCATTTATGTTATTACTATTCATTGGATATTCGCGGCATTTTTAATATTGTATGACATCACTAAGTGTCCAACGTTTCTCGAAAGATTTAGACATCAAAACAGATCCATGGATAAATTGGACATGAAGGAACTGACGAGTTTAGCAAAAACTGTCGTAACAAACCAACTTGTAATCCTTCCAGCATCAATGGTTCTTACACATTATTTACTCAGATTCTCAAATGATCTTCACTTAATAAGCTTCTCAAAAGTTCCATCATTTTCACGAATGTTTTACAAATTTACTCTCTGTATGATGATCTATGAAGTCGTGTTCTTTTATCTTTACTGGATGCTGCATCATCCATTACTTCATAAACCAGTTCAAAAGGCAAACACATCAAGAAACTCAAATCAACATCAACAACCAATTGAATATATACTTTTGAGCATAGTCACACCATCACTAGCTATATTTTTCACAAAGTGTGATACAGTCACGAGTTTGTTCTTTTTGACGGCAATTGTTGTGGGACCAATTTTCGAGAATTCCAATCATCATCAGCTTATCTCCTTCAATAATGAGTCCAATGATGATTTTAATGAATATTATGGATCAAATGATATGATGAATATTCTTCATGGGACATGCAAAAACTTTCTCAAGTCAGAAAACTTTGAGAACCACAGAGTTTTGCTGAGTATGAAACCACCAAAAAGAAAATGCGATGAGTAGTTGTTGGTGTAAAGCAGTGTTGAAATGACAGACGTCTTCCATAGACAAAGACTACAGAATTTTTAAAAGATTTTATCTTTATGAAGAATTTATCTTCTACAGATTTCTGTCTGCATGTAGATTAAAAAAAGTGTCTACATGCAGAATCTGTCTTCCAAAGAATTCTGTCTTCCACAGATTTCTGTCTGCATGTAGATCAAAAAAAGTGTCTACATGCAGAATCTGTCTTCCAAAGAATTCTGTCTTCCACAGAGTTCTGTCTGCATGTAGATTAAAAAAAAGTGTCTACATGCAGATTCTGTCTTCCAAAGATTTCTGTCTTCCACAGGGTTTGTCTGCATGCAGATTATTATATTTTAATGAAAAAGTGTGGTTTTACAATAAATTAACAATAATAAGTACTTTTAACGGTCAAATCATTTTCAAATTTTCCCGATTACCTCGAAATGCAAATATTTTCTTACAATTTGTAGGTAACGGTTTACAGAGTTCGTAAAAATGTACGAATTGGACTGACAGAGAAGCTTAATTTTAATCAAATATAAAACACTAATTCAAAATATTTTTTTCTTTTCATGAATCTGATGACAAATGTGGCGAATGGTGATTTTGTGAATGTGGATAAATTGTGTGTATGTTACTGAAAATATCCATTTTTAGTGCATTTTTGAAACTTATTTCAAAAAGGTAGCTTATTGATTGAGATAGAAGCAACCAGACATCGTAGCCTTCTACGTTTTCTCAGTTCTATCGTTTTATTGGCGTATCGAATACTTAATAAAAAACGTAACTCAGTGTATTTATGCTATTATTAAGCATTTTTCTGACAACGAGAAAATTTAAATGAAAAAACCCTTTTTATTAATTTTAAAAGCCCGTAAATGTTTGATCATTTTTTTATAAAAGAGACTTGTCAGAGGAAGTGAAGAAGAATCCACATTAATTTGCAAAATTAATTTCGTTGTTTTATTTTGTATCCTAAATCTTTCTATGTTTTTGATTTAAAAATATTTATTAAATATCAAAATATAATAATCTGCATGCAGACAAACCCTGTGGAAGACAGAAATCTTTGGAAGACAGAATCTGCATGTAGACACTTTTTTTGATCTACATGCAGACAGAAATCTGTGGAAGACAGAATTCTTTGGAAGATAGATTCTGCATGTAGACACTTTTTTTGATCTACATGCAGACAGAAATCTGTGGAAGACAGAATTCTTTGGAAGATAGATTCTTCATGTAGATATTTTTTTTAATCTACATGCAGACAGAAATCTGCAGAAGATAAATTCTTCATATAGAAAGTGTCTTTTTGCAGAAGTATAGGCAGATTTCAACACTGGTGTAAAGCTCTTCTTAATAAATAAACTTGAATTATGTTAATAGATCTAAAATAAGGAATTGAATTAAATTAATTTTATTTTTGGAACTTTATGAATGGATTAATAAGATTTAATTAAGGAAATTTGATTTTATTTGATGATTAAGTTAATAATGCTGATTGAAACATGTAAAATATTTAATACCTGAATATACTTCATAACATTCTCAATCGACACATGATTCCATTTGACTGCCTTTACTTCCTTCATGTCGCTACGAATTTCTATTTTTAAACATTCTAATGCTCATCATAGCATTGGATATAAATAACTTTGAAGATATAGCATGAATCTATTCTATCTCTACCATCGGAAGTTCTTAAAATAAAAATGTCACACAAACTTGTTTTTTACGTTCATCTTATTTTTTTACAGCCATATCTCATAGTGTTAATATTTGTCACTTTTTTTATCAACTCACGTGAAAAATTGTCAGTTGCTATTGTGTAGATGAGTAAATATTTATTCAAATAATCTCATATACTCGAATTTTGAAATGGTTTGAGCTGGAATTTTATAGGTTTTAAAATTAACGATGAATTCTTTTTACTACCATAGTAAAAATATAAGTTATAGACTGTATTGTTAAAATACACAGGAACCTGAAACTCAGTAATAATAAGTCAATCAAATTAATAAATTAGCATCGACATTTTCAATTCAAAATGGTCTTTGATGAAGCAACATTTCAGTTACATTGTGAAAATATTAGCTCAACTTTCTATCACTTTTAAGGAAGCATTTTTACAAGATTTATATGAATTTTAAAAAATCATATTATGTGTATGACAATGATTGATCTAGGTCAGGTATTATCGAAGCTCTACAAAGATTAAACAACGTTTTTTTATGATCAGCTAGTTAATAAGATATTTCGGGCAGTTGCTCTTCTGAACATTCAGTTTCGATTATCAGCTAAAGTCCTTTACGTTACTAGTTAATATAACATCCCATAAAATAATGTACTTTGAGATTTTAAATTTCATGTGAATGCATTATAAAAATCTCAAATATCTTACTTAAAGAGTTGATTTCCAAAAATTAGTATGTCACAGATTATCTCAAGCACGAATCAACGCGACGTTTCAAAAAATCCTTCTTCTTGATTCTCAACAAAAATTTCTGTTTCAGTGCCCTCATTCTAATCAAAACCGCAGATTAACAGAACAAAATGACCTTTAATCACATCGCGAATGAATTGCTATTTTTAGTAAAACAACGACAAATGAAATCACATTCCGCTGACACAATTTAATTTGTATGTCCTTCAAACGAAGGTAGAGCAATAATTGCTCGTACTGTACTGAAAACTTTCCATAAAGTAACTGATAACAGGACACAAAATTTTCTCTGCATTGCATTAGATTTTGCTCATTTATTTTAAATAAAATTCAAAACACCCATTTTTTTTTTGTAAACATCTTGTGGCATTCAAATTAACATTAAGAATCATAATCAACAACTAGAACTCTCAAAAAATTGTAAAATAATAGAGGTCCATAATGTCAAAAGTAATCAAATATTGTTATTATTTGTTGATAATAAAAATTGAATCTCTCAAGTCAATCAATTAAATTGTGCAATGGAAACGCAAAAATGAAATAAAAACTGAACATTTAATTCATGTGATTTATTTTATTGATTGCGTGTCTCACGTTCATTACCGTCATTGCGATTTGGCTCCCAAATGACACTCAATGATTTGAACAAATCATAAGCAGGAATAGATGACTGCTGATTGTTGCTATTGCCGTTATTATTACCGTTAATATTCTGTATCGGCTGAGAATTTTGTATGCCTTGTTGCTGTTGATGAAATTGTTGTTCGAATCCTGGTGGTACGCTTAATGGTGGGGATGGAGAAGCCCAATTTGTTGAACCAGACCATAAGCTTGATGTTGATGCCTCAGCCGATGAGTTTCCAACTGTATTTAACCATTCTGTCTGCTTACGTTCTTTCATTTTCATTATGTATTGGTACCGTTCATCCATAGATTGTTGATGCTGCTGTTGTTGAATTTGTTGCTGTTGCATTTGTTGTTGTTGTTGCTGCTGCTGCTGCTGGATCTTATCATTATAACTCATCAAATTCATCAATTTCGATTGCTGAATCCCAAAATTTTGTTGTGGATTGAAATAGTTGGTTCCATTAAAAGCAAGAGGCTTTGACAAATGTTGATTCAATCCAGTATTCAGTGGTTCCCATTCCCATGAGGGCGTTGACGATGGTGACTTTCTCGTTCCAATCGGTCCATATTGTGTACAGTTATTATCTTCTTGTTCTAAAACGCACGAGTCATTTGCTCGATTAAAGCAATTGCTACGGTTAAAGTCCAATTCTTGATGACGATATCCCAAATTTCCATTGAGTGTAGTTGGAAAATTGAGATTTGGTTTTGGTTCCAATGTTGGCTGAGCCACAACTTCACTATAACTGGAATTGCTCCAAATGCTGTTACTAACTGGTGGAGTCCAATTTGTTGCAAAATAATTCTGTTGAGTCTGATTAGAATTATTATTAATCATATTGTTATTTGGTAACTTCCCAATATTAGTAAAGTTCTGCTTGAATATGAACTGCTTATTGTCCTTTCCAGGAGTTCTCTTTACATTATTATTATTATTTGGAACAATGTTATTCTGGATCTGGACAGGATTCATCGGCATCTTTTTCTCACGTACAGCATTCTTATTATTGTTATTACTATTATTGATAGGGTACTTAGCATTGGGCTGCTTCGGCGCTTCGTTCTGAAACATTATGATTAAATTATTATTGTGAATTAAGTAATATGAAAAAAATGAGCAGTCTTACTTTGATCGAGTTAAGTGATTCATTGCTATCAACAAATACATTATTCTCATTTTGATGATTGCCGAGCTGGATTGTGTCTTTTAATCCTCCTTCATTTGAATGAACACTTAATGTCGGCGATTGATTTTTCTGAACGGTTATAGGCTTGACTGGTGTTTGCAATGGTTGTGGTACCACTGTTGCCAACTTATTCTTATTATTCTCTTTATTTGCTACTTGAGTGCGATTGACTTGATTCTGATTGTTGTTCAATGGTTTAACGGTTGCCACCTTTTGTTGTTGAAGATTATTCTTTTGATCTTTCGATGTATCCGAGATGTTAAGTTGATTCTTTGACTTTTTGCCACTATTCTTATTTTTAGTCGATGAGGAGTCTTGAATTTCATTCTTTTGTAAACTTTTTATGGCATCACAGTTTTCCTTTGACGATGACGAGGACGATGCTGAATCATCTTCAGTTGATGGAAGAGTTGACTTTTTATTTTCCTTTCCATTATTTTGTTGTTCATTATTAGTCTTATTGTTTTTAGGAACATCAGACTTTGTTGGTCTAGGTGATTGTTGCTTGGGACTGTCAGTATTCTGCACATTCTTTGTCGCTGTCATGAATTTATTACGTAGCTCTGTTAAATTTTTGGTAATCGTTAAACGTTTCCTAATGGTATTAAGTGAGGCATTGTGGTTATTAAGATTGTTCAACTGCTCTTGTGATGTCGTTGTCGGTGGTCCAAATGAGAATGTTATACTTCCAGCGACCATATCAATACCTATCCTCCTTAAATCTAATGGTGCCTTAATTGATCCCCTCTCTCGTGTCATAGCTTTTGCATGCTCTTTGAGAATTCTATCAGAATCTATGACAGCTGAGATAAGAACTAAAACTAGTGCAACACATAGTACAATCATGACTTTACTTTTGAAATCAGCTTCCCACGTTGGACGTTGAATATTTTTACCACAAACCTCTAATGCTTGTGTCGCTACAGTTCCAATGAGAGTAAAATTTACATTAGAACCGATACTTGTGTCAAAATTTAATGTCCTAACGACTCTTGACAGTGTAAAGTCCGGTGAGAATCCAATTTCTATCTTTTTTGATTCGTTTGGTTGAAGTTGAAATGGCTCGCAGTTTAGAACCTTGAATCCATATCCTACACATAAATCATTCTCTATTCTCATTCCATAGATCGATAGCGGAACTTCCCCATAATTTTTTGCCGTAAATGTCCTTTTACTCGACACTAAAACATTCGCTGACGTCTTTTTCTCACACAACTTTACGTGCTTCTCATTAATCTCAAATTGTAAGGGTGTTGAATTTCCTGGCTTACGATTTCCAAACTTAAATTGAGGAACAACCACATGAGCAGTTAACCATCTAGCTTCAACAATAGTAAGATTATTGCGTAAGTAGAGTAGCGTTGAATAAGTACCAGGCGATTGTGCAAAAAAATTTATTCCTAATTTAAGACTTGATCGTGGTGCTATTTCCTCAACATAAATATCCTTGTCCATAGAGACGTTAAATGAAAATGGATTGTCTTTACTTAAAACACATGTTGGACATTCTATGAGTGCATCTGATAGGATTTTTATATTTTCACCATGAAATGATATATTATGCAGCACAAAATGTACAAATAGAAGCTGATCGGATGGATTAAACACTTCTATAAATTGAGTCTCATATTTGTTGACTTGAAAGAATGGAAACTCTACATTAGTCTGTAACAACCGTGGCCAAACAAAGTCTATTGATGCATTAAACTCATATCGACGTATCTGTGATGTTGTCAGTCTAAACTGCATTTGCTTCATGTTCTGCTTAATTTCAATAAAACTATTCAATTGAGCCTGGAGCTTTTCATTATCCCATATTGTATAAGCTGTAAAGTTTTTCAGCAATCTCATCCACATCTCACCATACGGTCTTGATAGCATATCAAAACTTGTATAGCATGTTGATCGTTTCTTACACAGCACTTCTTTTGGATTAAAAAATAATTTGCCAATATTCGTATCGACATTTGGCATTATAATTGGTAGTTCATTTGGTTGTTTTACAGCAAATTCGTAGGAAATTCCATCCATATCAACAGCTATTCCCTCTACATACATTTTCTTCATAAATGTTGAGTATGCTTGCACTTCCAATGCACAAATTTTTCCCTGGAATTAAAGAAAAATTCAGGAGTACAGCTAGAATTAAAATAAAGGTTTAACTAAAACTTACTGGAAAACAATCCTCAAACGTCAGCTTGTTTTTAAGTTCCAACCTTCCCATGGCTGTTGAAAATTTCACAGGCGTATTGATTTCCTCAAATGGCGTTTTTAATAAAAAATTTCCTCCAAATGATCCCACAGCATTTGATTGTACGCTTATTGAAAAGACTATCCATTCACCAGGCGGTACGTATGGACTACAAAATAGTAAATTATCGAGTGACATTTTACTGCAACCTCGATTAATAGTACTCAATTGTGCTTGACCACTTCCGCTTGTAATAGCACCCTTCCAACTTGTTATCTCGATCGCTATTGGATTCTCATTTACAAATGCGATAAGCAATTCTGTTTGCTTACCAACCGGTAGCAGTGCACCGAAATTTAGAGCTTTCTCATCAATCTGTGATCGTTCACGAGCAAAATCTACTGGAACAATTCGTCTTAATAATCCCGTATATAGCCATAGTGGAATGCTATAGTCTGAAACGTTAGTAATAATCCTAAAATGTTCCTCTAATGTCGTCACATTGAACGGTATATGTTGTCCATGATTTGGCTGAATATCCAGTAGATTGAGGAAAGTATTTGGTTGTAGGATTGTTGGATTAAATCCGCTCAACTTAAAATATCGAGAACAACTCTCAGGTACAGAAATATTTGTTATTGCCAATGGTACATTGTAATTGTTTTTAATAACAAATGGTCTTATTATCTCGTATGTTTTCTTATCATTGCGAGAAAATTTCAAGTTTTCTACGTTGTAGCTTAGATTTCCTTGTATGATGTGACCATAAAATGGAAATCGATAAATGACATCCTCAATGTCCTCGTCGAGACCATCGGCAACTAAGAATATATATCCCGTAATTATGTGAGATATGTCAAAGCATTTTGACCAATCTACATCGACAGTCAGGTAATCGGTAAAGTTCCTTTGCCTAAACTGCACAACGTCAATTTTTAAACATTCGGAACTTTTAATTATTTGGTTTTCACTTTCCACACCCCAGTTTTTGATACTAATTGTTTGTGGGCCAGAATTTAGTAGATCATACACAAATCTATGCATACCATCATTATTTCCAACCATACCGAAATCCAGCAGTGGCGTTTGTATGTATAAACCACTTTTATTGTAGACTTCTATCTCTATCGGTACGACAAGCATCTTCTCTTCACTCATCAGTGGCGAGGAGGCAATTTTTATGCGCACATATGCGGAATGATTACCTGTTCGAAAAGCATTAAATCGTATTCGAATTATCGGCTTTGATGTGAAACTTGGAATTTCCCATAACTTATAATCTCCTTCTTGATCACCATTTGTTGTGTTTGTTGGAAGTTCCAACTGAAATTCACCTCCGCTACTATAGATTTCCGAAATCTGTAGTGGAAATGCATGAGGATTATATAATTGAATTTCTGGTGATATCGACGAATTTATCGGCAGCTTTATTCCAATCAATGGTCGTAGTCGATATTGACACTCAATTCCAACACCCTTAACGTGGTAGTTTATCGTTCCAAAGGATGTGTGGATAATAAGGGATGAATTTGTTTCACCTATCTGTCTTGGTAGAAAGACAATCTTGAAAGACGTATTGGATTCAGGTCCGATAACTTTGTCCTCAAAATATGATGAGTAGAAATCAGATGATGAACTTCCCGATATACTCCCAAGATAAACTTTCTTATGTTTATGTTTGTTAAAAAGATAAACTCTTTCGTCATGGGGATCCCCAATTGACCTAAAAAAGAAATATTAGTAAATAAGAAGAGAATAAAGATTCAATTTAAGTCGCTTTATCATCACCACGCATTATTTTTGACATATCAAAGATTCAAATACTCTCAATGCAATACATGAACATACGAACACATTTACACACATAATCGAATGAAATCAAAAAAAAATCTACATTTTAAATGTTATAAAATATCACCTTTGTAAGAAATCTAAAATTGATGGTTGAAATTGCAATAATGACAATGATTCTTGTGAATTTATAGTCTCTGATGGTAAATTGTCAAATTTTTCAGCAAATCCATCATGAAGAATTTCTTCCTGGCCAGATTTAGCGAAAGATAATATTTCCAGTAAAATGAAAATAATTATCAGCATTTTGATCATCATTTAAACCAATTTTCTTTCTATTATTTATATCACTTTATCTTCTTGTATAAAACAAAAAAAATTAAACATTTTTCTTGTTGAATAATATCAGTTTTATATGTTTTACTTTAAATTTTTATTCCCTTCAATGTTTTCAATTTTTTTCATACTATTGGCTATTGTTGTAATACATGTCACACATTTTGTGGTGGTCTCGAAAAATTGTATGAAAATCATCATGTCACATTACTTTGCAATATTTTCCACACGACTTTTGTCGACTGAACGCTCACAATTCGGTTTAGAGAAGTTCTATTGTTTCGCATCACCTTTTGCGTCTATTTTTGTTTACCTTTTTGAAGATTCATTGTTCTTTGAATTTTAGCTGAATTTTCGTCATTATTCTAATCTTTGACTATGTTCATAATATCTATAGCTTTATGAATTGCTTATTAGATGTTCAATTCCAAAAAAAAACATTCAAAACTGCCAATTTCAATATTAATTTGCTAAAACTTTCTTGGCACTTATGTTCAACAAGTTACTTTCATTTGAAACAACAAAAATAAACAAATAATAAGCAAAATAAAATAATAAGAAGCACAACAAAAATGTACTTCCGTTTTCTGCCGGAATTGGCACTTTCGTATTGAATTTCAATTATACCGGCAATTGCAGAATAATGAATTGATGGCTTTGAAAATTTCAAATGATTTGAGTTTTGTGGATGTTTTGGTTTCATTTTTTCAATAAAATCAAATTATTCAAAATAAAGAGATGAAAAGAAAGGAACTAACAAGCCTTGATTGGCTTAATTTTTGAACAGACATTATCCAATTAAGTAATTGCACAGTAAGATTTTAAGTTGCATACTCGAAATCACAATCTTGGTCAGGCAGATTTAATCACAATTTTTCAGATCCATTTCAACTTCCTGAAAACAATATCAAATGTCATTCAAGTCATAGAAACAAACAAAATATAAATTTCAATTAATTTATTTATTTTTCACATCTTAAAAAAATCCATAGAATTTACAAAACATGAGAATATTCTTAACACTTCCTCATTTCTACTTAATATCAAGGTAGAAGATCTCTTGATCATTTTGCAGTTTATAACAAATACAAATGTATTTACACGAATGTCAATGAAAACAAAAACAAAAGATTACATTTTGGTATTATTTGGCTGTGTTTCCAGAAATTAAAGTTTATAGTGCTACATCTCTATATTTCTTGAAATCATCCTGAGACTGATTTCCTAAACTAGTGCTTGTATTAAAATATGCGCTATTTTGGTTCATAAAATAATTATTTGGAGGTGCCATAAAATATGCTGGATGATGAGGGTAGTTGTAATAAAAATAAGCAGGATACATCGGTGAATTATAAGCCTGAATATGTGTTGAATAAATATCATCAGTTAAAACTATTCCAACATTCTCTAGCGACACACAATTCCTTCCAAGGCTTTTCCTATGTGGAGTTTCAGCTGCCTGATTTTGTAGTTTGTCTCTCGAACCTTTAAGATCCTTCTTTCGAGCATTTTTCGAGAGATTTGTTTGAAGTCTCATTTCATAGCTGCTTAAGCTCATACTATCGGATTTATCTTTGAGTTTTGAAGGCGTATCTGCTGATCTGGCTGTTGTTGAATTCACAAATCGAAGATCCAGAAGGGATTGAGTTCGTTTCGCTGTAAAATATAAGAATGTTATGGATTTCTGTTAGGTCTTAAGTTATAAGATCGATGTCAATAGTGGCTGAATATCTTCTAGCTACAATATGTCTCTAAATCATTACTCAGACTAGACTTTAAACACTTAATTTTAAATCACAATCCAATAATAATTAATTAAGACATACCTAATGGAGTATTGATCGGAGGTCCAATATACTGTGACGGATTCATTCCGAATATACTAGCGTCAAATTCATTCTGTGAACCATAGCAGCTCTGCATGTAACTTCGATTATCTATACCCCCAATGTACTTTTCAATGCAACCATTAGCTGCGTCACTTTCTATTTCCTTTCCCGACGTTGACACTCTTTGGAGCGTTCCATTGTTTACCAAGTCACACGTTGCCGGTGTAGATGTTAGTTGAAGTCGACTTGCTAATGATTCCAATTGTTTCAAAACTTTTTTCTCTCTACGCCATTTAATGGCCAATGGTAGAATATGAATTAAAATTGCACAATTTATTATGAGTCTTATGAAATATGTTATGACTTCAGTCAATCCCTGATTGTACTCTGAACCCTGTAAAAATTATTATGTCATTGATGTTGAAATAATAAATTAATGTTAAATGTTACCCAAAATTGCATCATGATCAGCCATAATTCTGGAATTGTAAGTATTGAGAAAATAATTGACCATATGAGAAGTCCCATAGACAGTCGAGTTGCGAGACCATTAATAAGAACCGTCGCTGATAAAAATAATATAAAATATATGATGCTAAGAATCACTGATATATATTCCTTCTCTGCTCGTCTCGTGTCGAGAATTTTCGATAATTCACAGGAGAATGCGATAAGATAAAGAAGCTGTTAGAAAATAAATAAATAGTTTAATTAATTAAATGAGCATCAGCAAATATTGCTACAGATAATAAAATCTCTTAACTGTGTCTTGACTAATTACATTTTAATTCAATAACTGTTAAGTCTTTGTTGGATATGAAATGATTTATTTTTTTGGTAGAAACAAGAGTTAATTGGGAGCAAAAAAGAAATGTGGAAGGTAATAATTTTTTCAAGCCATCAACTCAATGAAAATCAATGGCATATTAATCTTGAAAGAAATCTTTGTAATTTATACATGCTTATGGTTATTTCCACGCCCCATAATTTCTCATTTGTGACACGTGGTTGTTTATAAATTGTTAAATGAATAATTTTTGGAAAATTAAACGTGAAAGATTTTTTAAAATTTTAAATTAACCGTTACTGAACTTTAAAGTTATGGCTGTGCTTAGCGACTAGTTTTATTGTTATATTAGGTTTCACTTTTGAAGATATACATGATTTTCAGAACATCAGGGGTTACAGTACTTGATAGCACATGAAAAATTAAAATTTATTTATTTTTGTGTATCTAGAGGAATTTTCTACTGTAATTAATGATGAGCTTCGTTAACTTGAAAGATGCAAAATTGCCCCAAAAAAATAATTTCAACAATTTTTGCAAACAAAATATTCAAATTAATTAAAAAAATATTTTTTTTTTGGTACCGCAAGCTCATTCTTCACAAAACAACAGGCAATGTTGTTACTTGGGATTTCTATCTCATTCAGACAATGCTTGATAACCTTTTCTAGCTTTTGCAGATTGTGATTTCAGACTCCTCTTTCCGTTTAAAAATGACCAAGACTTGAGCTATTCAGATTTGTGATTCACTGTCTTGACCACTGATGTCTTTCAATCTATCAAATGTTTCAATCGAATGCATGTGATTGAAATCTGATATTGCCACTGTGATCTAATAAATTAATATCTAAGCAACACTTCCAACAGACATTTCAATTATAGTATAGCAATAAAGCTATACAAGAATTACCATCAAATTGGTCTCAATACTTTGATGATTTTTAAGCCTAAAATCAGATTTTCTCGATTATTAAAATTGACCATTATTTCACACTTTAAAATCCACATAAATAGTCAGAAAATCTTTCATTTTTCGCTTCTTTAAAAATGGAATTTTTAATTATCATGAAGACCACGAACTTCTTCTTAAAGAAATTAAATTTATAAACAAATCACGTGAAAGACATTCTTTTGTATTGGATGAGTCAAAAAAATATTTATATTCACTGTCAATGGCTCAGCATGTACATGTAAATGGAAATAAATGACTTGATAAATGGAAAGTTCTGATGTAATATTTTCTATTAATACGCTGTGATGAAACGGATTTGACTCATGACATTAAGTTCTGATCAGAACTCGTCAGAAAATCTTTTAATTATTGAAAAGTTAAATTGGAAATATGTGCAGGTGTGGGACTAAGCACGCAATAAAATTCTTTAAGAAGCAAAGTGTGTCAGAGAAAGAAGCAGTAATTCCTGACTTATAAAATCACAGAATATTTTGGATGTAAAATTTCAATTCAAATTTCTGAGAAATCAGATTAAAAATAGGCGGGAAGTTGTAAATGATTGATGAGAATATGAGAAATTAGTGGATTTTTAGGTCAACTGTAAGACAGACTTAAATTTTTTAACTGAAAATGAATCTAAAGATCGCACTGGAACCATCATTAAAAATATTCTAAGAATTTCCAATGAACAATATTATATCCACAAGAAATAAATTAATTCACAATAGCTGCTACTGTTTTCCATGAATGAAAGTCATCGATGTTGTGACAGCATCAATATAAATTATACAGTGTAACTTTTCAATTAATAGGTCGTGAGTCATGAGTCATGATGTCAAGTTTTGGTTTTAACTAGATGACTTGAAAATTCCAGAGGGCGAAGTCGACTCGAAATTTGTATGAAGTCGAGTGAACTCAAGTCGACTTTTCCATACAAAATCCGAGTCGACTTCGCCCTCTGGAAAATTCATTCCTAACAAGAAACTGATTAATTTTTTCAGCTTTAAAAGACTTGTTGTTATAAAAATTTTAACACTTGCTTTATGACCTCAGAAGTCGCTTGTCATGGTCCAGCCCAGAATTTAAAAAGACTCGGATTTTTGTTAAAATACGGAAGAATCAAACCGAAACTAGCATTTTGTTGTACTTATGTTTGAAATCAGTTTATTGCTTACTGTTTGTTGGTTATTAGGATTAGTTGTCAGATATGACTTAAGTTTATTTTGAAAACTGGTGCAGGAGTTCTTAAACTTTTTGGTAAATTACTTTTAAATGTAAATTTAATGAGTCGCTTTACATGGATCACAGAGTATAGTTTGAGAAGCACTGAGCTAGCCGCTCAAACAATCAAATAATGACAAATAAATTTAAAAAAATTTGTGATTAAACCTTCGTCTAAAGTTCTAAAAATATTAAGAATCCATTGGTACATACCCAACAAATTAAAATGTCTAATATTATAATGCTCTAAAAGTTTCAATTCCTAAAAAATCCATAAAAATCAATTTCCACGCATCCTTGATAATCACAAAACATTACAAAATAATAACCATTAATAGAGCATATATGTGGATCATTGAAGGTGTGGGATGCAATAATACTAAAGATTCACATATTTAGGTCTCATTCACAACACTCCTTTGCAATTTATTGAATCTATCCATTGTTACGATTTCATTCATAACTTGTAATTTTGTTCAAGGAAAATACATCAATAAGTTTTATTTTGCATTGTCTTCAAGTAGTTATTAAGACTCAAAAAATTCAAATTGCGAGTCAGAAACTCGTTGGTATTGAGGCTTATTCTGCTTGCGTGATTGTAAAGAATTTATTAAGTAAACCATAAGAATTAAATTCTGCAATGGAATTTGATGTACCGTAAGGGTAATCCAAAAAACAACTTCAGAGCACCATGACACACATTTGCAATAAAAGCGTCTAAAAGTATCAATAGCAATTTGCTATTTCGTCAAAAAGGAAAGAGAGTCATGCTAATAATAGTAAAATTACTCCATAAATAAAAGTCATTTTATGCGCGAAAAAATTGTGAATGAGCTGACCAATTGAAAGATATCTGGGGCGTATTAAGGAGGAAAAATGGTTTTCTGGGGAGTGATGGCTTAGCTAGCAATAAGTAGGGACGTAATACATAATGATTTTTTTGAATTCATATTGCAATTGGTTTCCAGACGGTTTATATATGTACATGATGTAAGAACCGATAGAAGAACACAGCTTGGGATCTTCCATTCCCTACCATACCTTAAAGGCAAACCTTTTAGCTAGTCCTTTCTCTAATAACAAGCCTGAATATATTTAAAGACCTCACCAACATAAAAAGTTTCTGAATACATCCCTGAATGGTACATATGAAATATTGACACTAACGCCATACACGAATCACTTTTATAGCGCGAATAAAAGGAAATTAATATGCAAAGACATAACAGTTCTTCTATAAATAAATGTTTATAACAATGATGATTCATTCTTCTTACCAGTGATAGACATGCTGCAGAGAGGCAAATGTAGATGAAATTTTGCTTCAAAAATTGTTTCAATTTGGCCATGACTTGTGTGTTTAATCTCATAATTTTTCTTTTAAACGAAATGAATGGATACAAATCACTTAAATTGTAGCTATCAAAGTGATTTAAATTGGTGAAAATCGCGTTGCTTCTTCCATTATTTTACAATCGTTTCTTAGCTTTTAATTTTCGAATTTTAAATGCTTTATTACAGCTGTTTATTATCACATAATCATAAAGAAGTTCACCGTTACTGTTGTTTTGTGCTTATAACTTTCACTTTTATTTGCATTCACGAAAAAAAATTGTTACAAGAAAATTATCACCTTATCATAGAGATAAATCTACTGGATCTTATTAAAATTTTCTGAAATAAAAAATTAAAAATTATTTACAATTAAGCTAGTCATTATATCTCGCGGTTCACACTAATACTCGTATGTGATTATAATGATTCATCAAGGCGCGCGTATGTGAATAACAAAAAAAAAAGTTTTGTATGAAAAGAAATTCACATGAATTAAAAACTTAATTTTGAGCGCAAATTCTCATGGAAATTAGTGGGTATTGTATGCACTTTGGTTTTGATGACTGGATTATTGGCATGCATAAGGTGAGTTTATTTATTACTTTAATATTAATTCTCAATCAAATGTTACTCAGCATCTTCATAGTAAGAATAAACTTACGATTAACGTCATAATTTGCAACATCATCATTTAGAGCCCTCCTCAAATGATGTTCGAAAAATATATAAGCTGCTCACCTTATCTTAATGAAAAACATTTTAAATTAAGACTAAGATTCCTACTTTAATTGATATCACTTCTAATCTTTAACCTAACCCCCTCATTGAGTAATGCAGACATAACAACATCTCATTTTACACATAAAAGTCTATAAAACTCAACAGCCATTAACAAAAATTAAAAACTTTGTCCATAATTTGAAAATAATACCTAATCAATAAAACCATAAAGCTGTTGGTTTAACACTTTGTTGATTAATGCGTGGGATTTAATTTATTTTCCTGTGCATTCTTAAACATTTGAATGAAGTTCCGATAATTTTTCATACAATACAATAGCCAAGGTCACTGCATTTTTCACAAATAAATCACATCTCATAATTAATCACTAATGATATCCAAAAGTCCATTAAAGTAATTTATTTACTTTCGAATTAATTCACTAATCATGTCGAGAGAAAATGCGCTCTTATCTCTTAATCAAAGCATGCATTGAGAGGTCGACTTTTACACTACTTTTATTTTACATTTCTTGTCTTGAATGAAATTGATTGAGAAAGCTCTGTTTATTGTTCACTACATGAGAAGGCTTTATAGCCAACTAAACTGTGCAAATTTTTTTATTTTTTTCATAGCTGCTTTGGGTGGGCGAGCTTGTTTTTTTTCTCACTTTTCAAGCTTAATAGATAAATGTATGTTCATTTGTAATTTACACGCGTTTGGATAGTTCAAAAATTATTTAAATCACGGATCTTTTTGGAGATATGAAAAAGAATTATATCAATCAGCTTCAAAGCTGTTGGTTTGGCTAGAGCTGGACTGTGATTTTCTAGGGATAATTTTTTAAATCATAAAAATTACAATTTAGTATTACAATATGACCTAGTCATATAGATAGTGAGTAGGTCATAGATAGCTCCTAGAATTTCCTTTAAAGAACTTCAAAGCTTTACCTTTGTAGAACCTTTTAACCTTTCAAACCTCTAATAAGGGACCGTTTCTTTATGACGTCAAGAAGGGAGGGGGGGGGGGTCAGCAAAAAAAAACAAAAGCAATTCCTGGAAATCCATTGTTGAACGTTAATTTCGGACGTCATAAGTAAACGACCCCTGAGCTATTTTTAATTAAGACAAAAAAAACCTAGAAATAAGCAACTAAGCTTATAGCAAACAACATCGCCTAGTCAAACGCACTTAACCAGCAGCTCTGATTAGCAACAAATTAAAAAATCTGCACTGAGCTAATTGAAATGGAATACAAAAGAGCGTATGACTTTCCTCCATACATATTGATTAAAAAAATGTAAATTACTTTAACTGTAAACACATGATTCCGTAATGCTTTGGGAATATATACTTTTATTTTAGAATTACCACAACACTTGTGTCATCGATATTGCTAAATTCATAAATTCACTTCAACATCCAAAAAAAAGATTTCAATGCTTTTCCTTACACACAATGTAAAATATCAACAACCGAGTTTTATCTTAATTCATTCGAAATAATAAAATAAAAGAAATAGAGGAAAAAAATTATGCAATGACTAGCGCGAGCGATGTTCCTACCGAGACTGAAACCACGAGTATTTCTTATAGCTATAACAAAAATATATACTAAGTTTGAGAGGTGTGTGGAGTGAGAGAGGTGAGTTTAAAAATTGTGAGAAAAAATACAGTCGAATAGGAAGTTTTGTTTTGTTTTTGAATTCAAAAGTATTTGTAAATGCATAAGAGAAGTAGACTAATCGTTGTTGACTTGAGCGTAATAAATCAATGACCCTATCAAAGAGATCTCGATAATTATTAATGGGGAAAAATTTGTAAAATAATTACACTATTAATATGAATTTATTTAACTGCCCGAAAAAATTTTAGTGAAGACAAGGTGCTTGTAAGCGCATTTTACATGAATTAAGTCGCGCTAATGAAAACATTCTACAAATTAAATCAAAAAAGAGTTCAATTCTTTCTTGGAAAGATTTTCTTCATTTTGAAGCTACTTAAGAATCGAACTATTGTCCTTTTAGGACGTTATAAGATAGTTCTGCAAAAAATGTACTTAAATAACAGAAAATGAAATTATTCATCTTGTGAAGTTTACACAATTGCTTCAAAATGAAATCAATTTGCAATAAAGCAAAAAAAGAGTTCTTAAGACTCGAACACTGGCACTTCGAATAGTTTCCAGTTTGTCCTTTTTTTCAGCACTCTATTGTGTTTGAAAATCTACAAAGTTGAACTGGGCTAGTTTTAGGCGTACTAACGATTAATAAAATTTGGCAAAAAGTAATTAAGCTTATTAAATTTCAAAAAAATGCAAAAAAGTTCGAGAGTTATAATATCAAATTGTTTTTTTTATTACCGGACATCCTTCAAATTTTCTTCCTTTCTTCCTTCCTTCTTCATCATGGGACTTTTTTGAGGGAATTGGGCACCCTACTTGTTTTTTTTGTTTTCTTCCATAGCTTATGCATTTGGAATCTACTGATATTCTCTCGAACTGTCACTGGTAAACCAGCGACGAGCTGAAAATGGCAAAACTTCTATTTAAATTACCCAAAAAGAATTTTATTCTTGTGAAGTATAAGGGAAAAAATGAAAAATGTATTAAAAATGTTTTTGATTCTTTTTTTCATTAATACATTAATATAAATCTTAATAAAATCTTAAAAAGTAAAAACTTATAAAATTTTACACATAATTGTTGATGCCAAAATATCATTACTTAACAGATGACAAATTTCAAACATCAATAAATGATTTAAAATAAAATCAAATAACAGATATCTACCAAATTCCATTTAATTGCGAAATTCCATCTTACAAAAAAAATGGGCAAATTTACTTGCAAAATTTCCATGCGACACACTTCATTGCACAATTTCGATGTCATAATGACAGAACTCATTAATTGGAATTTCTTGAATTTCTTTTAAGCTGTAGTTAAAAGTTCCACAGTGTAAAAAAACAGAAATACACACAATACCGTGGAGCACTTCGAAATCTGTACTTATTACGCAGATTTTATGTTTGCACATCCAAAATACAATAAATGAATATAAAAAGAGTCGCAAAAAAAGCTTGATATTTTCCGTACGTAATTGTAATAATTTTGTATGCAAAAATGAAGATGTCGAATTGGTTGTAAATAAAGCTGAAATATGACTTTCGTTTTGCGCTGGAATTCAATGTTTTGCAGCCAAAAGCAATTTCTTTTTAGTCTGTTTTTCTGCAATTAAGTGCCGCAGTTTGTCACTCTGATAAAATTTTATTAATAAAATAGCTGAGTCGTGCTGTAATGAAATTCAGGTTCCCTCTGTTTCATTTGAATTACATCCAGCTTCAAGACTCCTTGAAATATTTAAAAATTACAAAAACACTTCAGTCAACCAGTAAGAACTAAACAATTCTCAATAACATATGGACACGTCACGACACATGAATTCAACAAACATTTCCTCATAAACTCCAAAGCAATTTGTGATAGATTATTTCGTCATTTTTTTTTTTCAAAACAAGAAACTCTAGTCACAAAATATCAATACTGAACATGTTAAAATAAACTTTTTATGGTAATCACTTTGTAAGAATGCGAATAGTTTGACGACATAGAAAAGACCATATGGATAAAGGGTTATTCATTAATGACGTCTGTTAAAGTTTAATTGAATCTCAAAGTTTTGTGAACTCGTGATTTAATGTTTGATAAGATGCACACTTATTCTAATGTACATTCTAAGTATGGAGCTATCCTAGGGTCACTAAAGTCAGGTTTAATTCATATAAGTAGGTTTATGCTGGTATAAAACTAGCTATACTAGTTAAAACTGGTATTTATCTTAGACGTATTCTTGACTATACTTCTATATTTTACCTCAATGATTCTCAAATCAAACTTTTCAGATCAAGAAATAGTTGATAGACGTTAAAAGTAAATGACGCCTTGGGATTGTCAATTTATTAGTTGATGTGAAACCAATCGATCAGAGATTTACTACATTTTCAGATATTTAAGAATTGTTCATAATTGATCCAAGGGTGGGGTACTGAGGAAATGATCAAAATTGATTAAAATTGATCAAAAATGTCCAAAATGTAATTTATCAGTTCCGTATCTTCGAATTGAACCCTCGTCAAGATATGGACATCATTTATGATCAAACCCCCAATAGAGGAAAAAGCTATTTTCAATTGCAAGTTTTAAAGTTTTTATTCCAACTTCATAAATTCATCAAACAATTTATTTAAATTTTTTGTTCAATTCTTTTTGATTTTTTTCTTTTCTTCATTTATTTATTAATAATAATATTTTAAAATATGACATTTATACAAGTGCACGATGTAATGTATGTATTATAATTTGATACAATATGTGCTTTTTAGAACAATATGCGCTTACTTGAGACCAATGTCGAATGGATAAATAATTCTCATAAAATATTTTCTCTCCTAAAGGAAAAATTAAATGAGCAAATAACACACAGAATGTTCACTTCTGGCTTATTTAGATAAATATTGAATTTCTTTTTTAAAAATAAAATATTAATCTATTCATTCCATTAGATTTTAAAATGTCGGAACTATATGAAATCGAGAGATCAGAGTTACTATCAGAGGTCATTTTACATATATCATTTCATTATCATAATCAACAAAATTATAAATGACGAAATTTATTTATCGTTTACATATTTTTTTAATTTATCTCCTTTTGATATTTGGTCAACAGCTTCAAAATCTCTTTTAACGACAGTCTAGCGACGTCCGAAACGAAGAAAAACGTGATCCACCTGTTGATTTTAAAAATACATATTCAAATGATTAGTGTTAATGTATAGGAGGACATTAAATAATTTATATACATCAGTCCTTTTTCCTGCGATGCCTGGATTGTTTACTAAATCCTCCGATCGGACCATCAATGCTGAATTGAAGGAAATTTATAATTTATTAAAAAATTCATTAATATTTAAGTTGAAGTTTACAAATGACGACGATTTAAAATTGATAAATCCGAATCAAACTCTTTTAAATTATAGACGTCATTTGTAAACGACCCCTAATTCAAATTTTGCAAGATTTTAGTTTTGCTTTCAGATTTCTTACTAATCTTTTATTGCACACATTTCACTTGGTCACAATTAATTTACATTTACACATCCAGATTTATATTGCGGCTTTGGGATCATTCATTTATGACGTCTTGAACAGAGACAAAGCAAAACTTTTCTGACCTTAATCAACAAAATATCTCGCTATGTCATCAATTCAGAATTAAGAAGCAAGTTAAGTTTCAAACTTTTTAAAAATTATCTAACGTCATTTGTGAATGACCCCTAATCTGGCTGATACATTGCAATTTACACTAATCAACTTAAAATAATTGCAATATTTATTTATCTGCTAAAATTAGAATTTTTTTAATTGCATTGCGGTTTATCTATGATAATGAGGATGACATCTCAGCAACCAAAGAACATTTATGAGCAAGTTAAGGAGATATTCTTTGAATGCTGAGATTTATATTAATTATATTTGAGCAATTTTTTGAGACCCACAGAAGTTTTCTAGCTAGAGTTTTTCTAGCAGGAAATGAAGCTACAAGTTATTAACGCTTGTAAATCCAATTCCTGTGCCTAATATCGTTTAATAATTCCTCATATTTCTCATATCAGTTTGAAATTCAGCCATCAATAAGCCAAAATCTTGCAAAATTTTCTCAATAAAAATATAAAATGTTTTTGAGGTTAATTTTGTGGTACCTGCGGCTTCATTTCTTATGTATTGTGATAGAGCGGAACTTAGTTGATTTGAATTCTCCAATGCTAAACATACTTTCTTAATGTGCACTGGTAATTCTTCGATGATACCCTGGAAGTAAGTTATTAAATGTTTTGGGTTTATTGTAAATGTTTTGATATATATATATATGAATTTATGAATGGTCAAGGTGGGTTAAGCTTAAAATTGACTCTTTATTTATCTATTGCAGCAGGTTTGAAGCAAAAAAAAATAAAGTTTAAATGTTGCATTAATAATTTAATGATGGATTATAGCAAATATTATTTTTTGAAAACATTCAGAATTTAAATATTCAATTAATAGAATTTAATTCAATTAATCAGCTGGATTCTATCTAGAGCAACAGATCAATACATGCTGCAGCTATGTTTAGTCTAGTTTCAGAACATGTTTGACATTAATCTTCAACGAAAACATTTCATTAAAGATCTGGTAAAATCTTGCAATTTTAAATTGAATAGATTAATGAATCGACAATGATTGTCTAAGACCAAAGATCCATCATAAAATAGACATGAATCTATTTTCCATTCTAACACCTGTTAAAGGTTCAAAGTCTTTAAATTTCATCCCAAAATCCAACCTTAACCCAACTTGTCAATTAAATTTAAAATATTAATTAAGTAACTTACGGGTTCACAGAGAGGTGGCATGCTGCCGCTTGACATTGCTACAGGCGTACTTTCTGTGATGAAAGGGAATGCACAGAGTGCAACAAACAATGAAAGAATAACAACTTGTTCCTGCATCATAGTGAGTTCTATTGTGTTGTGGGTAGAACTAGAAGGATAATAATTGGATGGAAACCAGGAATTATGATTGATATAAAATTAATCATAAAGCAATGGGGTGAATTAGAAAAAACTATTAAAGTCTGGTGCTTAAATTGGATGTTGGATACTAAATAAAAATATAAAATTTAAATGCTGCAAAAAATTGATTTTTCCGTCGATATTTATAATTATAGAATCGGAATTTAATAATTTTTTTTTTTGCTTCCAAACTCAATTAACTTTTTTCACGTGCAATTAAATCTCTACGTATATACACTGAATCAGGTAGGTTGGTATGCTTATTGAACTTTTATAAATATGTTCTATGACTTTTCGATTTTCCACACCAATAGTGCCAATTTCTTTGATTTAAATTTGATTTATCATTATGAGCACACAATTAATGCGTCAGTGGCAAATTTCGCTAATCACAGAAATTGTTCACATGTTGTCTTGGTGGGATGATCTAATCTAAAGTTCTAAATTATTGCACTCTTTTGGAAGTCTTAATCCATATGGGATAATTGAGATACACAAATAGTCTTGATTTTGAAAGTTCTTTACATTAAAAGGCAGAAGATATTAAAATTTGAGGTTTTTGGAGCCTTTTATAGAATAAAAGGATTAACTTTAGAGCTGGGTATGTTACGTCAGCTCAACATGGGGACACAAAGTTTGCATAAACTAAGTGATAATGCCAGCACTACAAAGCCTTTCAATGCATTCGAACCTTAACCTACAACCTTATTGTAAGTTTATCGGTGACATGATGCACTGACTACTTTAATAACTTCCTAAAGCATTCTTAATTTAATGTCGTGACTACAATCTATGGATTGTTTATGTCATTATTTAACTATTAACTTCTTCTTATGGGAATCGAACAAACATTCTAATAATTCAAATCTATGAGTTTGTTTAAGAATTAAAGAGGCCTCCTTGACTATTCAATTACAGGAACAATAGAATAGCACTGACAGATTTGCCAGCATATGGCTCGATACCCTAGATCCAAAACTACACAACAAAATGTTCTAATCTTCCTACAAATCACTTTCAGTCTGTAAAACTTACAGATTTCTTTTTTAAAAATCCAAATGGAATTCACTCAAAGCAACAAATTTAAGCGACTTTTGATTTTTATCACTAGTCAAGAAGCACTCTGTAGTTGAACTGATTGATTCTGTGTAAGATTGTTTCACAAAAAAAACTTTTTCCTTACTTTATTGAAAAATGTAATCCGCTTTTAGTCCAAAAGAAACACAAAACTGCTATGATGGTTGTTTGATGATCTCCAGCTTTTTATATAGGAACAAAGTTCTTCGTGAGTATTACGACAATTACCACTACGCATTCGCAGATTGCGATAACCGATTGTTGCCGATAACGACATCAATATATGTTTCTATGATGTTAAAAGGACAATGTATGGATTAATGGCTTTCTATAAGGACTTAAAAATTGTAGGAAGTTATAATTAAGAAAAAGGGAATTTAAAAAAAAGCCTGAATAGCCGCAACATGCGTCAACTTTTTTAATATTTTATTTTTCATATAGAAAGCAAATATTTGAGTTAGAGTCTCTAATGGTATAAAATGTCACAACTCATCATGAGATTCTTGGGAAATCAAACAAATAATAAATTGAGGTAGCCATAAAAATTTCCCAGGTGATGTGTATCATTTACTCACTTTTGTTACCATTTCTTTTTCATAATTTCATGCGAAAATGTTGGAATTGAAAATTGTGCATTTCAAGCTTATCAAAGCTCATTGTTTCAAACATTCCATGCATCTCAATTTCCATGGTAATTTGCTATTTAATTGTCGCGACTAGAAATTGTTCTAATTTGTGATTCGCTGACTCAAGATTTATTTGATTTATTTCATCATTCAACAGTTCAAATATTTTCTTCGTTCTTCGCGTCATTACGTCACTGTTGTCGAATTGCTTACGTCTTCCAAAGTGATTTATGTGTGGGCATTTAGTTGTAAAGCGTAAAATTCTTGAGCCATTTTACTCAAGAGATTACAGGATGTTAAGATTGGCAAAATGGTGAGTTATATATATTGCATATTGTTGTTATTATGACGTCTTAAGGTAGAAAGTCTGTGCATCATTATTGTGGGTCAATTTGTTAGCTATAACTTTGCATTTGGATGTTGTTGATCATTGATTTTCAAATTTTGTATAGGATCCCTTAGTCAGCCCTAGAAATCTGCCCCATTGAACTAGGTTTCGAACCATCTATGAGTTTAGATTAAGAATTTAAGCCTAAACCATGAAACTTCAGATTTTCAGACTATTCTGAATCATTAATCATTAAAAGTCAATAGAAATCACATCAAATCATCTAGCTTGCATCAATAACCCAATTCATTGACATTTTACACCCAACAATCAAATCTAACATTTCAATAATATCCAATAATAATCATACGAAATAAAATCAAAGAACTATTTTACCGTTGCTGCAGATATTTGTGGTTGTTCATAATAACTTAACACATGTGTGTTAAATATAAATTTATGATAATTCATAAAGGCCATAAACGTTATCGTCATAATGATTTCAACTTGATATAAATCATCGGCTATACACAATAATGTTGAATCAGTTATAAATTTTAGCACAAAAAAGTCTCGCTCTCAATTGATTACGGAAAAAGGGAGTCAATAGGTGATGCATATAAAGTTATTATATTCAAATCATATTCATAATGGAAAATGGCAAAAAAGAGATTGACATGCGGAAAAAGGATTTAACAAACGTCAGAAAACAGTTGATGAGACATTTTCCCTAACATATAACTTCATAATGTCATATCAAACTAACAGTTATAATCTGAATAAATTTTCTGGCTTTCCTCGACATTATTATCATTCTTATTACTATTATTTTATATGTATGAGCTATGAGCGAATAAAATTGTGTTACATCCGGTTATAGAGAACGCATTTGTCAGCAGTTGTGTTTGGGTCAATTGTTTTAATAACAATTTTAAGAATTTAACTTGCTGGATGTTGTAAACTTGATGATTTGCAGAAGATTTGATTGTATCTCTAATGCTGTATTGTTGTTTTGGTTAAAGATCCTGAAACATTTAATTACAACATTCCATTTAACCATTACCAAATCATCTTGATACCTTCACTGGATCTTAACAAAAATTCTTCGGCAAATCTTTAAAAACATTAAATTTCAATAATTTTTGCCTTTCTTCAAGTCATAAATGTCAGACAGAGAATGAATCTTTTGTATTTTGTGTACATTATTATCATTGGATCTTCTTTCTTCTCTTTTAATCAAATTTTTCAACTCCAACAAGACAAAGCATCATCAAAATCTCCCCAACAAAATCATAATCCGCTTAAAAATGTTCCAGAGAGAAACAAAAGAAACTATCAAGATTAAACACTTAGGTCAGGAGAAGTTGATGGAAATATTAAAGCTTTAATTCCCATTTCTAAACCCCCACCACCTCATATTTATGATGACATAATGCATCATTCTTTCAGTGTCCCTTTCATATTCGCACTGCCATACAAATAAAGTTAATATAGTATCTTCTATTAAATCTCCATTTACAGAGCATAACATGATTTTTTGCTTGACTTAATCTTATTGCATATATTTTTTTTGTGTTACAAAATTGCATTTAGAAGATCAAAGCTTTATACTTCATTGTTATGAATTGTCTCATTTTCTCGTTTTGCGTTCCTTTAACTGCTCTCATCTAATAAAGACGTCAATTCTAATTTTCATGCTGAAAAAAGTTGATTAACTGTAATTAATCAATCACATTAATCTCATCAATAAACGTTAAAAATTAAGAGAATTGTCGCGCTCATTAGACTCCCCGCTCATTCATGCGTTGCTGATGAACTCTTGTAAATTATCCAAAAAAGTGCTCTAATAAATTTTTTACAACCCTCTAAAAATTGTTCAATTTAATTTATTGCTTGTGTTAATATTGCGTTGGACACGACAATAAAATGGTCAATTTTAGATTTTTGTGATGGATTTAAGGTTTGCTGAGAGAGTGTTTACAACATGATGGAAATTGCTTTAATTTATAAAAATAATCTTGCGTTTTAAAGGAAGGCAAAAGGGTTAAAGATGCGGAATTAAAAGTTTGATGAAATATTAAAGAGTTTTAACGAACTTTAAACATTTAAATTGTACAATCAATTAAATCCAAAAGATTTAAATGTAAAAAAGCCGTTGAGTTTTTAAATTAATAAAACTGTTAAATCGATTTAATATTAAAACATTTTCCAAAGGGGCCGTTCACTTATTACGTTACGCAAAAAAACGACTTTTTTCACCCCCCCCCCCCCTCCTCTTATTCTATTTTGATAATTTTTCATAAATCATTAAAAAGGTAGAAAATTTAAAATATTTTGTTGCAATTATTCAAACCCCCCCCGTAAAATGCGAACGTAATAAGTGAACGGCCCGAAAACAATTTTTCACCAAATTTTCACAAAGCCCATATCAACAGGTGTGCGTCAGCAACTAAGATCTCTTCTGAAAACTTAATAATTGAACAATTTAAATTTTATTACACAGCGGATAGAGGAAAAAAGGAGAAATTGATAATGTTTATTTATTCATCTCACATTATTTTGAGAATAGCAACAGGAAAGTTTATGTTATAAACTCGGGTCACGTCACAAAGTGAATGATAATGATTTTTATCATCAATCCTTTTGCTGAGCTATTTGATTTCCTTATTGATTGAATCTTTTTTTGTTTTTCAACATTATTTTAAAAAGATATCGGGTACCTGTTGTAGATATAAGGCAGATAACATTAAGTCAAGCTGAATTTGAATAATTTTGTACCAAAAAACTCAATTGTGACTAGTTTGTATAAATTAAATTTATTAAGATGAAGACATTCCAATCAAAAATCGAATTTAAATTATTTTATGAATAATTTTTGATGCTCATTATAGATGCCTATATATAGTCTTGTGCTATATATTCTCAAATGAAAGGGTTCCGTTTGATATTTAATATTTATTCAGTTGGAACTAGAACGTCATTAATATGTATTTTGTTTGATTTCTTCGGAAGTGTATCTGAATATGTGGGAATCGCTAGATTTGCGTAATTTCTTGTTGTTTGTGAATCTTTTAGTTTTAGAGAATTTGACATTTAAGGCTTTAAATCTTTTCATTTTAAAACCTAAGACTTTTCCTTCGATACTTGGAAAGTTCAAACTTGATTTTGATGTTTGCTAGCTTTAGTTTGAATCTTTAACATTGAGCTGGAAGAGAACTTGATTTCTTACGATTTTCATTGCTGAACTTGTACAAATAAGCTATCGGAAACTGATTAGGAGCTTAGCAGAGTACCTGCTTAGACGATTAAATGTCAACAATCTAGAATAATCAAAAAGTATTTATTTAAAAACTAAAATATTCGCCTAGTAAAAACTTAACAACTTTATTAACAGTTCTTAATGATTATATTTACATATTAAGTACATGCAGATTATTAGCAGAACCGAAAAATTAATATCATGCTTTTAAATTCGATCTACAAAATCAAGATATTAAACATTTGTATTTGAACAAAAAAAAATACTTTTTAATACATAATAATCTATACTTGTAAAGATAACAAGTCATTATCTAAATCAAGTATTATCTAATCTAAACAAATTGGTCCTGAAACCAATAGATTGCTAAGCCAGCTCATTTAAATGACAAATTTAATAGAAATTCAATGAAATTTCCATCATTTTGTCACTGATTTGCTTCCTCTTTGCAACCTTTAGTTCCATTTTATATCAATACAATAAAAGATCATTTTACAACCTATGTATAAAGTCACCTTAGAGCTACAATGTGATTCATGAAATGAATACTTTTCTAGTTTAATCAATAAGAAATTGAAATCTCATTTCCTTGAATAGAAAAAGGATAAAATAAAGCAGTGTATCTAGTTCCATTTCCTATTAGATATTCTCAGCTTCCTCAAAAGAATCTGGCAGCTTTTTGCCAAGAGTTTCAGGCAGTGATATCGATAAAATGCCAGCAACGAATGCAAAAACTCCAAAAATTAAAAGTGGCAAGAAGTCAAAAATAAATTTAAGTAATGGAACAAATGGTGCCAAAAGTGCTCCTAATCTTGAAAATGTTGAAAAAGCTCCGACACCTCCACTTCTAATGACGGTTGGCATTACCTCCGCTACATGTGTGTAATAAGGAAATAAAGGATATATAGCATGTCAGTCTTGATAATTTGTCATAATGTTAATACCAACCTGAATAGACGAAGACGATGGCAAATGATGACGTGATTGCCATTTTGCCAACAAGAAACAGGAAAATTTGAATTCCAAATATTTTTTCAGGCACAAAAGCACTTGCCGTGCAGGTTACTCCACATAAAAGAAATGATGCTACTAATGAATATTTTCTTCCAATTTTATTCATGATTATCTAAAGACGAGGAAAATAGTTGAATAATAATTTGCTTGCCAAAAACTTGAACAATAGAGAAGGGGGGGGGGGGGGGGGGGGGGTAATCAAAAAATCCAATATTTTATGTTACGTAAGAAATGAACGACGCCATAATAAATTCATAAAAAGTCAATTAAATCAACATGATTGATGCATTAAAATTTATAAACATACCCACGCTATAGTGTTCCCGGGGATTTCAATTAGGCATCCAAGTATGAAGTTTAGATAAATATTGCCACTTAAATTCACAGAGTTTAACGATAGCCCATAATATACAAAAGCATTTGTACCCCTGTGGATTTAAAAATTAAATTTTATTAATATTTTGGATCGTATCAATTTGTGGTTTGTAAGCTTAATTCTTAAACAGAGAAAATCGTATGTAAGCTTTAAATGAACTCAGCTAATGGATATGTTCCTCCATAATTTCTACAAACTGCACATCAAGCTTAATAAAAATTAATTACTTACCATACGAAGAACAAAATAAGGCAGCGAATTAAAAGCACTCTAGACTTAATCAGCTTTAAGTAAACCTTAACACCTTCTTCATCAACATTTGTTGCGTCGTCACATAAATTCTTTTCACGTTCGTCGTCATTTGAGTTATTTGGATTGAATCTGTCAAGAATGCTTTGTGAAATTTCTTTATTGTTGTCCGCAGCAGCTTTTTTGATGATTTTGAAAGCTTTGCGATTTCTTTGTTTAGCAAGAAGCCATCGTGCTGATTCAGGTATTAACCAATAATAGAATATGAATAGAATAGGTGGAATTGACACCCAAAATTGTAGATTTCTCCAGTCATTATCAATCCATGCGATAATCCCAACTAGAGCTTCACCAAATGAATAGAAATAATTCAGCACAACACCTGACATTTCGCGCTTATTCTTTCCAACCATTTCCACACCCAACACAAAAGCTAGTGGATATACTCCAGACGTTCCAACAGCATTAAGGAATGCAAAAATTATAAACATCATGTAGGAGTTTGAGAGTCCCTGACCCACTCCAGTTATTGACATGAAAACTATAGCCACAATAAAAACCTTCTTCCGTCCATACGAATCAGCTATAACACCAAAAACTCCAGATCCCATCATGATGCCAAAGAAATGAACTGATCCGACCAAAGCTAATTTCCATTGATTTTCCGAACAAGTCAAAAAATTGGGCCACTGGAAATAAAAAAGTTGTCAATAACATGTCTCATTTTAAAAGTTAAATCCAACGTACATCATTAACAATTGTCGTCTCATGTTCATCAAAAATCCATTCATTACATCGCGTTTTTACTTCACTATCAAACCATAACCCGAGGCAAGTGTTATTTTCTGACGGTAGAGTCTCATTGATATTATCTTTTAAGCCATATTGAAAACATTGTTCTGGAATGAATTTTCCCGTCGTATCTGAAACTGATCCAGGCAATACATCTTTTATCCACTCTTGATTGTAGTATGTGTCATCAGAATTTTCACACTGTGGTACGGAGCATCTAGAGACAATGGGGATGGATTTTATTTTGTGATGGAAATAAGATTGATTCTTGGAATTACTGCTTGATTTTTTTTTGTCAAAATTCAATTTGTATTTAGAACTTTTAACAGTCAAAATATTATTGAATTTCAGTTTCTTCTCCATCAAGGGGTTGTTCACTCAGTCTAATTTTAGATTTCAATCAGTAAACATCGATAAAAATTCTTTAATATTTAAAATCAACTTTACAACATTGTAAATCAACAAAAGTGGCAATTATACTATTTTAAATCCATTACTTTTAATCTCTAAATTATGTAAACAAGGTGCTGACAACCAAAACATAGTAATTTAATGCAAATTTTTCTAAACAATCAAAATCAATCAATTTTCATTACAATGTTTAAAAACATCAATTGAAATTTATCGTAAATTAGCGAGGCATTCCATTCAGATAAAACTTTTAATTTTCATCACAATTTGCATTTTCTTTGTGCATGCTGAACGGTTATTATAGCATTTGATTTACCTGTAATTTGGAGCACGCGACGTAAATACATAAGATAATGAATTTGCTGCTGCATAAAATACTGGGAGGCATACGAGAATGTAATTTTTCAATTGAAACTTCCCAAATTCACCGATTTCATCCAAGATATTGTCAAAATCCATTGTCTGATCAGTAAAATGAAATGTTTGGATTGCTAGAAAGTAGTAAAAGTGATATGAGCCCGAGAAGTATCTTAGTAAGTATGCCGTTCTTTAGAAATTAAATTCTGGAAAAGTTTCCCTAGCAAAAATTTAATAGTAATTCACTGGATAACTTTCCATTTGCTACTTGCTATTTACTAGTCAAAATCCAAGTTCAAATCATCGCTAAAGACCCGCATTTTCACTTGCTAATTGACTAGTCAATTCGCTTACAATTCAACTAGTAATTTACTAGCAAATTTTTAAAAAATTTAAATGAATATAACCGTTGATTTCCACGTGTTCTATTGATTTGTTTTATTTGTGTAAATTATTGTAAAAGTATTAGTATGTGTTTATTTAAAGTTAATTTAATTAAGTCGAATACTGATGAACGCCCATGACTCGCACGCAAACCTGAGGAAGATAAATAATTAATTGAAAGTCACATACAAATTTGGATCGACCGTGTAAAGGTGATTTCTGCGCGCTCTTGTGAAGTATATGGCAAATGCCAAATTTAGAACAAAATTTTTTATGACGCAAAAATTCTTTATTTGATGATTTTTCGTAAGATTCGAACTTAAGCAGATTTGATCAAACATTTTACATGGTAATTTGCTAGTAAATAGCAAGTGTAACTTATTAACAGTAAGTTGTTTTAATAATAACTAGTAAATTGCAAGTTGTAGAATAGAAAGACCAGCAATTTGCTAGTTATTCTCGCTAGGGTTTGCTATGATTTCAAAACTTATTTATATATTTGAAAAATTCAAAGGCTAGTTCCTTCTAAGATCTTCAGGAAGTTATGCCGCTCGCGGTAAAACAACCTTCTGATCCAAGTTTCGAACCTGATATCAAGAAATCACGTCCGTTGTAATTGATTTTACATCAGTTCCCAATCAAACAACTCATTTGTCACTCGGGAAATGATAAGCATGATAAGCAATTTTTTTGTATCGTAAATAATACGTCTAGAGACGAAAGTAGTCACGTTTTAAACTCATGTTTGAATAATTCTGATTTGTTTTGGTCAAAAATAATAGTTTTGAAAAGTCATTTAATACAATTTTTCGCATAAAAGTCAATTTGTGATTTCCTATACACAAATGAACTCATCAACAGGTCATTTTCTCTCGTCTCTGATTGAGAAGATTTTCTCACAAAATTCTCAAATGAAAGGAAAAGTTTTTTGAGCATTTAAATGATTTGGGAGTGAAAATTTTTACGTAGGGGATTACTTGTGTGATGTTTAGATTATTTTCCGACACAAATCACGTCTTTTCACTTTAAATTATTTGTAAACATTACAATTACAATGAGGAATTAATCAGACAAGCACCGAATTTTTTTTACAATCGCTCATGTTAAGCACACGATAAGATAATTCACGATTGACACAAATAAACCCAACTGCTCTATTAAACTTGACTCATTCATCATATTTTAAGTGCCTGTTTAAAAATATGAAAAATTTTCTCCTTACGATTATAAATACGAGGAAAAATGTCTAAAAATATATATTTTCTAAAGTCCAGTTCTTTTCATTTTATTCAATTGACGCACAATAATGAATTGGCGATTTTCCGGTAATTTCACTTTTACTTCATTAAAATCAAAACACAACAATTTAATTTTTTTTATATAAAACAATTTAAAATTTGATAAATTAAGAATAAAATGAAAAAATCACAACGTAACTATTTGTTTAAGTGCACACAGCAAGATACACTTACTGTGTGAGAAAAGAGAAAAATGTTCTCTGTGCTTAAATAACTTTAAAATTTTGTGATAAAAATGCTCGCTTTAAAATTATTCTCACCGTTTTTCCGAATATTATAATTATATTTTAGATGAAAAATCACCTCTGGTAATTCACCTAATACTGCGTTTATTATTGTGAAGTGAACAAAGGGAACAATTTGTGTATTTAGCTCATTGTAACAATCTCTATGACAACATTAGCGTCATAACTTAATTAAATTTAGAATATGGGAAATTCAATTGGCTTATTTTACTGACTTTGGGAAAAACTGCATTCTTATGGAAAAATATCATCGAATTTTAATAGGTTTCGGATTTACTTAAACTTGACATCCGTGTTTCCTCAATTTGATTTAGATGTCAAAATGAAAGCAATTGTGGTCAAGATTGAAACTGAGTCTGGTTTCTAGGAATTATTGTATATTGAATATTTACTGGACAGTATGCTGTCAATAAATGCAGTAAAGTGTCACGGGTAGGTCTAGAAAATGGGTAGGAAAAACACTATTAAAACTGACTTAAATACCATAGATTCTTTTGCTAAGAGAATCTTTTTACCTCAGTTTTAAAAAAAATAGACAATTAATCATCAAGAATTCACAAGTTTATCGTAGTTTTGGGATTTGAACCTGTGTTTACCACATTTGCAATCGTGAGCTCTATACACTTCACCATTGACAAACTTTTTATTGTATAAGAAATATTAGCAAAATACAGTACCGTTCAAAACTGTTTCCATGTTTCAAGAAAATTTTTCTTTCCAACATATTTCTTATAAAACGTAATATTCTCCCAACATGTTATATATCGGTTTAAAGCTTGTTTTAAAGCTTGTTTAATAAGCTATTTAAAAGTGATAAGCAACTTTGGAAAATATTTAATTAAAGTAGATTTTTTGCTTTTATTATTATAAATTGGGCTTTTAAGTTATTTTAATCATTTTGGATTGTCAAAAGTCGATATTTACGTAAAAAAAATTGAGTTTTTGTAAATGCTTATAAAAAATTTTGAATATGGCTGTCATTGACCAACAAAATTGTAAAAAACATCCTTTTACTCTCACAATGACTACATAAATCATATATGGTTATCTTTATTAACATAAAATCTATCAGAAAAAGCGATTAAAGTTCTTTGAAGTGGAGGAAGTAATAAAAAATTTTGAATGTTTGTGTTTGCAAGTAAGAAAATTTAAGTGTTTCCATGAAATCTTATCAATTTTTTTGCTTTCAAATGCTTCTATTTACAATTAAAAACTGTTTTTCAGATTTAATAAGCTAAAATACATTTGTATGGATGCAAACGTCACAACATTTGGCTTTAATTCAGTAATTTTTTGCAAAATTATGTGAAAATTTATCATGTGATTTAACATTCTTATGTAAATATTTTAACTATGTCTAGTACCTTAATTTATGTGCTTTTATCTAAAATTTTACTTGCTTTTTACTATAATATACAAACTTTAATCAATTAGTTCTGCTATGCATCAAAATTTGGAAAAACAATTATTAGCTCAAAAATGTTTCCATGTGACAGTGTATATTTTAAGCAAAAAATCTATTTTAATTAAATATTTTCCAAAGTTGCTTATCATTTTTAAATAGCTTATTAAACAAGCTTTAAAACGATACATAACATGTTGGGAAAATATTACGTTTTATAAGAAATATGTTGGAAAGAAAAATTTTCTTGAAACATGGAAACAGTTTTGAACGGTACTATAACTATACAAACCTTAAATTACACATGTAGTAATAATGTACATTGTTGTAAGGCAAAATAATGTAAATTTAAAAATTCTGTAGATAAAAAAATGTAAAAAGGGGTCATTCACTTATGACGTCCAAAAAAAATTTTTTTTTCAACCCCCTCCCCCTAAATATCGGACATCAAAAGAGAACAAACCCAAACTTTATTGTCAAATTTTGGAATGTCATGAACAACTTTAAAGATCTACTACAACTTATAGTAATGATTAAACCACAAAGATAGTCACAAGCATCATAATCTCGTAATATCACTCATATCAGAAACATTCTCTCTAGTCTCAATATGTTCAGCCTCGGCAATTGTGTCAGGCAACTTTGAACCCAGCGTTTCCGGCAGCAAAAATGATAAAAATCCAGAAATAAATGCAAACAATCCAAAAACAACTAAAGGCAGAAAGCTGTAGATGTTTTTAAGCAATGGAATGAAAGGAGCGACAAGAGATGCAAACCGAGACATTGTTGAAAATGTTCCAAGGCAGCCACTGCGGACGGTTGTTGGCATCATCTCAGCTGTGAAAAAAACATTTATTAAGAAAATCCAAAAAGTCAGGAAGTTTGCTTACCTGTGTATACAAAAATGGTAGTGAATGATGAAGTAATTGCCATTTTGCCCAGCAAAAACAATCCCATTTGAGCCCAGGCACTTTCATCAGCAATAAAACCTCCAGATATGCAGCATATTCCACAAATTAGAAGTGATGTAGCCAAAGAACGTCGTCGACCGAATTTGTTCATCGTAATCTAGTTTTTAAAATAACAGCAACATGATGTAATGTCACGTACAGTAAGAAATGACAATCCTTACCCACGATATGGTATTTCCGGGAATCTCAATGAGACATCCAAGTACAAAGTTCAAGAAAATATTTCCACTCAAATTAATTGAATTTAGAGACAATCCGTAAAAGACAAAGGCGTTGGTTCCCCTATTAGGAAAGAGAGCAAAATAAAGAAAAAGTCTTTGTCCTTCACACATGAGTTATTATGGCTTAAAAGTGTCTCACCATATAAAGCACAAAGAAAGACTTCGAATCATCAAAATTTTCGACCTCAAAAATTTCCCGTAGGTTGCTAATTCAATATTTTTATGCCTTACATCTTGAGCTTTTGATTCCGTATTTTCTTTTTCAAAGCACTTTGCCTCAAACTGTTCTAAAAGTTTGCCTGAAAGCTCTCGATTATTTTCTTTTGACGCTTTTTTAACGACTTCAAAAGCTTTGGTATAAGCTTCGTTTGCAATAAGCCATCGAATTGACTCGGGTATGATCCAGTAGTAAAAGATAAATAGTATAGGTGGAATTGACACCCAATATTGTAGATTCCTCCAGTCACCGTCAATCCATGCGATAATTCCAACAAGAGCTTCACCAACTGAATAGAAATAGTTCAGCACAACTCCAGCCATTTCGCGCTTATTCTTCCCAACCATTTCCACTCCCAACACAAAAGCTAGTGGATAGACACCAGCAGTAGCGATTGCATTCAAGAATCCATAAATAAGGAACCAAATGTAAGTCCTTGCAAGTCCATGTCCGACTCCAGTAATTGACATGAAAACTATAGACACGATAAACATTTTCTTACGTCCAAAAAGATCTGCCAAAAATCCAAAAAGAGCTGTTCCAACAATGATGCCAGCATAATGAACAGACCCCACGAGTGCTAATTTCCATTTGTTTTCTGCGCACGCAAGCTCGTCTGGCCACTTTTGGAATAAATCATTTAATTAGTTGACGTCTTCAAAATGTTTGTGGATGGATAATAGGATTAAATAAAGTGTTTGTTCGTTCGTTCGGGCGGAGAAAAACTTTTTAACTAGACATCGTAGAGAGTTCTAGTTTGTTATATTAGCTCAGGTCCATTGTTTTATTTTCGGGAAACGCATTTAAAAGTCTTGAAACTATGTTTTTGGACTATAATTAATGATTTTTATATTTCATATGAAAAAACACGTGATGAGAGCGTTTAGTAATTCGAATTTATTTCTACCGTAAAAATTTTTAAATCTCAAAAAGCCATTGAATTGCAATGCCTTTTTATAAGAAATTTTTTTGCAACAGACTGTTATTCATACTATAATTAATGGTTTTACTGTAATTTTTGGCAAGATACTTTCAAACGCATACGACCGTTACAAAAAAAAACCGTTAAATGATAAACTTTTTCTGTATGGAAATTCATTGCAACAAATTATTTAAATATACTATATTAATGATTTTTTGTGTATCTTTTGGCGGGAAGCTTTCAAAAAATTACTGACCGTTAGAAAATTTGAATTTCAAAAAACCGTTAAATGATATACTTTTTATTGGCTACCGACTTTTGACCACTCTACATATGCCCACTGACATTTTCTCACTGGTACTTTTACTCATTGATTTATTTGCCCACTGATACTTTAGTTCACTCGTATATTTGCCAACTGTATAGTTGATAAAAGTATTTATGTTCAAAAAATAATTTTTAACGCATTTTTGAAACATGATTCGGTACATTTTTAAGATTTCAATTTTTAGGGTTTGAGGCATTCAATTTGCCTATCTTCTCTTAAAATTTGATTTAATTTCTGTTTTTGGTTTTACTTGATGTTTAATTTGATTTATTTGGTGTTTACAATTTTAAAAGAAGGTAAAATGTACACGATAATAATAAATAGTTATGAGGCCGCTTAAAAGCATACATTTTTGCTTGAGAAATCAGAATGACATTTTTTGGAATAGGGCGATCGTCACAAAAATCCAAATATTTTGTTATTTAAAGCAAAAGGAACGAAAGATATCTGACCAATTGTTAAGCATTTGTCAAATAGTCTTGAAATGTTATGATATGAACGTGGAAACCCTACATCTCTTCGTTGATCTTCGTGCAGCATATGACACCATCAACAGAGAGGAACTTTGGAATATAAAGGCAGAATTAATTTCCCTAATAAGCTTTAAAGGCTGCTAAAAGCAACACTGTCGAAAGTAATGTGTAGTGTGAAAGTAAAGGGAACACGTCTGAATAGTTACATTTTCAATTGTAGACTAAGGGCGCGCTTAGTCAAAATCTAGTTTTTCCCTTTTTATTCTTCGAGTGTTTATCCAAATACAGTGCAACTGTATTTTATTATTTTATCTGATATCTGGAAACGGTCAAAAGTATATTGAGTACTGAAACCCTTATTAAGTTTAGTGAAAAATTTCGACCAAAAATTCATTTGAAACAATTTGTTTTTGCAATTTATCTTGTAGAGAATAGCCAAAGGTTTATGCCAGATTTCAAAAGCAAACTTATACAGTCCTTTTGCATTGCGTAACACCAAATAAATCAAATTAAACATCAAGTAAAACCAAAAACAGAAATTAAATCAAATTTTAAGAGAAGATAGGCAAATTGAATGCCTCAAACCCTAAAAATTGAAATCTCAAAAATGTACCGAATCAAGTTTCAAAAATGCGTTAAAAATTATTTTTTGAACATAAATACTTTTATCAACTATAAAGTGGGCAAATATACCAGTGGGCTAATGTTTCAGTGGGCATAAGACCTCAATTTTAAAAATCCCTAAAATGCAGCTACCCTAAAATGCAGCTACCCTAAAATGCAGATAGTACTGCCAAGATGCAGATGGTGCTGCTAAAGTGCAGATGAAATTTATTTTCCCTAAAATGCAGATGAAATGCTGTTGCTTTAAAAAAGGTATAATGCAGATAATTTTTATCGTATAAAGTGCAGATAAGATGCTGCCCAAATGTAGATCGTATAATTTCATTAAAATACATCAATATTCGATGAATTTTTTTCTTGATGCGTGTTAATGACTTTAAATGATCCATGATGAAATTTAAGGGTAATTATTTTGTCTGCTGACATATTTATGTAAATATTGGGTCTAGTACCCTTTTTATGAGTTCAAATATATATCTTGCAAAAATGTCACATGTCGTTTAACAACAAAACTGGTGTATCGGGTAGAAACCCAATGCGGATATATTCGCACCGTACCATCAAAAGTCTTATGGATAGACAGAGATTTGTTCAGCATAAGTTTGAAGGTATAAAGCTAGCGTGTCAATTGAGCTTCTCTCAGCATATGTGTGAAGGTTTTAAACTTAACGAACATTCTTTAAAAGTTTTTTAAAAAAAATTTTCATCCAAAGTTGAATTTTATAAAAATCACAGTCAACTTTTGTTTTGAAAAATTCGTAAGAAAGGAAAGTTTTTTGCTTTTTCTGAAGCAACGGCTGTTCCTACCTTGACCAAAAACAATACAGCTTTTCCATAGAGCAGCACGGATCAAATGTAAAAAACTAGAAGTCTCTACAAGGTCTCGTTATTGAGATTTCTTGCTTGCTTGCTTGCTTGCTTGCTTGTTTGCTTACAGAAAGCGTATTTTCTCAGCAATGCCTCAATCAATTTTGGATCTGATTTTTGCAAAAGATGTAAAATTTCAGGCACAAACTTTTCTTCTATGAACTCTTATAACCAATTTTGCTTCGTTTTCTCACAAAATGCGAAAAACTAATTTTTCAATCTGAACAAAACCAATAGATTCACACGTGAAAACGGTGTGAATATAAAAAATACTTTCGCAGATATATCAATAAAAGCTCCCAAAGTTATAACAAAATTTATAAAAATTATTCGTGAGTGACGATTATTTAATGTGATTTCCCGACATAACTCCTTAACTTTAGGAAGTAAGTTCTATGTCAAAAGAAAGCAATTTTTGTTTTTTACAAGATGTAATAACTTTGAAATTTGTCACTATTGTGTAGGGTTTGTGGAAAACAGCTGTTTCAAAAACAGTCTGTTTTCGGTTTTTGATTTTTAAAAACAGCTGTTTTCCTGTTTTTCTAGAATTCAAAATAAACTGAGTTATCCTAAGTGTTTCTCTAAGATAATGAAACTTTTTGGTGGTTAAAAGCAGTTAAGCATACATTATAGAGCTAAGCATTATTATTTTTTAATTTTTCGTTAATTAACTCTATAAAATATAATAGAATATAAAAATTCAATAAAAAAATATTTATACTTTTAAGAAACATTGCATTGTTGCATTGCAGAAGTTCCATAAACTTTAATATTTTATTTGAAATATTCAAAAAAATCTTTCTAAACAAAAAAATATCTTGTAAAATTGTTGATTATATTTTTAAACTTTAGTAAATGCTACAAAAGGTTCAACAAATTTCAAATTTCGATTGCAAAATTAATAATGATTAACCATAAATTTGATAATGATTTCAAACCTATTAAACATCCAAAAAATATTAAAATAGTAAATGCATTTCAATTTAGAATGCTAGAAAAATATATTAAGTTCTTCAAAAAATTAAGAATTTTTTTTTTCTGTAAATTATATGTAAAAATGAAAAACAGAAAACAGATCTGTTTTTGAGACCTGTTTTCTGATGACAGATTTTTGTCAAAAAACAGCTGCCTTTCTGTTTTCTGTTAACAGGTTCCCCAAACCCTACTATTGTGGTTTCGGAGATATTTAAGAAACCAAAGCGTCACTCACGAATAATTTCTTTTTTCGTCGGTGCCCAAAAAATTAATATCCAACGTTAAATTATCTACATTATAACAGCATTTCATCTTTACTTTAATAAAATTATACGATCTACATTTGGGCTGCATCTTATCTGCACTTTATACGATAAAAATTATCTGCATTGTACCTTTTTTAAAGCAGCAGCATTTCATCTGCATTTTAGGGAAAATAAATTTCATCTGCACTTTAGCAGTACCATCTGCATCTTGGCAGTACCATCTGCATATTAGGGTAGCTGCATTTTAGGGATTTCTAGATTGAGGTGGGCATAAGTACCAGTGGGAAAATGTCAGTGGGCATATGTAGAGTGGGCAAATGCCCCAAACCCCTTTTTATGGATGGAAATTAATTGGAACAAATTATTTAATTATGCTATAACTAATGTTTTTGGAGTGCAACTTTTAACAGGAAAATTTCAAATTATTTATTGACCGTTAAATTAAAAAGCCTTTCTATATAAGTATTCATCATAAATATTTGTTAATTACACTAAAATGAATGCGCTTAAGTCCCTCGATCAATAACACGAGGACTTCTGTAATTTTTTAGATTTCCTTATCCTCTTATTGAGATATTTTATATAAAAAGACCCCTTATACCCTCCCCCTCCCCAATGTTCAATAAAAAAAAAATTCAAAACTCCTGCTACAAACATTTTTGGAAATATAGCTGAAGGACGTCATTTAAAAGTCATTCCAAACCTTTATCTAATTCTAGAATTACTTAGTAATGTATTTAATAATCATTAATGAACTATAGCACTTAGTATTAATATTCATAGTAAAAACCCATATTGAAGCAAATAAAATACAAACAATTTCTTACATCATTCACAATAGCGGTCTCAGCTCCATCGAACACCCATTCATAGCATCTTACTTTTTCATTGTCAAACCAATGTGCTTGGCATGTCTCGTTTTCTAAGAATGAGTCACTTGACTTATTTATAAATTTGTATTTTAAGCACTCGTCAGGTACAAATTGTGATGAATCTGATATTGATCCCGGTAGAATGTCCTTGACCCAGTCCTGTGCATATTTTGTGTCATTTGCAGCTTCACACTCAGGAATTAAGCAACTAATGAATATTTACATAAATGATTAGACACTTTATCAAAATTGACCTGATTTATATGTCCGTACCGATACTTTGTTGATCGAGATGTAAACACATATGTGAGGGAATTTGCAGCTGCATAAAAAACAGGCAAACAAACAAGAATGTAATTTTGCAGTTGAAATCTCCCGAATTCACCAATTTCCTGTATAATCACTTCCACATCCATTTTTGGTTTATTAAACTTTATTAATATCACTAAATGTCATCAATGCTGGTAACTTAATTTAATAATTATTTGAACAGTTTAAAATAAACACTTCTGTTTATTATTTGTTGACTCTTCGATTTCGCTCTCTTTGTAAAACTGGTTTCAGAGTACACATGATGCTGTTATCGATACATACTTACTTGATTTGTATATTGAGATGATTTATGAACACGTGATAAAAAGTTTAACGGTTTTTAAAAATTTGAATTTTCACCTCTGTAATTTCAGCGTTCGAAAAAATAAACATCAATTTTTTAAGATCCAGCAAAAATAAATGTATAGACGATTATCGACGATGACAGACGTTGTAGATATTAAAGCTGGATTACGAAATGTACTAGAAAGAATTGCCATCGTTTCAAATAACAGAACTATTCAGAAAGTAAGTAAATTTATCGAAAATTTCTTATCTGTCAATAATAAATTTCTATTTTTTGTCAATAGAATGTCCAGCTTGTTGCTGTTAGTAAAACAAAGCCTGTTGAAGCGATTTTAGAAGCATATGAGGAAGGTCAGAGGCATTTTGGAGAGAATTATGTGCAGGAATTGCAAGATAAAGCAAACGATCCCGTCATTCTTGAGAAATGTAAAGACATCAAGTGGCACTTTATAGGACATTTGCAGTCCAACAAAGTCAATAAAGTTGTTAAGCTTCCTAACATTCATATGGTTGAAACGATCGACAGCCAAAAACTTGCTGAAAATGTAAGCTATGATATGATCTGGATCTTTCAAAATTAATAATTTTGAACTTTTAAGGTAAACTCATCTTGGGAGAAGTATAGACTTAATGACAGTGGTAAGCTAAAAGTCCTTATTCAAGTTAATACAAGCGGTGAAGAGAACAAAAGTGGAGTCAATCCAAAAGAAGTGTCTCAGCTATACGATTATATGAATCAGAAATGCACAGCACTTGAGACTGTTGGACTGATGACAATTGGAGAATATGGATATGATTATTCTAAAGGACCGAATCCTGATTTTGTAAGTTTACTAGAATGTGCTAAAAGCGTTAAGGGAAATGAATCATTAGAACTGTCATTTGGAATGTCTGATGACTTTGAGAAGGCTGTAAGTTACTAATTGACACTAAGTGATTGAATATTAAAGATTAATTTAATTTCAGATTGAAATTGGCAGCACGATTGTCAGAGTAGGAAGTTCAATATTCGGATACCGTACCAAAAAATAAGAAAAGGAACGGCCTTGGAAAATTTGAATTTTATGAAATTTAAAAAGCGGTAAAAATTTGAAAAACTCGTTAAAAAGTAAAATTCCTTAATATTGCTGAAATTTTGCAAGCATTACTCAAAAGAACTGTAAATAAAGTTAAATCCTATTTTAAACCAAACAAAAAATCTCACTTTAACTTACTAAATCTTCAATCTGTTTTACTTTCATGATATAATTTTTATTTATTTTTTTATATTGTATATTTTGGTTTTTATAATATATTTCTCATCATTAAATTATTATTAATAAACTTCTTCTCGTACACTTAAAAAGGAAGCAAAAAAATTAATTAACATTTTCCTTGACAACAAAGAAGAAAAAAAAGAATTCTAATACAATTTTTTATTATCTTTTTTCATCATACTTTGCATGACATGACTATTTATAATATCCGAAAATAATTGATTAAGTGAACTGCGCTCTTTGCTTAAATTGGACTTGATCTTTTTGAATTATTGATGATGATAAAGTCCTGAGGAATTGTGTGAGAAGCACATGACGGAAATCAGATGACAGCAACACTGAAGCCACATTACAGCTTGATGGAATAGTTATCAAATGACATCCGATCCATCTCCAATTAAGTGCAGCTTGTGTTGTGCATGTCAATTAGTTGATGGTTGGTTTAAATCTTGAGCATTTGGAAGTTATTGTAGTCAATTCCTGATACCAATACTTAGTTCTATTGGAAGATTGTGCCTGCATCTTAACTGACTCTACCTTCCTCAGGATCATTGATAATCAACACAACGACCACCAATGGAAGTCATACATTAAGGATATTTACACAGCATGTTCAAATCAGAAAAGTCAAGTCCCAAATTAAGCACAAAAATGAATAATTTTAAGTATAGCATCTGATTTTGGATTTTATTTACAATTTCATCTCAAAAAGAATGGAAAGAAAAGTTCGATGGCATTAATCAGGAACAAACTAATGATGATTTGTTATTATAGACATGACAAAAAAAAAACAGGGAAATTTAGGAATAACTTTAACGCGCTCGTCTCCATTCATAAAACATAAAATTTTATCTACTCAAAATTACTTATGGAATGCGATTACATATTTCTTTTTTTGTCTTCAGCACATTCGTGTGAATTCATACTTAAAAGATGACGAAAAAAAAACCTCGATTCAATGAAGGATAAAATATGGAGTCATTCTCATTTTCACGGGATTAATTTAATAATATTACTTTTTTAACAAACAACAGCGAATAGATGTAATTGTTTTTTTTTCACTTTAATAATTTAATAATTATTGTTTTTTTTTCTATCATTGTTTTGAAAATTGTGCTGGCTTAAATCTTCTGTTCCACCATGTCAATACCCAATTTATAAAATACATATGGAAAGTATTCTGATTGACCGAATCCTAAACCAGGAATATCCACATTCTGTAAAGTAATCAAACAAATTTGTTATTTTTGTGACACAGCAGCTGCTATAAATAAGTATAATTCAAAATAATTTTGTTTTCACTTACATCAGCACCAATGTTTGATGACCCTGCTGCGGAACCATCAAGGTGACCATAGAGCTGATTTAGTACATCGCGAAGACGCTTCTGATTCTTTTTGTTTGGATGAATGAGGATAGCTTGGAAATTTACGGGTAAGCCGTATCTGCAAGTTATTGAAATTGAAGAGATAAGAAATTTATCAGTTATTGCTAAGCTATTGTCTTTTTGAAATTCATGAATTCGTGGTGTAGTTTTAATTTAAAGCCATACAAATGTTTTTTTTTCGAATTTATACGGTTTCACAACATTAAATTGCATTTGTATGGTTTTGAGATTAAATCTTTTTGCTGTTGTATGGTTCTGAATATTTGAACATATTTGAATTTTAAAAACTGTTATATTTTAAAACATTTGGATGGTTTTAATATTTTCAAATTCAATTTATCCGTTAAATTGTTTCTTTTAAATTATTCACTCAACATTTTCTCACAAATCATCACTTTTCAAGCTATCACTTCCTCATAGAAATTCGATGCTTCTCAAATTACTCACCTAAGTACGGATTCAACAAACACGCGAAGAGCCTTAACGTGTATCCATGCACAATAACATTCACTGAAGTTTACTTTAAGCCATCTTACGAGTGGACCCTAGCATTTATAATTAATTAAATTTATAACACATAACAAAAACTCAATTTTCTATTGATACTCACAAATTGCTTCTTCTTATCGGTTACCAATTTGGTAATTTCATTTTTACCAGCCGCCAATTCTTCCTCATTGTATGTAAAGTCACGTACAACGAACTTCTTCTCGCGTGCATGAAGCTTGAACTCATCGACAACTTTCTTGAAAAGTGTTACGTTGAACAAGCCAAAGTCTTGATCTTGTGTAATAAGTTGCGATGATCGTGGGACAATCATATCAGTTAATTTTTCATAGCCAGCATTCCATTCATTGAAGAGCATTCTGTGGATGACAAAATTTATGTTTATGTAATAGTTCTTGATGTGTAGCATATGCTGGATTACTCACTTTGGGACGATAACAAGCAATGTCGTCAAATATTCAGAGTCAAGGATGAAATGTTCCTTCTTAACTAAATCTGCCAAATTTCTAGTCAATAAACTTCCACTAAAAATACAAAGGTATTGATTAGCTCATTTCTAATGTCTTTAGTCTCTCAACTCACGTTTGTTTCTTCTCCAAATTCTGCAAATTTCCCTTTAAGCTGTTATAAGCAGCTGATTTAGTCTTCAAATCAGCATCAATTTGTCCGACTTGTTTGGAAATGATGTCAGCGATGTTTCTTAATGACTGCTTAATTGGATATTTGGCCATATCCCACTGGAATCGAGTAATATACTGAGACAAGTCGGCTAAAATACAAAACAATTTAGATACAGTTATGACATGATTAAGGCACTAAGCTACATACTGTTGTTTGCCAATAAATTCTCCATCAATTTATCACGCTGATCTTCGAGGACATCACCTAAGTAAGCAGCTACTTTACGAGTAATTGTCTCAACAAATGAATCCAATTTGCCCAAATCATCAGACAAGCCAACAAGCTGATCTAAAGTACCAACTTTAAGATCGGGAATATGAAATTTGAAGTTTTCGCATAGATTATTTTGCTTGCTAGTCACATTATTCATCGTTTCCCATGTCTGTTGACATGTTTTGTCGCCTGGTGCTGATATCAACCAATATTCAGACATGATGTAAATATGTTATACTTGATGATTTGAATGTGAAATCTAAAAGAAATAGAAGTGGAAATAACAGATACTATTAATGATATGAAGGAACGAAAAAAAGGTCATGTGATGGACGTAGAAATAAATTTTGGATCGAACTGCTTCTTTAGCATAACGCAATCATGTTGTAATTAATACTGTCATATAGTTATTATAATTATCCAATCAGCAAGGATGTTCTTGAGTAATTAAAGCAAATTATTAATCCTTTTTATGCAAAAATTCAAAACAAATCACAAATTTCTTAATTTTCGTATATCCAGTCCAAATGTTTGTATCTGCTATCTACTGCACTTAATGTATTTAATTTATTTGCATTAACAGTTTAATTATGCTATTTAATGTTTATCCATAAAATTAATATTTTGAAAATTTTATTTTGACATTCGAAAATTTTCAATCGATTTTCTCAAACTTTTCTCACTGATTTCACACAAACTTACAACTTGCTATTATGCTAAAGGCTTTTATGTACCGAAAAAGTCCTATTATTAACTTGATTACTTAAGGAAAATGATGGAAAATTGATGGAAATTTAAATTTGAAGGAGAAAAAATATTACCCGATGAATCTCTCACGTGATTTAGTGTTGTCGCATTCGTTTTTTTTGTGTCTCGAGGGGGAACCTACTTTTTTGCCTTGTTTTTCTAGCAAAATTTGTGCAGATTGTCTGATATCTTCGCAATAGATGCACTTAGCAAATTGAAGTGTTTTGTGCTTGATAGCTGACATTTTAAAGATCACTTTGAATATCTTATCATCTTTTTAGATGTCTCGATTACTTCAATAAAATGAATTTTTTTTATCTTATAGTGTTTTAAAACCTTACAACAGTTATCAGAAAATTTGTATGGTTCTGAATTTTGAATTTTAAGAAACCGTTTTATTTTAACCCTTTTTAAAATCTCTCTTTCAACATTCTTATATTTCTTAATTTAATTAATATAAAGAATCTTCACACAAATGCGCTTAAATCACCAGCAAACAACCAAAAAGATGTCTTTAATCTAGTGTTTACAAACAAATGCAAATTCTGTGGTAATTTTCCATTCAATATTTGCTTAATTCTAACACAATGAGCGAGCGATATTTTGTAAATAAGTTTAGTGATTACCCAGGCACTCAAACTGTTCACATTGATAAGACATTCATCAAGGATTTAATTGGGAAATATGTTGAAAGTGTATTGAAGAATACAGACCCAAGAAAATATAAAAATTTTCGATCAGATCTTTATGTTGGATTGTCTGGGATTGCTTTTATGTTCCTTAAATTGTCAAAATCACCATTAAAAGATCAATATCCTGCTTTAGAACAAGCAAAACTCTATGCTGATGCAGCTGAAGAAAGTTTAATTTTGTCTGGATCTAGAAAGCACATTTCTTTACTCAGTGGAGATGCTGGCGTGCACATTGTATCTGCAGCTGTAAATAAAGCTATTGGGAGATCTTCTGACAATGTCATTGAGAATTTACTGAAAGGAATAAATATATTTGACAACCCAGAGTATTTAGATGATGGACAGGACGAAATGCTTGTTGGACGTTGTGGATATATTATGGGAATAAATTGGCTAAATCAACAATTAAGTAATGAAGTAATTTCATCAAATGAAATGAACAGATTAGCACAAATTATGCTGAAAAGTGGACGTGATTATTCTCAATTAAAAAAGCTGGATGTTCCATTGATGTATCAATATCATGGCAGGGAATATTTAGGAGTAGCACATGGAATCTCTGCTATTTTATTCTCACTACTGCAAGTTGAACTAAGTGAAAGCGACATGAAGGATGTAAAAGACACAATTGATATAATATTAGCACTTCAAGACAGTTCTGGAAACTTTCCAAGTAAATACAATAAATCAGAAGCACATCTAGTACATTGGTGTCATGGATGCCCTGGAATCATCTACTTAATGGCTAAAGCATTTAAAATTTTCGGTGACCAAAAGTACCTTAATTCATGCCTCAAATGTGGCGATCTTGTTTGGGAGAAAGGCTTGCTTAAAAAAGGACCAGGAATATGTCATGGAATTGGATCTAGTGGATATGTTCATCTCCTACTCTATCGATTAACAAATGACCAGAAGCACTTGCATAGAGCTCAAAAGTTTGCGGAATTTCTTGTTGACGAAGAATTTCTATCAGAAGCTCGCGAACCTGATCGTCCATTTAGTTTATTTGAAGGCATAAGTGGAACAATTTGCTATCTCTTAGATCTCCTGGATCCTGATCATTCCGAGTTTCCATTTATGAATGTATTTTAAAATTAATGTGATATAAAAAGAAGGCAAAAGGGAAAGAAAATGCTTAAAAATCAGGTCTTTATTATGTTCCATAGACTCCATTCTCTGCTATGACTTGTTCAATTTTCTTTACATAAATTTAATAAAATGAATATAAGTGGCTGAATGATTTTCTTTTTGCTACTTAACGTTATGTTTCAATCAAAGTTTATCATGACATTCAAGGAACTGTATGTAAATATTGAAGTTTGAAAGTTTAAACCTTTAGTTTTTATCAAAATCGGATTCTAGATTAACCCTTGAGAAATCTGAAAAGATTTTTGTTGACTTTAAATTTTCTCTTCTGGATGATCATCGATTGGTTGAAAACCTTTTTTTTACACACTTCACTGTCTAGTTTTTCTCGATTTTGGGAAGTTTCTTTACGGAATATTAATTTGATTCCAGTCCATCATATGCTTTATAAATGTTTAATGTCTGTCATAATTACAACTTTCATAAAATAAATAGCTTTTGGTTTTAAGCGGTTAATATGAAAAGTAATGCAGCATGTTGTACAACTGTCAGAAATCTTATAACTTGCGTCGAAAAACTACACAAAGAATTGATAAGTTAATTACTAAAGTTTTCCGTTCAACAAAGCTTTGCTTAACTTGCTGTTCTTAACAAGACAACAGAAATCATTTCTTTATTGCTTAAACATCACGGAATTATAAATATTAGTAGGAGAGACAGTAAGCTTTATCTATAGCCTAAAATTGGGTCATGGTTATATCTAGTTATATCGTTTATCCTATTGTCATGTCATCAGTCTCTTTCCTTTCAAGTTCAAACAAGAAAATGACAATCAATCAGTTTGAAAGATTTAAGGGATATATTAATGATCGCGGCAGTTTGTGAAAGGCGTTAAATTGATTCATTGACTTAATGTTGTACAGCCATTCGCATGAAATATTGTCAATTTTCTACGCTCACTCAAAATGCTTGTTCTTTATGCTTTTGAATCAATGAACCTGATTATACTTGAGAATTTCATTAGCCACTTATTTATTGAGCAGTATAGTTAATTAAAATAGGGGCCGTTCACTTATGACGTCCAGGGGGGGGGGGGGGGGGTGACAAGAAAAGAACAATAGAAATTCCTGGAAATCCGTTGTTCTTTTTTGAAAAGTGAAGGGACGTCATAAGTGAACGATCCCATAAGTTATCATTTATTTTTCACATTAAATTGCATTTTTATTACACGCTTTTATTTAACTCACACTGTTTGTATGTTTCATGCGTCAAATTTTGTAATCGTTATTTCGATCACTTCTACTGCTCCAATCGAGCTCAAATTTTTTATGCACACTTATTCTCGGTGACAATACAATATTTTAACACTTTGGAACCACAAAAATGCTTAATTATAGTACAATTTAAGTATAACTTTTTTTATATGGGAAAAAATCCAATGTCAATGACATATAATTTTGATTTGTTTAAAATATTATACTTGAAATGTTCAAAAGTCATTTACATGATTCATTATAGTTTAATTAATATTATTAATTATTATAAATTTGAATAGCTAAAGATATTCTGGTAAGACCAGTAAAAAAATTGACAAGTAATTTTTTCATGGATATTCGTAAGTGAAAATTTGAATTTTAGAAAAACCGTTAACCGCAAGTCAGTTACGTTTTTAATACAAAATAACTATTGATATGCAAATATGCATTTAGCACACATCGTTTGAGCATAATATATATGCTTTTAATGTATTTGATTGATTCTTAACAATTGACTAACATTTAATGAAATTCACTTTCTTTTTATCAAAGGCTTGACGTAGTTTTGCATAACATATAAATGACATTCATTAAAATTAAATTTGAAAAATCCGTTATAAATACTTTAGTATTAAGTAGAAATGGTACGAATAAACACCAAATCTTTATGATTGATTTTTAATGTACTTTACTAATTGATGTTCAGGACACTTTTAAGAGTTTAATGTGTTTCCAAGTATGAATTAAATTATATAAAACGAATGAAAAATTTTGATAGTCTTTACTAATTACCCATTAAAAACTGGTATTCAATAAATAGTTGAACGAAACGGAGTGAAACTAAGTGAAGTTTAGAATTTTGAAAGTTGAATCGATTTGGAGATTTTAAAGACTAAAAAGTAGAAAATAAAATACTTTAAAAAAAACTTTTTTTAAAAAAGCACGCTTTTATTTCCGATTACAGAGCACTAAAAAGAAGAAAATAATTTTTTTTGCTAAGCTCTCAAATTTGATACAAAATTTTATGACTCAAAATAAAAGCGTGGGGCGCTGTTATAAAAATCACTAAATCTTGAATTTGTATGTTTACATAAGCGTTAGGTCTTCAATGTTTATAGGTTTGTCTAAGGAGAATGATGAGCCCATACAAATTATGGTAAATCTGAGACGGTAGACTTGATCTTTATGAGATTAATGTAGAGTTTTCTGTGTGGCACTAGAAATCAAGTCTTACTCTCCTGCTAAATCAAACTAGTTCCTTTGTGTCAAAAAATAATTTGAGATCAAAACGTTAAAAGCTCTTTCGTTTTAATACAAAAGTTGAATTAAGAAATGGATAATTAAACTGAATTCAAATAAATTTTAGAAAATCTAGAGCTAGTTTATATTTAACGCCCCACGCTTTTATTTTGAGTCATAAAATTTTGTATCAAATTTGAGAGCTTAGCAAAAAAAATTATTTTCTTCTTTTTAGTGCTCTGTAATCGGAAATAAAAGCGTGCTTTTTTAAAAAAAGTTTTTTTTAAAGTATTTTATTATCATGTAATCTGAAGCCTTTATTTTTTTTTACAGGAAGTGTAAACATTCTTTACTACGAATATTTTCACATAATGTGAGATAAATGTGAATCAATAAATGTGAAATCACGATTGTGCCATTAAATTAATGGGTAGAATTCACGCAGCACACGTCATTTTTTTTTTTTGATAATCATCGACGATTGAAAAGCAATGTTGAAGGTTTAGTCGCACGATATTTGTCAGTCAACCTTGCTCATTTTTAATCTTAATTTTCACAAAATCAATGAAAATGAATGAAAACTTAATGACAGCGAATTTTCGCTTTAAATTAATAATTGCTTTGAGTTAATTTTAATTGCTTTGAGCTGAATTGCCAGACAGATTCATATTGTAAACATTGCTTTGGATAGTAAACCTTTTGAATCTTAAAGTACAAAGTATACAAATAAAACAATCTTTTAAAGATAATGATGAAAAGCTCTGTTGAATTGTCTAAAAGTTATACAATGTCTAATAATAGCTGTACAGCAGGTGAATGCAAATATCTTGATCTTCAATTCATTTTATGATTGTTTGATCAATAAAAACTAAATAAAATCCTCATCTAAGTGAAAAACAACTTTACTTCCACTGCTCAATTCATTTAATATCAACAGAAACTAATCAAATTAATCTAGGGCGCATAATTGGAAGAGAATCAATTTTATAGGAACCAATTATTGCGTAATTCTTTCTTATTTCATTCATAACTAGTGAGCTTCGCTCAGCATAAGTTTTGAGATATAAAGCTAGCAAGTCAGCTGAGCTTCGCTCAGCATAAGTTTGAAGGTCTAAAGCTTAACGTCAAAAGTTGAATTTTATAAAAATCACAGTAAACTTTTTTTTTGAAAAATTCGTCAGAAAGGAAAGTTTTTGGCTTTTTCTGAAGCAACGGCTGTTCCTACCTTGCCTAAAAACAATACAGCTCTTCTATAGAGCAGCACGGATCAAATGTAAAAAACTAGAAGTCTCTACAATGTCTCGTTATTGAGATTTCTTGCTGATTAACTTGCTTGCTTGCTTGTTTGCTTACAGAAAGCGTATTTTGCGATTTTCTCAGCAATGCCGCAACCAATTTGAAATCTGTTTTTTGCAAAAGATGTGAAATTTCAGTCACAAACTTTTCATCTCAGAACATGTTAAGCTATCTTGCTACATTTCATCGCAAAATGCGAAAAACTGATTTTTCACTCTGATCAAAACCAATAGATTCACACGTGAAAACGGTGTGAATATAAAAAATTAAACCGTTAAATCTTCTAAAATACATTTGTTTTCTTTAGTTTCTTGCTTCAATTATCGGATATTCAATTGTATTTATCGGCATTTCGGGACGATGAAATAATGCTAAAGAAAGCAATAGACTGCGAGAAAGTGCATGTAGACTGTAAGAATGAAAAGAGTTTGAAATTAAATTACAGACTTTTTATGAGATTAAGCTATAGGGCCGTTCACTTATCACGTCCGACATTTAGGGGGGGGGAAGGGGGTCTAGGATTTTGTGAAAGTTCAAACAATGGTAATTTTTTTCTATAGAATTTTTGTGACAGAGGGGAGGAGGGGGTCTAAAAATCAGGTTTTTTGATAGACGTCATAAGTGAACGACCCTTATAAAAGCGAGGATAAATGTGAAAATTTGTTTTTTTTTTTATAGTTTTGTATGTTGAACATTTACCAGACATTTAAACTTTAAGGAATATCCCCATATGCATTTACCCTTAGATAATGAAGTTCTTTTAAAGAAAGTTTATGAATTTCTAGCAATGCAAAGCTCTTCAGATTACTTTATAATCACTTCAGTTCATGGTGCACTGCTGTGATTTTTGCTAAAATATGTATATATAGTAGCCAAAATCTTTAGTTTTTGAAGGGATATTTACTTATTAAGTCACGCAATAAAAAACTGTTGATTCTAAGCATGATTTATATCCCACTTAATCAATGACTTTTGGTTCCAAATATGACTTGAACATTAATTTACTGGTCGACTTGAGGAAAATGCGTTTATTTCGTCCGTTTACATCTGTAACGGTGGCTTTTATAAGTACTAGTTAACAAAAACAGGATCAGACATAATACAAGTCTGTGACCTTCAAGTTTAACATTTATAATTCATGTCTGGTTAATGTCTACTCAAAATTACTACAATACATTTTGTTGATATTATTTCGAGTATTATAAATTTCTCAATTTTCACTTCTGTAGGATAAAGGGTCGTTCACTTATGACGTCCAAAATAAACGGAAAATTTTCAAAATAGAACAATTGATTTCCAGGA